ATGCTCCCGTGCCCGAGTGTCCATACCCCGTTGACACTGCCGTCCTTCTTCGGCGTCCGGAGCGGCATTCGAAGATTCTCACCCCCTTCGAATCTGGATGGCACGTAATCCGCATCATCTCCCCGTCGACAGTCCGTATTGCCACAGCTGATGGTCGCTCCAAGCTGGTGAACGTGGATTTGCTGAAGAGAGATCCACAGGCTCCTGATGCGCATGGCCCTGCCGACGCGCCGGCGGCAGTGGAGGCTGACGACCGGGACCCCGTTGTCCAGCTCGTGTTGCAGACGCCCCCCGTACATGATGCCATGCCTGACACGCCCGTCCATGGCTATGGTTTGCGCGACCGTTCCAGTCTGCAGGTCCCTGGTCGGTTCCGTACGTAACTCACACCGTTGTGTTCATTTACTGCAGTTTCTTGCTGGTTATTCTGGCCTTTCCCGCATCCATATGACATGCCTTGTAGAGTCCTATTACCACTGTGTGTGTGTCTCTAGTTTTGGTGCAAAATCTGTTTTGTCCAATGCCGCTCGCTCGTTAGTCTCCGTTTCCTCTTCCATGTACTGCATGTGTCATTCTGGACTTTTTCGTGTGACGGTACATTGCACCATATGCTTTGTGGCTGCTCGTGCCGCATCTATTCTGGTTGCGTGGGTATTCTCTTTTCTATTCGGTTCCGGTATGGTTGCCCTTCACTTGCTGTTTGCCATCTTTTATGTATATCCGTGTGTATGGTCCATCTGCGAGACCGTTGTCTTCTTTCCCGCATTTTGTGTCCCTTCTTTCCACTTTTGTCCCCTTGGAATGTTTCTTTGCCCGTTCACTTTGGTGATACAATTTCCCTGTTACCAGGCGGAGGAGTGTGATAGAGTGGTCCCATGGTAACAGGACTTGGCCAAGCATGCGCATGCTCCAAAGTTGTTGCGCAATGATGTAGTGCCTGTTGTTGTGTTGAGCCCGATTTTGATGGCGGCTGGTATGTAGTCTTTTCCTTTTTGTACTTCCCGTTTCATGTTTGTTCAGTCCTAATAATTATAATATTCCCGTCCTATCCGGTTGTGTTGCTGTGGAGTCCGGGAGGAGAGTTTTCAGTCACAGGGACCTGCCAGGTTTCAGGTGTAATCTAGAATTAGGTGACCAGCGTTCCCTCCACATACAGTGCATACTCTAGTGCCTTTTCGGTGTAATTTTAATTTAGGTGCCTGGTTTCTCTACCGAAATCACCGAAATTAAAGTTACACCGAAAACTGCATGTTTTACAGTACCATGTGTACTCGTGTTATGTCGCTTTGCCTCTCTGTATCGTCAGCTGTTATAATTACCGGTATGATCGATGTATTCATCCGCTTCCAGTTATATTTTTTGAAGTAAATAGTTGACATTTCGTGTGTTTTTAGGACTGTTTTATTACATGTATATTCCTTTTGCCTATTCTGCAGTTGCACGCGTGTGTTCACCTCATTGGCCTCGCTCGTTCCTCATTTCTTTTATTCATTTGGCTTATGCGAAGACTAGCCAAGCTTGTTTAGTGACGTCAACAGGAACAAGCACAATAATGATAATAATAATAATGGAGTTTGGAGGCGGTGGGAAAACAGTTTCGTAATAAGTATTCGCATGCAACGACGCAAATCCACACAATTCAGTAGACACTTCTTTTCCATCAAACGTTTTCTTTCCCTTCTCTTCAGGATAGTACAGGGAATGTTGTAAATTTGAAAAAAACACATAACTATATAGAGAATGAAAGAAAGAAAAAAGTCAACACTTCAACATAGGTGTTAAAATGATTAAAGTGTTAAAAACTCAAAAACAAACAGCTGCAAGTTGTAGACAAACACGTTGAACACATCAGGGAACACTTGTCACACTTTCACGAGGTGTGACACCAAACAACTGCAACGATAACACATTCTCCTTCTGTACACATAGTTCTGGATCTAGTTTACGAATATACAGTGGATATCGGTTATAAAGTCATCGGATATAGTGATAAACCGGTTATACTGATACAAGATGAAAATATCAAAAGCAAAACCAGAAAAAGCCAGTCAAATTATCATTATAACCAATATATCGGATATAGCGATAAATCGGCTATAAGGATACAGAATCACAATTCAAAACACCTCTTTGTACAGAAAAAATATCGGCTATAATGATAGCAACACACGAGTGAAAGATATTGGTGTGCCAATTTGGAGCCATACGAGTGTTTTTCTAGTGCCGCCACAACTCGTCAATTCTGGTCTGCTGCTTCCTGGATGATGCCTTGGCGGACAGGAAGTTCTCCACTCTGGAGAAGCTGGCGTGCATGCTGGAGTCGGCATTGCTAGCGTACAGCGCCAGACGAACGGTGCTTACAGCCTGCAATAACTCGGCAGCAGACGGAGGTGAAGGCAATTCCTCGGCCACTTCATCTTCGTCATCTCTGTCAGAGTCTGCAGTTTCATCCTGCAGTGCCTGGACAATTTCGCAGACATCGTCACTTGGAGCAACCCGGCATGGCTCAGTTGAATCCAGTCTCTCCAGCTCTGTGATGTCGGTCTGAAGAGTGTCGTCTTCGTCAACAGGCACATCATCAGCCACAGTGGGACCCATCACAAACCCAGCCTTCCTCCAGCAATTCTGGATGGTCGCCTCCGAGACAGAGTCCCATGAAGACTTTGCGTACTGCAGGCAGTGAAGAATGTTCACGTTCTTCTTGAGCACTGCAGTGTCCAGCTTCGCCATCGTAGGGTCATCTACAAACTGAACCACCTTGCGCAACATGAGGCGGCGGTACGTGCACTTGAATGATTGGATGATTCCGGCATCACAGGGTTGAATCACGGACGTCGTGTTTGGTGGCAGGAATACAACGCGGACATAGTCCAGACGATCAGCCACGCCATCAAACTTGTGCCCAGGGCAGTTGTCCACCAGCAGAACAATCTTTTTACCCTTCCTGCGGAATGTTCTGTTGGTGTCCAGCAGCCACTCCGAAAATATCTGCTCGTTCATCCAGGCCTTCGGATTGGAGCACCACTGTCCTCCAATGACAGCAGCTGGAGTGCTTTTTACCGCAGCAACAGCACGGGGAAGCTTCGAATTGCCAATCGCCAGAAGAGGCAGTCTTTCTCCAGACATGGAGACAGTGGTGGCAAAGGTGATTCGGTCTTTCTGCGTCTTGCTGCCTGATAGCCGTTCATTGACGCAAGCCAACGTTCTCTGCGGCAGAGCTCTCCAGAAAAGACCAGTCTCATCCATATTCCAAACGCGCGTCGGATCACCATCGACGCTGGCAAACACCTCTGGCCAGGTGTCCTCCATGAAAGCTGCAGCGGCAGCGACGTCAGCATCAGCAGCTTCGCCATGAGTCTTACGTGACTTTATTTTCCTCTTGGCGAGGAAGCGCTGCACAAATGATCTCCACGCTATGTCCGTCAATGGCAGATCTTTCCGTTCAACCAGATCCTTCGCTACAAGTTCATCAGCTATCTGATGGCCCTTCACAATCAGCATGTCATACGTTATCGTTGTGAGTTTCTTTGAAAGGCACGCTTCGTGAAAACTCTCCAGGCCTTTCTCTAACAGGACGCAGTTGCTAGACCGATTTTTACGGACTCCTTTCAAACTGGACGATGCCACGTCCATGATCGACGACTTGTTCTTCAGGATGGTAGAGACGGACGACTGCCCGATTCCAAAGTGCCGTCCAATATCGCCTTGCGTCGCTCGAGGATTTTCTCCGCATAGTTGAGAATTTCAACCTTCTTCTCAACGGTCAAACAAACTCTATTTCGCTTCGCACTAGCCTCCATCATGCAAATCACGAAATTCAGGAACAAGAAATACGACTGAAACTCTCCTTGACAAGCAGGACAACAACCTTCAAACGGGGAAAGTCAACAAGGAAAAGGCTGACCATGCCCCGCACTACACATGTTACGCTTGCTGCATGCAGAGTGTGCTGCACTCAGCCTACAGCAAGGGTAGCTCGCGTAGTCCACTACTGCTCGCGTAGTCTCCTTACAAGACATCTATCGTGTACATGTACTATCTACACTGTACACTGTACACTACTCGCACCAGTACGCTACACTAGCGCGATCGAGTACCCACACGTGTATACTGTGCATGTACGACGCGCACTGTTGAAAATCGCCTGTAGTGATATACCGGTTATAGTGATAACATGTGAAAAATCAGAAGGGCACGTTATAACCGATATCTACTGTACAGAGCTTCTAACACAGCAAGATGTAACTTAGACCTTCCAAGAGTCAAAATCGAAAAGATATCATCACTATACAACTTACGACAACTAGCACTGCCCGACAAATGACGCTTGATGGACGATGTCCGATCACTTAGCTCTGTCACCTTCGACGCCTGCCGTTGTTCTCTTCCGTTAGGCTTGTTTGGTTGGTTGCTCCTGTCCACACCTCCAACGTCCGTTGACTTCATGTCCGTTTTGTTGATTTCATGGCCGTTTTCGTTTCACTTCTTGGTCTTCCTAGTTTACTCTTGTTGATCGTTTGATAGTTGTCGTAAGTTGTATAGTGATGATATCTTTTCGATTTTGACTCTTGGAAGGTCTAAGTTACATCTTGCTGTGTTAGAAGCTCTGTATATTCGTAAACTAGATCCAGAACTATGTGTACAGAAGGAGAATGTGTTATCGTTGCAGTTGTTTGGTGTCACACCTCGTGAAAGTGTGACAAGTGTTCCCTGATGTGTTCAACGTGTTTGTCTACAACTTGCAGCTGTTTGTTTTTGAGTTTTTAACACTTTAATCATGTTAACACCTATGTTGAAGTGTTGACTTTTTTCTTTCTTTCATTCTCTATTATAGTTATGTGTTTTTTCAAATTTACAACATTCCCTGTACTATCCTAAAGAGAAGGGAAAGAAAACGTTTGATAGAAAAGAAGTGTCTACTGAATTGTGTGGATTTGCGTCGTTGCATGCGAATACTTATCACGAAATAATAATGGAGCTACTCATTATCAATTTCTCACCTGCAAATTCCTCGTGATCAACGAAAACTTCTCGTCCGCTGAAAGAGGCGACGCCGCTGCCATGTTTGACTGCGGGATGTTTTCCAATTTTACTCAACCAGAACAGAACCAATAAAGACGGGGAAATGGAAGCACAGCTTGCTCTACTGTAAATAATTTCATGAGATGATGACACTACATGCCAGCTTGAAATCAATGAGGTTTCGTTTGAGTTGAGTTTTGACTTGAATGAAGGACTTTCTTTGCTTTGTGATTTGAGAGGGTATGCAGACAAGTGCGTAACTGCCATGCTGTTATCGCTAGTAGTACATGTACAGCTTTAGTACGTAGTAGAGCTATCTACCAGTCGCTAATCACGGGCCGGGCCGGGCGCCGATATTCCGGTCCATGCATGCGGCCACCACATGTATCGCGACATGCATTACATCAAGAGTAGATAAACAAGAGTGTGCAACTCCGGATGGATTGGCCCACGGCGGAATTTTTTGTTGACGTAATCTTTTCGACGACGCACGCGCTGCGAGCCTTTTGGAGAGTTTTCCCTCGTGCACTTGGCTGGGCTTTACACTACAAGGTCGGTGCCCAGCACGTGCTCTCACACTGCTCTGCGGCAAAGCCGCGTTTCTCTGAAAAAAGGTGACGTAAACAAAAAATTCCGCCGTGGGCGCGGGGTATCTGCAGATTGTGCAGGAGAGATCCGGAGTTGCACACTCTTGTTTATCTACTCTTGATTACATGCATGCATATGCATGCATGATGCTTTTGACAACACAACACAAGAATTGTCACGTAGATCTACGTCATGTCATTTTCCAAGAACATGATTGATGTTTACAGGGTAGTATTCAGTGGTATTACTGCTGCAAGAGTTCCCAGTTACCAGTGTATGCTTTCAAAACTATGCCCACAGCCTACACAGGGCATAGACACTGTCATTATTATCTGTAAACAGGATGTTTAGAAAAACTGTAAATGTAAAGTATTTTCAAACTTGTGTCCTGCACCAGGTTAGGACTGAATAGCCATGTACATGTATAATTATGTAGTTTGTTCCGGTATGATGCTACGTTGTAGGGTGCCATGATTCATGAACTGGACCGATACTGTATCATTCCCGACTACAAGACTAGCTGATGTGAGGGGGCTGCAGTGCTGGACTACAAGTGATCCCAATTCGGACCTGGTCAAAGGTGAGATCAGTGTGCGTAAACACAGCAGATGGCTGATGCGGACGGGTTCTTCAAAATAAGCTAAGACCGGCATCCACCCTCGGCAGAGATGCTACGTATATCGGCAATATCTATTATGTATTGATTACCCTCCCGCCAGCTTGCCCATATCAAACATTGGCCGTTGTGTCCCTCCCTCGTCATGCACCCGCATACACTAGAGCTGACTGGAAGCCACATTTACACCCGCATACATTTTATAGTTGACTGGAAGCTAACTGTTACATTGCAGCATTTGCTGCTCAATGAAACGGGATTGCACGAACCAAACTAGTGCTGGGTGCCGTGCGCAGACCCAGACCTGCGAACATTGGGCTGTGCTCGCCTCTCGGCGTTTTTCATGAGATCAGATTTCACATCGATCACAACTGTATCTAGACAGTGGCAGTGCGGTCTATGACGACTAGTACCATGATCATCCACACCGTTGGTAAGAATTTTAATTCTTAAAAAAAATACAAAAATTGCTTGAAAAAGTTCAGAGTAATAGCTATGCCGTGGTCCACACTGAGATTTATACATGGTTTAACATTATTTAAATCTCTAGTAGGAAATGGAATAAAGTGATTTTCTTTCCTCAACATACTGATGGCGAAAGAATTTTTAAATTCTACATGAGATCCTATGGAGCTACAGCTAAAACTACATGTACTTGAAGTAAACAGCTGCTGGAACTTCAAACGATAGCCAACAGTACATGTACATCCAACAGGAAAAAAGAAGGTATATCAAATTAATTGTAAGCTGATCTTGACCAAGTGTTTGCAAAGAGTGCAGTTGAACTGATGCTCGTTGCACTGCTAGCTTGGCCTGGCCAACTCAATGATTTGCTAGTATTAGTCAATAGCACTTTGCCAGCAAGCGAACGATGTTGTCTAGACCATAGACCAACCTGGCTAGGAATCAAACGGTGGAGCTGCCGCTCTTTGGCGGATCATCCTCCGTGCTAGCAGTAGTTTGTGCCGGCGTCTCAGTAGCTGACGCTTCCTCGGTGGCCGGCGCCTCTGCAGCTGTCGTCTCTTCGCTGGTAGCAGAAGCATCTTGAGCGGCACTCTCTGGCTTGTCGCTTTCGCTGGCCACAGGCTTGGTTTCGTCGCCGCCATCAATGCTTACCTCGATAGCTGGTGGAGATTCTACGAGAAAATGTTAACACAAGAACAAAAACATCAACACGCCATTACCTATTATGTGGTATGCGGGCGAATTATGTTAGACAATGTAAGGATCCCACACCCTCTGTTAGGGGCCGTTTACATGAGAAAAATAAGCCCGAGCTTTTCGCCTGGGGCATATTTTTCAACCGTTTACATGACGGCTGTACAGGGCTGAGTTCAGGTGGGTGACTGCGAGTTCTGCACACATTTTGTTTTTCAAATCGCACATGAAGGCAGTGGTAAATGTTCAGGAATGATGAAGTTTGGATCAAGAAGTGCCTGCTCACGCTTCTAATGCCTTTCCGATTGTCACTTATTTTTTCGAAAAGGCGAAGCCTTCACTGAACAGAACATCAGAAGAAAACTTGCCAAGAAGACAAACAATAGAGACACACTGTCCACGGCGAAATCCTTTCAGGTTAACAAGGAAAAATCGAAAATACCGAAAAACTCGCTGATAAGCCCAGGTCTTATTTTCTTGACCGCTTACATGAGAAAATAAGCCCTGGGGGTTGGATAAGCTCGGAGGTCAAAGGTAGGGCTAGTTCAGCTCGGTGCAAGCTGAATAAGCCCGGCCCACCATGTAAGCGCGCGCTCTAAAGTGACTGGGTGACAGATCAAGGCGGGCTTATCGCAATCCTGGAGTTGAATAAGCCCGGGCTTATTTTTCTCATATAAACGGCCCCTGAGACTCATTTTGGCCACGTGTGTAGAATTTCACATCCAGCCAATGCCACAGCTGTACCTTTCCTGTCTTGGTACAGAGAATGTTTCAAACTGACTGACATTATCAAAGGGTAATATTCCAAAACAAAAAGTCGACGTGGAGACAATAATCCTAATAATGCAACGAACAAAACTATATGCGCACTCATATCACAACCATAGCAACGAATATAGTATTCCAGAACGTAATATTCCAATCTTCCTTTCCATAATTCCTCGCGCGCGTCCTTACCGCAAGGCTCCAGTGACCCAGGACTTGGTGAAGTGGTCTCCTCTCCGCCGTCCGTTGTGTCTATTGGAAGCCACGTTGAATGCACACAGCCATATGCACAGCACACCAGTATACGCGCACACACACACACACACACACACACACACACACACACACACACACACACACACACACACACACACACAACACGCGTACAGTCACCGCTTATTAACACCCGTGCTTCACTGATTCATCAGCAATAGAGGCATTGCGCAAAATGAAAACTCATAAGGTTAGGACATTACGGCCCTTAAAAGTAACGACTTTTCGCATGATCTTTCGGCAACTTTTGGTCAAAAAAGAGTAGGACAAAAAAATGAACTCAGCAATGAAATCAATTCTATTTTCGTGGTCATCACAGCACTGCTACATACTTATGTATGATACATGTGCACCAGGATTACCGCTGCATACCGATTCATGTACTAAGCAGTATGCAAGACTGCAGAGACCTATTTCTTGTACATGTATTCGGATGAACTTGATGAAACTACTTTCGAGAGCTCCAAAAAGAATAGATTTGTGACTTTTTCGTCGCTCCGCCGAAAGCTACGGAACGTTATCCACAACTTCTCTAAAGGCAGATAACAGCCTTCTTGCCGATGATATACACAAGATTTGCGTTGAAGTGAAATGCTGGAACTCATCCATGCATCTGAACATGCAGTACAGTCAACTTCGCTTATAACGACATTCGGCGGGGCATCAAAAAGGTGTCCTTATTCGCGAAGTGTCGTTATACCCGAAGTCTCATTATATGTATTACAGTGGGATGGGACTTTGCTCTGGGCATGGAAATTCTGTCGTTATATCCGCAGTCGTTATTAGCGAAGTTGACTGTACATACACGTTCCTATACCGGTATGCGTACCTCCGACTTTCTTTTGCCGGCGCTGTAGCTTAGCTTGTAGCTCACTGCTGACACCAGACGGCGATGGGGTGCTGCGCGGGCTCGCCGTGGACTTCGTACTGCGTAGCCTTGGTCCCAGTTTCTGAAAGGAAAATAGCGGAGAGCAGTCAGCATGTGCGTCAGCGCAGGCATACCTACGTGTGCAGACTAAGGTTAAGGTGAGCACAAAAGAGAATGTTTTCTGAGCCTTTTCTCTCCCCCCCCCCCCCCCCCCCCAGAGATGATGTCTGTACAGCTCTGTATTCATAAGACACGTCCTCTTCTCCTACATCTCACGCTGTGGACTCAGGTATTTAGAACTGATCAAATGACGGGGCTACATGCACATGTTCAAGGCTTAAGAATAACCGAGAGTCTAGATGTACCGGTATGTTTGTTTTAAATATTAGCTTTATTTTACTTCACCTCACGTAGGCAAATCTGCCTTCTCACTGGGCGTATGCCATAGTTCTCACAAAATGATGAAGATATGTCGTGAATAACAGCTATGAAACTATGCATGAGTAATGGAATACCTAGCACAGCATTCAGAATGGTTGGTTGCAAGTTGCAACTCTGAGTTTCACGCTAGCGGCTAGGCGATCATCAGGCAACAGGACATTCTGTGTTAGAGAGCTTTCACCCCGGGTATTGTGCACTCTTTGAGCAGTGGAAGTTGCTTACTGTGTAAATGAATATCTACGATTTGTAGTCAGTTTGAGAGGGGTGGCTTGCTCTTCATTGTGCTTTTAACTGCTTGAAAAATAGATACAAAACCATGAATGTGAGCGCGCACTCACACATATGCTCTGAAGGATGGTGGGAGTGCTTAGAATCAAGGTGCTTCAAAATTGGGATAGGGAGTAGGGGAGGGGTGGCAGCGCAAGACTCTACAGGATTTTCTGCACGCGTACATTACGGTACAACGTGCATGAGGCCTATGTAACCTGGCATGTCGTCCTATCCATGGCATGCCAGGCTAATAGATGTCAAGTAGCAAGGCCAAACATACAGCCGGTGCACTCTCAAGCTCTCTCACTTACAATCATCTTTGCAATCTCCGCCATCGCATCACCCTTCACTTCTTCCTTGGGTGCTTCTGCCTTGCTCTCCTCCTTCTGCACCGCCAGGGTCAAGAAAAAATGCAAAAGAAATGAATATGGAGACGGTATGCAAGCAATATGTTTGCACAGCAAACTGTAATCCGCTGTGCCTAAACATCCCAAGGTGATTTCTTACCCACTTGTAGCCCCGGCGCTTCAATGGCTTCGCAAACAGTGAAGGAAGTATGGAGTGCTCCTTGCAGCGAGTATACCTACTGCAAGTTGTATCCGATAGACTGCAACTTGACATGCTGCCCTGCGCCCACATGCATGACCAGATTCAGAGGCATCATGTAACTCACCGCTGACCGGAGTCCCGTCTTGCCTGATTTGATGCGTTCCATCATCTCCGCCATGGCATCAGCACGCACATTCTTAGCTGCAGAAGCCATCGGAGAGAGAGAGAGAGAGAGAGAGAGAGAGAGAGAGAGAGAGAGAGAGAGAGAGAGAGAGAGAGAGAGAGAGAGAGAGAGAGAGAGAGAGAGAGAGAGAGAGAGGGAGAGAGAGACCCACAGTCAGTATTGCACTGTACATATGGCATGCGTCAACCAATTACTTGATCAACATTACTATGGTAGAGCCATCCAACACTATTGCATGGAGGCACATCACCCCATATCACCCTGCGTAATGCTCTTTCAGACTTCCAGGCTACACCAACAAGGAGAAGGGTATGGTCATGCAAGAAACAGTTTCCTTCCTCCGAGTATGAGTCCAAGGAACACACACACATGCACACACACATGCACACACACATGCACACATGCATACACATGTATGCCGTGCATACACACACACACACACACACACACACACACACACACACGCGCGCGCACGGATGTGCACACGGACACACAGACACAGGCAATGGTGCACTCCACTAGCTCTTTCCTGGGTACGTACTTTCCTCCTTCTTCTTCTTCTTAGTAGCCGCATCGCCTTTTACAGACTTCACCAGTTTTCTAAGGCACAGTGAACAGGAAAGCATCATGATTCATGATATTGAACTAACTCTCAAAAACTTCAACTACAGATATCTCAGTATGCAGAGAATGCTGATTGCCCTTTCTAAATAAAGCCGAGCCTGATAGCCGAGAATTGTCTATATACTCAGTAAAACTAGTGGTATACCGTGAAATTCCGTAAATAAGCCCACCCTAAATAACGCCCATGTCCGATAATAAGCCCAGTTTTAGGCGGTGTACACTTCAAGTCTGTTTTAGCGCCCATGCCCGAAATAAGCCCAGGGCGTAAAGTGTTGTGCCTTGTACTGACCATAGCAAGTGGTTTACCTATCAAATCTGTAATTTATCGCTACATTCTTGGTTACGACCAAATTTCCAGCTGTGGTTTGATGTACCTGTACCGCGCTCAGTATGAATGGTGGTTCACTGAAACTAGTGGGTTGCTGATAGATTGATCTTCTGCAGATTGCGTCCGAAATAACGCCCATGCCCTAAAATAAGCCCATGCCCAAATATACGCCCGGTTTTTGACGCTCTGCAAAGTATACGCCCGGGGCCCGGGGCTTATTAGCAGAATTTTACGGTAGTAACTTAGGGGTCATCCGTAAATATAGATATTTATTTAGAAACGAAAACTAGTCGTTTAGGGGGGAGGGGTTGAGCGCCTGTTCGTTTCTCGAAAAATATCGATGTACATTTTGCACGCGTGAGCATGTCCAGAAAAAAAAGATCAAAAATATCGATACTATGTACCATTTGTACGTGTTCGTTTCTCAGGGAGGGAGGGGGGGGGGAGGTTGAAGAGAAACGACTAGTTTTCGTTTCTAAATAAATATCGGTATTTACGGACGGCCCCTTTAATAGTAGCGACTTCGGCGATGTTTTTATAAGGAAGTTGGTTGATGAGGGATGAATTCCCCGAAAGACTGTGCAGGGAATATTAAGCAGGGAGTGGTGCTTTCCTGCAGGTTTTCCGAGTTGAAGGTTCGATGGACTTCTCGCGTGCTCTGGATGTTAGTCGTGCGTCAGTCAAGTGTCAAGTCAAGTCGGCAGGAAAAGTGTGAGCTCCAGTGCACACGGCGCCCACGATTTAGTTGACAGCCATTGCATTCTTCTATCCTTTAAACTGAAGCAGCTTTCCAGTTTCTGCAATGATTTGCCGTGTTGTTTTAAAATTGATGACACTTACCCGATTGGCATAAGTGGAGGTGGTGGAGGTGCCAGTGGAGGTGGACCTGAATCAAAGTGGCCACACATTAGAGACCACCAGGTCACAACAAATAGTTTTTATTTACTTTAAAACAAGCAGAAAAGGTGACAAAGCATAGTAAAGAGAACCAGTGTATTGTGTGATCAGTTGCCGTAGACTCTTCTTTCGCCAGGTTGGAAAGTGCTTTACATTCAACTCTCCTAAGTGGAATTGCTAATGATATGAGTCGGGTAGGCATGATGAATTAGCAGCTGTGTCCGCTGTGCAGTGCAGTTTCAATATTCGGGTACTTGCCAGCAGCACACATGCCTGTGTTTCGGCCAACTGAAACAACTGAGAGGGAGCCCGGGTGGGGTGGGAGCACAGGGACAACTTGCAGGCATAGCAACCACTGTATCACAGCTGACAATGTCTTGACCAGTTAATCTATGCTACTCTAACGTACAATGAGCCAGCCAAGATACTAACGAAAATCCGGTGGAACAAAAAGTGATTAAATGTCTCTACTCACGAGTTTCATGCCGAAAAGCAACTTTCATTATATCAGACGTTAAATGACTTGTATGGGATATCCAGCGTAGAGAACATGTGCTTTATAACATTATATCCGATGCCAAGAGGACCATCGTACTTGTACTATCCAGGGTACATTTATACTGATTTTGTTGTACGTTTTTCCCCACTCTACCAACATGACCCAGTACTGGTGACTCTCAGCTAGGTGTTACAAACCTGGCGGTGGCGGAGGAGGAGCAACAGGTGCGGGAGCAGCTGACCCGCTGCTGGCTGCAGCAGCAGAAGAGGAGCGGGCAGTCTCGATAGCAGCTCTTAATGACGCCACCTCCTGCTCGAGGATTTGCACTGGAAAATAGCAGACAGGACAGTATAACAACGTGTCACTAGTATAGGCCGATGATCAACTAACTTTACTTCTTATGATGTCGTAAAATAGCAATGAAAAATATCAATTGTGCACTCATAACCATGTACAGTATAAACAATTAAAATGAAACAATTCCAGAACGTTTTCGTGTGACTATTATTCACATTTCTCATAATACCATTTGTAATTCTCATGAACGGCTGCCGGCCTTACGGTGTGCCGAATTGTCGATTAGATTTCACTTCAAGGATGTCTGTTGTCAGTGTAAGTGTCCCGTACCTCGTTGGTTAGCCAGATCTGCTTTGTGCTCCGCATCCAGCGCCTTCGTTTCCATCACGGAGCACTGCTTGTCAGCAAGAGCGAGCTTCTCTTCTAGAGCCTTCGCCTCCTCAAGCTTACCAAGACGTGAAATTTCCTCTTTGAGGTCCTCGACCTGCAGATAGTTAGAGCCGGGCCATTAGAACCATGTACACACAGAATAAGGTGCCGAAACTCGTCAGATAACACATGAACAACAAGCCATCATTACACACCGTTTGCACTGGCTCTTCACGTCTTCATGCAGTCAACAGGAGTAACGCCACACGCTGATCCCCTCCTCCCAAAGCCAAGAACAAAAGAATCAGAGACACCGGCAGGCACATACCTCCTGGGCATGGGTGCGCTTAATCTTGGAGACCTCGTCGTTGACTTCTTGCAGTTGCAGGAAAGCCGCGGCCACACGCTCATTCTCCGTGGCCGTGTTCAGAAGCAGTGCACTCTGGCGCTTCACAAGATTTGCCTCTTGCATTTGCTACAAAAACAACATACATGTACATGTACATACAAAATACTATGCCATAAAGTGTGGTACAGAAGTTGAGCAAGGTACACCTTGACATGTGCAGAGCAAGACTGGAAACACGGCAATACAGCTGAAGTGCAAGTTTGGTGACGTCAGTGTTGAATCTAAAAGGCAATGGTAGAAAATACCTTTGGTTTTCATTCAAGTTTTCAACCCCCTTGCATACTATAATTGTCTGTGCACGTAAACCATGCATGTTCAGTGCTGGAGTCAGTGCTGGAGTCAGTGCTGGAGTCAGAGCAGAGAGTCAATCGGCATGAAACAACGTACAAAAGGTTATGCAATGCAGCACGCTTGCCAGCTGACTCAGCTCAGCCAATCATCCTTCCTTACTGCCCCCCCCCCCCCATCTCTCTCCTTCCCTGATTCTGCCATACATGCTCATGCTCATGTACTTCATTTCGGCTAGGAATGACACTTAGTATGGCCATTGCGGCACAAGGCCAAATTAGCTCTTTTGATAAGAACACAGTTGGTGGACACATACTCAGCGGCATCGCTACTCACCTTGGCAGCGTGTGCTTCAGCAGCGAGGCGAATTTCTCGCTCCTCCTTCAGCTGATTCTGCATCTGTTCGTACTCGTCGAACGCAAGTCGAGACACTATAGTGAGAATATCAAAAATCAGGCATGGACAGAGCAGGAACAACACTTCTCAGCTGCACGCTGGTGGAAGGGCTATTATTACCAATCATTCCATACTCATCGTTAGGCTTCCAGTTCAGCTTCAGATTTCAATCATGAAAACAGCTAACGTATCACGTCTATCATGAGTGCACTCCTGCAGGACTGGTTCGGCCAGCTGACTACGATCAGACCTTTCCAGAACATGCATATTATAGATGTTGACTTCCCACATTCCCATTGTGCCTTTCATCAAAAACAGTGCTGCTCCTTGTGTGCTCCGGATGGCACTCGGGAGTCCACCTAGTGCGAGTGGATTCGGCAGAAAGCGTAAGCTCCAAGTTAGTTGGAAGCAACCAAGTTCTTCTTCGATGGGGCTGGTTAACTGCCAAGCAGCCCTGGCCTGGCAAGCTGGGCTGCCTGTAACGTCCCTGGCATATACGATCAAGACTCTGGCTCGAAACAAACGTGGAACGGGCTCAAAAAGAGTAATGTCTCAGAGCTTACATTCCTTCAGATGATCCAGTTCATCCTTCTCCTTCTGCAGGTCACGTGAGGCTTGCTCCTGTTCAACTCTCATCTTGGAGAGCTGAACAAAACGAACAGCAGATCACGGCAGAGCGACAGAAACCACACGCACCAGAGAAGGACTTGATTGGTGCATACATGTACATGTATCAGCACGCTGTAGACAATTTCAACACGTGCTACTGGCGTGGAATTAATGTCACTCTGGCATCATGAGGACAGCACACACTTCGCCACGTACCGGTGAAACTGGGATATACGTACGTAGGGTGACGCACAGTGCGCGCAACAGTTAGATACCCATGCAAATGGGCTAATGCAGGAGTACAGTGTGCACACGACATACTACATTGTTGCCCCCCCCCCCTTTACTTACCTCACTGACCACTTTCTCCAGTTCGTCCCGGGCCTTCGCAGATCTCTCCTGTGCCTCTTCCCATTGCTCGTGCAGAATAACTACTCCTTTCTTCAGATCTTACTCATACCACAAGTAATACAATGAAGGAGAGAGAGAGAGAGAGAGAGAGAGAGAGAGAGAGAGAGAGAGAGAGAGAGAGAGAGAGAGAGAGAGAGAGCAGGACAAGAAGCCATTAGCTAGAGGCACTGAGGACACATCATGATATTGTTTGCACATGCCTCAATACAACAACCAATCAGTAACGCAGTAGTGACTGCCGCTAAACGAACATTGATTTTTTCGTGTATGCGTGCGTGCGTGTGTGAGGGGAGGTGGTCAGAGTGTAAGACAGCTCAACTAACTACTAGTACTACACGCGCAGCTTTTAAGCAGAAGTACCTTTCTTCGACGGCTCATCTTCATCCAGGTGTGATCCTTCCTGCAAAGGCATACCGTCCAAGCACATGCAGACAAGAACATCATCGCTACGATGCCCGTCCCAAACGGGCTGGTACGCGCACACATCACAATCTATTCGGACTGTTCATTTTTGCACTTCAGTACGCTGGCACGGCATGAATCCGAGCGAAGCCTTTTTCGGAACATCTGTTTGCTGCTTCTTTGCCATCTCTCGCTAGTTGTTGTTTCATCCATGAGTGAAGAGTGTTTCCTTTCTGTCGTTCATCATCCTTGTATTTCTTTTCTGTATTCCTATAAGACATATTCTTATTCCACTACATGTACATGTTTGAGCTTTGTCGTGAGTAAATCGGTTGGATCAAAACAAGTACTGTAATAAATTATATGCAGCAACACATGTCCCAAGATAGGTTCTCTAGAATCGAAATCATGCAGAGGGACGGTTGTGTGTGTGTGTGTGTGTGTGTGTGTGTGTGTGTGTGTGTGTGTGTGCGTGTGTGTGTGTGTGTGTGTGTGTGTGTGTGTGTGTGTGTGTGTGTGCGTGTGTGTGTGTGTGTGCGTGTGTGCGTGGATATAATTATTATGCATGCAGCACAGTCTGAGTACACATCCATGAACTCACTGATATAGAGTCAGTAGGGATAGTACCACCCGCCTCCTTTAGCTTTGCAATCAAGCGGCGGTTCTCCTCTAGAACCTCTTGCGCATACTCCTCAGCCTTGTTGCGCAAATCCTTCTCCAAGTCCAGCTTGTCTTGAAACTCCCCGTACTCTTCAAACGCCCGCTGGCTAGCTAAAAGCATGAACAAAACAAAACAAGACAGGTGCAATGCTGTGGTGTCATTTCTATGTGCGTTGACACCCGGTGATAGGCTAACACCGTACTTGCCAGGAGTACAAGCCATATGCACACTACAGACTACCAAGGTAACTTGTACACGGAGAACTTGTTCTTGGGTACTTGAAGTACCAACGCAGGGCTTCTCCGGAGCTGAGAACATGTCCTGAACTACTAGTAACACATATTGGAAACGTAGTGATTAAAACAATCTTCAGGCTTTACAATGAACATTCCAACGTGCCCAGTTGTACCTTCATTGCATTTTCTTCAGGTGGATATAGCATTACAGGCAGAAGAAGAAACTAACCACTACAATTATCTTTAGAGACAATGTATGAGTGATAACTGTTATAAGGAGCAGTAGGGAGATTATCAAGAAGCGTCGGAATACCGAAAAAAGGAGTAAAGTGATGATTTTCACAGACATAGAGACATGGCCGATCCGAAGTTATGCATTAGTGGTGGACGTGTACGGAGGTGTGAGCAGTGTGATATGCATAATCACAAGAACACCTGGAACAAAAATAGTGCTTACTCTCTCTGAATTTCTGCAGTTCTTCTCGCACTGTCTTCAGCTCCTGCTTGGTCAAGTCGTGCGCACGTCTCTCCTCCACACACTGTGCAAAGTGCAACATACATGATGTACAGAAGAAAATGTTGAACGGTCTCTGCTGGGATGACAGCTACACAATAGCTCAGTGGTTAGAGCATCGCTGGCCTCAAGCGAAGGTTAGAGTCCTGGTGGTGACAGTCAATTTTTTCTTTAGACTTTTCCCGTTTGCACATTTTCCCTCAGACTAATGAATACATAATTATACATATACCTATATGGGATCATCATAGAACAATCGGGGCTCTGCATCTTTCACGTAGCAGCACAATGAAGAAAAGTCTTCCGGCACTACGGTTGCCAGGTATCGGCCATGTGAGAATCTCGACTCGCCAATAATGAATCATCAAGAGCACTGAGCCTCTATGAGACTCACAACGCACATCTGCGATCATCATATTGTAGGAATACATAATACGGTTCGTCGGAAAAAAGAAAAAGTTAATTATCGTGTCCATTCCCGAAGGGAACTCACGACGGCCGCTAACACCCGGTAAACCCTAGCGACAGATGCAGCGCCTAACGGTGGGGGTGAGTAGATAAGTTTCACAACCACTGGCACAAGTGCCGAGAAACACCACTAGCCGCATCCATGTGCCCCTTGTGCCTTGTGCCTGGCCACAAGTTCCCAGTTGACTGTGGGTAGCAGCACAGCTGGAAAAACCGCTCTGTTCGTCGGAGAAACCTTCCGTTGAAGTCAAAAGTTGACGTTACATTTAGGAACATGTAATACCCCTGACCAAATTCAAGATAGGAACAAACTTCTGACTCCTCTCATCTCACGAAATTGAACAAGCGTTTATATACGTGTACAGCAGTTGGCAAAAGACAGCGGCAAACGATACATCAGTATGTGTGTGTGGGGGGGGGGGGGTGGCCAGCTCTCTGTCTGGCTCGCTTTACTGGATTCTACTATTTCTAGACTGTATTCTTCAGGCTCACTTCAGGCTCGACTCGCATTGCAAACTTCTGTTGTTATTGTGTTTCCTACTTACTAACTACTAAAGAAGAAGACTACTGAAGACTAGCCGAAAGGGAAAGGCACCTGCGTCTTATAACAGCAGGGCAACATAAAGCACAGCAGGCCGAGCAGGGCGGCATAAAAGGCACAGCAGGCCGAGCAGGGCGGCATAAAAGGCACATGTGAAACCAGAGACCCGGACCCGTCAAAGCATGCAAATGAGGGCCGCTCTATCGCCTGACATGAATGCATACAAACCAGTATACATGACCATGCGTGCACATCTCCCCCTTCACTCACGAAATGGCATATGAGTGAGTACATGAGCAAGGCAGTGCAGCAGCAAGAATGAGCGCACCGGAAGGCAGCATGTGGAAAGTGCAGACGGACAACCACAAGAGAAAACATCAGACACATCAGAAAAGACTAGAGACAGCACACCAGTGTCAGAGCACCAGCACTCTAACTAACAGAACAGCGCAGCTAACTGTCTGTCTCGACCGGGCGTCGCCTCACTCCACCGGGAGCGGAATGAGGCGTTGGATGGCTCGCCGGTAGATCTTGCCCCGGATCTCAACATCCACCACCCTGACGCAACTGTCTGGTCCGGGGAAGACACGCCTCACCCTGCCCAGTGGCCAACTGCCCCGGGGTGTGTCGGGCTCGATACACAGCACCACCTCATCGACAGCGATGTTCTTCTGCGTCTTGCGCCACTTCCTGCGCTGGTTCAGCAGTGGGACGAACTCCAGGAGCCATCTCCTCCAGACCTCCTTCACTGTGCGCTGCACGACGGCGAAGCGATCTCTGGGGTGGACTTGCTCTGTGGCGTTCAGTTTCTCTTCCAACGGCAGAGGTGGGTCGCAGCGTCCTGCGAGGAAATGCTGCGGAGTCAGCGGCTCGAGGTCGGCGGCGTCGGCACTGACTGTTGTCAGCGGACGGGAGTTGATGAGGTCCTCTGCGGCGACAATGGCGGTGTGTAGCTCCTCATCAGTGAGCTCAGCGGTGGCCAGTGCGGATCTCAGAGCGCGCTTCGCCGCCTTAATCATAGCTTCGAAGACACCTCCAAAATGCGGTGCTCTGGGTGGGTTGAACCTCCACCGGATGTGTCGATCAGCGAGACTGCGCGCGATCTCTGCGCGATCGAGCTGCTCCACGGCTTCTCGTAACTCCCGCTCAGCCGCGACGAAGTTGGAGCCGTTATCGGTGACGATGATGCTTGGCGTGCCGCGCCGCTTAACAAACCGGTTGAACGCCATGAGGAACCCCCCGGTATCCATGGAGTAGGTGAGCTCCAGATGGCAGGCACGGGTTTCCAGGCACGTCATGAGACAGAGGTAGCGCTTCGCTCGGGTTCTGCCTCGTCCTTGCTTTGTCTGGAACGGCCCGGCAAAGTCGATGCCGCAGTGCGAGAATGGTTGGAGAGACCCGGCAGTCCGAAAGTCCGGCAGAGCGCCCATGATCTGCGCCGCCGGTACACCCCAGTTCTTCCGACACGGAACGCACGACTGGCGTGCCGTCTTGACTGCTGATGCACCGTTTACTATCCAGAACCTCTCCCTCAGGTTGGACAGCAGATGCTGAGGTCCCACGCTGTGGCGGCACCTCCGGTCCTCCTTCTCGATCAGCAGCCGCGTGACAACGTGCTTCTGAGGCAGGATGATCGGTAAGCGTACACGATATGGCAAGTGTTTCGCAGCCTTCAAACGGCCTCCGACCACCATCAGCGGTTCAGCATGTTGATCTAGCGTCGGGGTTAGCGCCGCCAGCGGGTCGCTAGCCTGCATTGGCTTTCCGGCAGCCAGGCGCTCCAGGGTTGGGCCGTACGCGTCCTTCTGCGCCTGTCGTATCCAGTGCCTCTCAGCGCGGCCTACCTCACCCGCCGTCAGCTCTGGCACGTTGACAGTAGGGTAGTTCGGGTTGGCTGCTCGCGAAGTCGACACTGCAACGGTGACGTCTTGATCGCTGCTGGTATCCTCCCCCTTCATGCCGACGCGCGGCTTGCGACGGCATCGGCTGACAAACCGGTAGCACCACGCAGTCACCCTGAGCAGCTGCTCCCAGGTGCGGTATCTGGATGCCTGGAGGCGAGTGGTTGGCGTGACGGCAAGCGCGAACGTGGTCTCCCGCTGGATGACGCCTGGCAGACCTTCTGTGGACGCTGACTTCTCAGGCGGCCATACGTCTGGTTGCTGCGACAGGAACGCGGGTCCGTGCCACCACACCCGGTCCTCCGCCAACTCCTTCGCTGGTAGCCCACGGGTACCCTTGTCGGCGGGGTTCTGCTTGCCGGGTACGTGCCTCCACTGGGAGGGCTTCGTGGCGTTCTGTAGCTCTGAGACGCGGTTGCCGATGTCGACCTTGAACCTGCGGCTGTGCGAGCGGATCCACCCCAACACGTTCATGGAGTCCGTCCAGAACGTGTGCTCGGCGACCGGGATGTCCAGAGCGTTGCCAACTTCGCTGCTGGTCCGCAGACCCAAGACGGCGCCGCGAAGCTCCAGCTGGGGGATGGTCTGCCGACGAGCCGGGGCTGTCTTGGCCTTGGCCATGGCGAGCGTCACCCGCACGTTGCCGGCTGCATCCTCTGCGCGGATGTAGGTCGCCGCAGCGATGGCACGGTCAGACGCATCCGTGAACGTGTGGACGGAGAGGATGGACTCTGTAGCCGCCTTGAAACTGCGTGGCGCGTTGATGGCGGCCAGGTCGGGCAGCTCGTCAAACCACTCCCTCCACTTTCTGGCGTGTGTGGGAGGAAGCTCGTCGTCCCACGCCTGGTCCAGCAACCAAGTGTCCTGCAGCAGCACGCGGGCACGGATTGTGAACGGCGCAATTTGCCCACGAGGATCGAACGCCGACGCCAGGCCGCTGAGGACGGAGCGCCGTGTCAGCTTGGTGAACTCTGGTCGCTTGAAATGAAAGCTGAAGACGTCTTTATCCGCTGACCAGGTGACTCCCAGCGTCTTCGTAGTAGGCAGAGTGCAGTGGATATGCTCACCGACATTGAGTGTAGCGGATGCGGCTCGATCAGCAGCTGGTATGCTCTGCAGGACTTCCGCGCTGGTGGACAGCCACTTGCGCAGGTGAAACCCGCCGCGCGACAGGATGTCCTGGAACTGGACGCGGCTCTCCACTGCGTCGGCCACCGATGGGCGCGATGTCAGCAGGTCGTCGACATAGCGGCTCCGCTCCAGAGCGTCGGTAATTGCGGCTGAGTATTGCGGGCCGAATCTGCGCAGTACCTCCTGGACTGCCTTGCCCGCCAGGTAAGGCGAGGCCTTGATGCCGAACACCACACGCTGAAACTCATACACCCGCGGCTGGTTGTCGTCGAAGCGCCAGAGAAACCGGTGGTATTTGCGGTCCTCTTCCCTGAGAGCCACTTGGAGAAACATCTCCGAGATGTCAGCTACAAGTGCTACAGGCTCGGCACAGAACCGGATCAGTACCTTGACAATGTCGGTCTGAAGTGCCGGGCCGCTGAACATTTCATCATTAATCGATCGCCCGTCCCACTTGGCCGCGGCGTCGAACACGATCCGCACCTTGGTCGTCTCCTTGTCGTTGCGGACGGCCGGAAAGTGCGGCAGGAACCATTGCTGAGCACCATCGGCGTCCACCTCCCTGCTGGGCACTTCACGGATGTACCCCTTGTCGAGATGGCTCTGCATAACGTCGTGGTACTGCTGTTGTACTCTCGGGCGGCTGTTCAGTGAGCGTTCCAGGCTGCGCAGTCGTTGCGCGGCTTGCGGCCGGTTGGAGGAGATGTTGGGTTCGGGATCAACCCACGGAATGCCCAACTCCACCCTTCCATCGACGAACCGGGCCGTTGCGTTGGTGCGCTCCTCCACCTGGCTGTCCTCAGCAGATGGCATAGCGTCGTAGCAAGGCGGCCGTGCGCCGGCTGACTCCATGCCGAGATGGTTTCGGACGAGCGTCTCGAGGCTCAGATCCTCTGATGTAGGCGTGACGACTGCTGAGAAGCTGGCAGGGGCCAAATCTGCTCTTCCTGGGCTCAAACACACCCAGCCCAGTGGGGTGAGTCGGGCAATCGGGTGGTTAGGCTGCGCTGTAGTGGCTTCCTGCCGTACGGTGTGCAGCTCGATGGCGTTTAGACCGATCAGCACGTCGATCCGCCCCTCCACTGAGGGGAACGGGATGTCGCGGAGATGCTCCCAGCTCTGCTTGCTCTGGCTCCAGTCCACCGGCTGCACGCTCGGGCACACTGTTGGCAGCGCCCAGGCGCGGAACTCCGATATCGAGCCGTCAGCTTTGTCGACCGCGACGGTGACGTGCTCGTACGTACCGGTCACTTGCCCGCCGCCCAGGACGGACGCCGTCAGCTGCTTTCGTGGGCCACACACGCCAATGGCAGAAGCGGTCTGCTGCCTGATGTAGCTGGTGGACGACGCAGGGTCCAGCAGCGCAGTGCCTTGCACCCTCCTGCCGTTGTGGCTGAGGACAACAGGTACCGTCATGAACGACAGCGGCAATGCTTCGGGCGGTTTGTCCTCCTCACGCCGCTCAGCTGTTGCCATGGCGGTGTCAAGAGCGGACATCACGTGTGTGGTGTGTGCCTCCGTACACGACTCGGTTGAAGCGTCAACTGTGACGTGAGCCGTGTGACGACCGTGTCTCTCCGCTGGTGCTGGCTTGGTCGGCTTGGTGCCACCGGGCGCATCTCGCTTTGGCCTGTCGGAGTGCAGCAGTGCGTGGTGTCGTCGTTGACAGGCGCCACAGCTCATCTTGCATGCCGTGGACCAATGGCCAGGCGACAGGCAGCAGCTGCAGATGTCCTTGCAGGCGCGCACAAATTCCCATCGCTGCTGAACCGTCAGAGATTTGAACCTCGGGCACGCGCTCAGGTGATGCGTGCCCTTGCAGCTTGCGCACTGGTCTGGACCGACCGCGAAGGTGAAGTCTCCTGACCGTGGCGGACGCTTGGGCGCGACGCTGGGTGGGCATGGCTTCTGGGACTGCACGACTCGCCGTGCACTGGCTGGCTCCGAAGCCGCGATCCGTTCGTTCACCCTTGTGAGCTTGTGAACGCGCTTGAGCAGGAACGCGGCAAATGCGTCAATGTCACACTGGGTGTCGTCCTGCTTCTCAAAGTAAGCTGAAAGGACCGAACGCGGCACCTTCTGCGTCACTGAGAGATACAGCTCTCGCCCGGGCGCTATCCTGGCCACCCGCAGGTTCAACAGCGTGTTCCTCAGCTTGACGGCCAGCGTCTTCAGCTCATCCAGCTCGCGCTCCGTGTTGATTCGCGGCCAACTCATGAGCTCGCGTTCCTGCTGTTCGAGGCTACGGTCTGTGCCCCCGTACCACCGATCCAGCTCCTCCATGATGGCGGAGTAGGCGCCCGGGCCGTCTAGCACGTCCGCGATCAAGTCTTCGGCCGCTCCGTCCGCCAGTGCCTCCCGCAAGTGCGCGAGCTTATAGTCCTCTGACAAGAGCGGGTTCTCGTGTACTAGACGGAGAAACCGCTGACGCCACTTCACATAGGACAGCATCTTGCCATCGAACTTTGGCAGGTCCAGTGGCTTCAGGGACCTGCAGACTCCCATCTGGAACATAGCCGCTCCGTCTGCCCAATCGACTGCTGGGTCGGTCGCCCTGGTGGGCGGGAAGTAGGGTTCCGCTGCAGGGTTGAGTCCCGCTTCCTTGGGCTTGAAGGCCTGCTGGACTGGACGGAGTCGCAAAGGCACTGGCGGGACTGGCTTAGGTGGTGGGCTGGGTCCCGCTCCCTTGGGCTTGAAGGCCTGCTGGACTGGACCAAGTCGCAAAGGCACTGACGGGACTGGCTTAGCTGGTAGACGTCTGGGCTTCGCACGTGGGGCTGGGGTTGGAGCAGGTCGATACTTGAGCAGGCTTGCTCTCGGCACTGGAGCTGAGGTGTTGGGTTGCACTGCAGGCTGCACTGGCTGTTGCATGTTCGGCTGCATGGGCTGCTGTGCAGGCTGTGACCCAGACCCCTGTTCTAACCCGGGCCTGCGATGAGCCACTGCGCCAGCACCTGCGTCGCTGAAGGCACTTCGACTGAAGTGGTTGGCCAGCCTGCGCTTGGCCTCCGCGTCCGATCGCGCACGACGACTTCCCACGCCGCGTGGCCAGCTCCCACCATCGACATCCTCGCTCTCTAGCTCTGAGCTCTCTGGCTCTGAACTCGAGGTATCCACAGCAGAACTTCGCGCTGCCCTGGCACTGCTCGCGCTGGCCAACTCCTCCGCCGCCCTCGCCTGCTCGACTTCGAGCTCCTTTTCCGCCAGGTCGATTTGGAGGTCGATCTCCCGCTGCTTCAGAGCGGCGATCCGCCGTGCAGTCTCCAGTTCTGCCTCCTTGTTCCTACGCAATATCGCAGCTTCAAGTTCAACGCCCCCGACTTCAAGGCTCTCGCTCGCGGACGTCCTGCCGCCGCTCCTGCGTCCCGACCGCCTCGGCTCTTGGGCCTGCTCCCCATCGGAGAGGAACCGCTTGGGCATTTTACCTAGGGTTCTCCTGCTACTCCTTCGTGGGAACTCCATGACAGGCAACGGAAACCGAGACTTTCTGCTGGTCGTGATCCGGCTCGAAGGACCAGTTTATGGCCAGCTCTCTGTCTGGCTCGCTTTACTGGATTCTACTATTTCTAGACTGTATTCTTCAGGCTCACTTCAGGCTCGACTCGCATTGCAAACTTCTGTTGTTATTGTGTTTCCTACTTACTAACTACTAAAGAAGAAGACTACTGAAGACTAGCCGAAAGGGAAAGGCACCTGCGTCTTATAACAGCAGGGCAACATAAAGCACAGCAGGCCGAGCAGGGCGGCATAAAAGGCACAGCAGGCCGAGCAGGGCGGCATAAAAGGCACATGTGAAACCAGAGACCCGGACCCGTCAAAGCATGCAAATGAGGGCCGCTCTATCGCCTGACATGAATGCATACAAACCAGTATACATGACCATGCGTGCACAGGGGGCACAGCTTATTGTATTCCTGCAAACCTACAGTCTACGGTACTGCTGGTCTGTATGGCATGTAGGACTGCTGGTCTGCATCTGTACCTGTTCATGGTTATCATTGCACTTCGTCTTCAGGTCTTCAAACTCTTGCAGTGCTGCAGATCACAACAACAACGACGACGACAACAGCAACAACACATCCAACTTTTTCATTATTTTTAATACTCTATTTTCACAAGTCGAGCAGCGTGGGTGAATACTCTGACATGCTTAGTAGCATGACCATCCTGCTTAGTGGCATGATTCACACTCGGCTCACATTCCAGTGCATGATTCACACTCGGCTCACACAGAAATAATTCGCTCAGCCATCCACCATACCCCTCACCATCTAGATATATCATGTCTCTATCCGGCATCACTGAAGAAACCAGAAACCCCACTACATGTACTACATAGACGCACAACGAACACACGGAATATGGTGGACAGTTACTCTTAGCTCGTATCCAAATAGTCCCTTTCCTTTCTACATTTATTATTGCCTCAACACCCGATCGTGATCGTAAAGGAGACTTTTTCGTTTCATGTAAACGATCAATATTAAACACTTCTAGATCTCAGCCGGCAGTCTTGTCCGTAACGTGGGGACGGCCAACATGTTCATGTGAATCTAGATGGGTATAGTATGATCGGGCGCCATAGAACACTTCGCCATAGAACACTTCGCCATAGAACACTTCGCCGAAGAACACTTAGGCTGGAAAACGGCACAAATTGAAGAACAATCCAGGCTAGATTTCAGATCTACAACACATGTACTGCTTTTTACGTGGTGTGATCGCATCACATGATGCTCTCCACGATCGCGGAATGAGAACAAAACGACTAAAATCTGAACATTTTAGAACAATGCCAGGCTGCGCCTTGAGCCCCTCCGTTCTCCGGCGCCCGATCTTCCTGTAGTGCACGTACAGAGAAAGTCTGTCTCTCATGATACGTTTCCTGGTGACTACTATGCGAGCATGAAACTCTGAATTGCAACTAATTCCGAGTGGTCTTTCGTCCTCCATGTGCACACATACCAGTACAGTAAAACCTGTAACTAAAGACCACCGTGACTAGTGACCAGCCTGCTACTACAGACCACCGTGACTAGTGACCAGCCTGCTACTACAGACCACCGTGACTAGTGACCAGCCTGCTACTACAGACCACCGTGACTAGTGACCAGCCTGCTACTACAGACCACCGTGACTAGTGACCAGCCTGCTACTACAGACCACCGTGACTAGTGACCAGCCTGCTACTACAGACCACCGTGACTAGTGACCAGCCTGCTACTACAGACCACCGTGACTAGTGACCAGCCTGCTACTACAGACCACCGTGACTAGTGACCAGCCTGCTACTACAGACCACCGTGACTAGTGACCAGCCTGCTACTACAGACCACCGTGACTAGTGACCAGCCTGCTACTACAGACCACCGTGACTAGTGACCAGCCTGCTACTACAGACCACCGTGACTAGTGACCAGCCTGCTACTACAGACCACCGGGACTAGCGACCAGCCTGCTACTACAGACCACCGTGACTAGTGACCAGCCTGCTACTACAGACCACCGTGACTAGTGACCAGCCTGCTACTACAGACCACCGTGACTAGTGACCAGCCTGCTACTACAGACCACCGTGACTAGTGACCAGCCTGCTACTACAGACCACCGTGACTAGTGACCAGCCTGCTACTACAGACCACCGTGACTAGTGACCAGCCTGCTACTACAGACCACCGTGACTAGTGACCAGCCTGCTACTACAGACCACCGTGACTAGTGACCAGCCTGCTACTACAGACCACCGTGACTAGTGACCAGCCTGCTACTACAGACCACCGTGACTAGTGACCAGCCTGCTACTACAGACCACCGTGACTAGTGACCAGCCTGCTACTACAGACCACCGTGACTAGTGACCAGCCTGCTACTACAGACCACCGGGACTAGCGACCAGCCTGCTACTACAGACCACCGTGACTAGTGACCAGCCTGCTACTACAGACCACCGTGACTAGTGACCAGCCTGCTACTACAGACCACCGTGACTAGTGACCAGCCTGCTACTACAGACCACCGTGACTAGTGACCAGCCTGCTACTACAGACCACCGGGACTAGCGACCAGCCTGCTACTACAGACCACCGTGACTAGTGACCAGCCTGCTACTACAGACCACCGGGACTAGCGACCAGCCTGCTACTACAGACCACCGTGACTAGTGACCAGCCTGCTACTACAGACCACCGGGACTAGCGACCAGCCTGCTACTACAGACCACCGTGACTAGTGACCAGCCTGCTACTACAGACCACCGTGACTAGTGACCAGCCTGCTACTACAGACCACCGTGACTAGTGACCAGCCTGCTACTACAGACCACCGTGACTAGTGACCAGCCTGCTACTACAGACCGCCGTGACTAGCGACCAGCCTGCTACTACAGACCACTTCGCCAGGCACGGACGGTCTCACATTATGGTTGTGCAGTGCAAACCTCTAAGGATCACCTGCCACTAAAGACCGCTTTCTCCGGTCCCAAGGCGTGGCCGTTAAATACAGGTTTTACTGTATAATATGTAGTGATAGTAGTATGTATAATATATGTACTGCATGGTGAACAGTACAGTGAGATATTGCGCCGAAGAATGTAGCGGCTCAGCCAAGGTGCAGCCTAGCATTGTTCTAAACAGTTCAAATGTTAGTCAATTCACTCCTATTCCGAGACCATGAAGAGCATCATGCGATGCGATCAACCAAGTGGAAACAAGGGCGTAGCAGCCAGCTTTGGCCGGACCGGCACAAAAGTGCCCAGAATGCAGGATTTTGCAACCAAATTTCAATATTTCCCGGGGGAGACCCCCCCCCCCCCCCCACCGGACCACCTCCAACGGCGGTGCCACGCGCCTGGGAAAACATGTAGAAAATAGTAAATGCGTTCTTGAATCTGAAAACAACTAGCCTGAATTGTTCTTAGTTTTGTGCCATTTTCCAGCCTAAGTGTTCACAACTGGCGTGTGTACGCGTGAAACCACGCGTTTGTGCGTATTTTTGCTGGCTTTTGGGGCGCCATGCGTACGGAAACGGGCCGAAATGGAAATTCCAACATAATTCCAACATGTTGGAATTTTCAGCGCGTATCAGCGTACATGCCAGTCACTTTGACTGGCGGGGTCAAAAAATTAGTACTCGAAGGTGTCCCACGCGCTAAATACGACTGGGATAGCTGTTTTTTTTTTTGTGAAAGCTTGAGCGCGCGTTTGGGCAAGCATGAACCGCAAGCGTACCGCGTCCCCGCGCCAGTTGGGAACACAGCTTTAGTGTTCTTCGGCGCCGGATCATACTGTATCTGCGGAATGAAGTCCTAGATTGTATATCTACACCATTATTGGCAATAACGTGGACTTTAAAACTTGTTTTAAAAGATAGCACCTGCTGCTTGAATTGGCCTTTCTAAATCACTAGTAAGACTGAGAGAGGCGTGCAGCACACCACCACGCAGACAAACTACAATGTAGATTATGTAGATGTACCTTGCTTGGCAAGGCGCTTCAGCAGCTCGTACTTCTTCTCAGCTTCTTGCTGCCTCCGCTTGGCCTCCACTAGCTGCTCGCTAGGTTTACCCAGCAGCCCGTCGTGCTCGGCAGAGGCATCGACGCTTTCGCCTGCTTCTGGTCCTGGCGGCGGCGGCATGTTTCGTCCAGGCTACGAGGATCTCTAGGAGGCGCTACTCCCTAGTGCTCACCGAACTACACGTAACGATGTTTTTAGGTTTGTCAATCACTAGTTGCCAATCAGCTAGCTAAAAAGAAGGACCTGTTTTTTTGTCAGTATTCAGCATTTCAGGACTTGAGCGCTGCCTGTTGCATTGTTGGCGACGTGGGCTGTCCAAAAAATCGAGATACAACTACAACTACTTACAAGCCCAGTCAGCAAGCGACAGACTTGCTCGCACTTTTTTAGTCTTGGCTTGCATGGCTGTGCCTGAGGCTGATGTGATCTCCAGAACGAACCTGATGTCGACAGGACTGTAGTGTAGAGTGTAGTGTAGTGTATAAACCACAATCATGATTGCTACATCGTACAGCGTGAGTGACTTGTGTGTGTGTGTGTGCGTGCGCGTGTGCGTGCCTGTAGTTGTGTGCGTGTGTGTGTGCATGTGCGTGTGCGCGGGGCATCCAGCCTGGGAGTAGTAAAAAATAGTGTTGTACCGTATTTTTGCTACTCCCTGTGATCATGGTGATCAAAACAGAAAAAAGGGTCTTCTTTTACGATTGTTTACGTCATACATAGCCGGTTTTTGATACTACCAAGACAAGGCAAGACGGCAAGATCAGAGTACATAACCCAGTGGGTTATGTACTCTTGATACTACAGAGTACAGTAACCTGGTAACAGACTGAGTACAGTGCTGGCAACTGAAATCCGACCCCCTTGCCGGCGCGCCGCACCGGCAAGGGGGTCGGATTTCAGTTGCCAGCACTGTACTTAGTACTGTACAACTACACCTAACTTTACAAGCTGCTGCTAGCAGTGCATGCTACCAAGAGTACATATGTACTCTTGATGCTACAAAGCAGGGAGTCGTAAAATACCGTATTTTACGACTCCCTGCTAGCTGCTACAAAGTGAAAAGGTGTTTTTGACTTTTGAAGTTTTGCTCAGTTTTGAATGTGAATAATTATTTGCATTAGTTATGTAGCTTGTAGTTCTTGAAAAAGCCAGGTGGTGCTCGAGATGGCGTTGTTGCTGCGAGTAGGAGCGAGAGCTAGCCCACTGAGACACGCTGTTGCTTTCTGCAGCAATGTTCCTTCTGCAGGGCAGAGCAATGTTCCCGTAAACGAGTCCGGAGCAATCTCTCTGGATGACCCAAGCCTCACGCCCCATCAGAGAATGGCACTTGCACTGCGAAGGAAGAGAGAGAAGTCTAAGCGCGTACAGAAGCTGCCAACAAGGCTAGGCTCCATTCATGATTGCGTACGAGTGTTGCGTTCTGCTCCGGACATGGTTTCTGTCAGGAATACTCTGGAGCAGCTTGAGAACAACACCGACTTTGCTATGCTACACACTGCAGATATCCAGCATCTGATGTCTACTCTGCATGAACTTCGGGTGGACACTGCCACGCTTTCACAGATGGTATGCACCACTCTCATCGCACGCTTGCGCAACGATATGGAAGTACACAGTGTGATCTCGACTTTTCTTCTGATGGTGCGGTACGAGCGGCTGCCAATTGGTGTACTCCAGGCATTGGACGAGCTGGTCTGCGACAATAATAGGACTTTGCCGGTTGTCATTCTGGGCTCGGCTGCACAGGTGTTTTCACGCGCCAAGGACTACCCCCGGCACAGGCAAGTCATGGAACACCTCGGTGTGCGTATTAACGAATATGAGCATATACACCATGGATCATTGCCTGGTGTGCTGTCGGCTTACCAAGGAGAACTCATTCATCTCCTGCCCCGATCCTATGCTCTCAAAGTCCAAAAGTTTCTTGAAGTAGAATTTGATCGCTTGCTGGCTCGACATCCTGGCGTCGTTGTCCTTTCGCTCAGGCTGATGAAGCAGTTTGACATAAAGATGTCGGCTGAGTTCCTCCTATCCACATTCCAGTCAATTCGTTTGTCACTCGAGCAGGACCCAATGACCAAAGACCACATGATGCGTGTGCTGACGCTGCTCGACCATGGAGACGCGGTGGACCAGCACTTGCAACAGCTCATCTTGAACAGCATCGGCAGCATTGAAGATAAGCCGCCAATGTTCATCCAAAGTCTGATACAGTTCCTTACCACCTATTCAATCATGCTTCCAGAAGAGCACCAGATAGCCTTAAATTCGTACCTGCGAGACAACATCGCCTTCTTCATGGAAACGTACTTTCGCCGCAAGACGCTCCTAACCTACCTGAACAAAGCGCCAAGTAATCCACATCTGTCATCTCAACTGATTGAAGAGATGTGTGAAAAGTCCATCTCTGACATGCACACACTGTTGTTCTCCGACGCTATCCAACTTGTGGATTTGCTGGCGCAGCTTCCCTCGACCGACTTCCGGCCACTGATACGCTTCTACACACATCTTGCCGTTCGACTGCACGAGGAAGGTGCATTCAAGAAGTTGACCGTTCGTGATATTGAGGGTCTTGGAAGATCCATGACGAGAACCCGGCTGTTCATACCGCGCATGTTGTCTGGATTGTGCATGTTTGTGGAGCACATGGGAACGGACCGCTTTACCGGAAGCCCGCTTAGCAGCTGCAAGTGGATACTCTTGACGTTTGGCCAGTGTGGTTTCCTTGAAGATCCTCAAGCTCTTGCTGCTGTCAGTAGGATGGAGCAATACGTGACAGGATCAGCACTGAAAATCTGCAGTGTCGAGGATCAGCTTCGACTGGCACAATGCTTCTGCTTTTTCCAACGATTTCCCAGAGGTCTTTACGACAGCCTGTTCAGAATCTTGAGTGTGCCATCCTTCTCCATGTCGGGCTTCTCCGCCGAAGATAAGTACAGGTTGATAGCGTTCCTGTCATCATTGAAAGCAACCGATGTCAACTTGCCAGTGCCCCAGTTCCCGGATGCGCTTATCAGCGAGCTTCAGACCGTCATGATCACGCGCATGTGCTCGCTTCTTCGCACGGCACGCTCTAAGAATCTTCGCAAGATGGTGTACAGTGTAGTCGGCAATGAGGATGCTATGCTGAGCAATATTGTCTCACCCTCTGGCTATGTCATCGATGTAGCTGTGCTGATCGATGCCCATGGCGCTCTTGCTAGATGGTCCGACTATGATTTCGTCTCTGATCTAGACACGACCACGCAATCAGCGTATATGGATTTGGAAGAGAAGAGGATTTTCCCGGTGGTTGTCGATGTCCAGCGAGCCACTTCTTTGGGACTGCAGCCAATAGCCATTACAGCCATCAGTCCAACAATGTCCGTGCTGAACACTAGCCGGCAGCTTGTGGGCACCATGGCACTGTCCTGTTGGATGGCTAGGTTGGACGGCTGGAAAGTGATCACGTTGTTTGAGCTGGATAGTTCAAACACCAATAAAGTGCGAATTGCTGAGGAGCTGAACTTCTTGGCCTCCTAGCTAGCTTGTGGCCGACTTACTGTGTGTCCTGGTGAATAGGGATAACTATCGTCTACAGGGAACCCTTTTTAGTTTTTATACGTCATTTAGTTTTCCATTTTCGGAGTACATGCGTGTAGAGCTACATTGTAGCTCCATGCCTGCAGAACGTACATCTGTAGTGGAAGTGTTGACAGTCACTCAGGGTAGGCCCAATTAGCAGCTGCAAGTGGATACTCTTTTACGTTTGGCCAGTGTGGTTTCCTTAAAGATCCTCCAAGCTCTTGCCGCTGTCAGTAGGATGGAGCAATACGTGACAGAATCGGCACTAAAAGTTTGCATTGCCGAGGATCGAGGATCAGCTTCGACTGGCACAAGGCGTCTGCATGTTCCAACGATTTCTCCGAACTCTTTACGACAGCCTGTTCAGAATCGTTGTCATTTTTTTAATATGCCGCCGGCGCGCCCTTCCCCATGTCGGGCTTCACCGCCGAAGATAAGTACAGAATCATCTTGATACTGTTCCTGTCATCATTGAAAGCAGCCGATGTTGACTTGCCAGTGCCCCAGTTCCTGGATGCGCATATCAGCGAACTGCAGACCATCATGATAACGCACATGTGAATGTATAACTGAATGTATAACTGGACCACTTGGTATAACTGGACCACTTGGTTTCAAGTGGTCTGCTGAGCAGACATGTATGTTGCTATGCCTCACTGTTCACATCTTTCCCACGGACTTTGTAGTGTGTGCCGGGTTCTGCAAGCAATACAAAGTCTGATTCCATGCGTACAAGTTTGATGACAGTCAAAGTTGTGGGAATGATGTCAGCAGTACTATCGAAATACTTGAACTGCACAATATGCAGGCTATAATTATGCAATCTCAACTGTGTCATCAATGGCATATGGAATCGACCCCATAGAACAGCACAGAACGAAACAGAACAAGAATCCTCATGCAGCCAACGCACATGACTACAAGCAAGAGTACAATACTACATAAGAGCTTATAATATTTTATTCTCTAAGAGAAAACAAAAATAACATAACTCCCTGGAGTTTTCTGTTCTCTTGAAATAGCGCACATGTGATACTCTTGCACAATTGATACGAGGCTCTCAAGCGCTAGGCCAATCCATGTACAGTGTACGTGTACAGTACAGTAAAACCAGAAACATCCGTTGGAGTTAAATTTTCTTTTCTACTTGTCCAATAACTCCAACGCAGCCACTTACACAGTTAGGAAACTGCACTTCTCAACTCCAAACGGTCTCTTCACTGCGATTAAAATTTACATTACACCAAATTTTCGGGCCTAGCCCACGGCCATCATCTCAGTAATTTTTTTTAAAATTTTCAGTAGTTCAGTGCTGGTCAGTGAAATCCGATCGCAGGAGTCAAGTACGTGCCGAGCGCTGTGCAGCCCCAAGCCTGCGGAAACTGGGATGTGCACTGGTGCAGGGCGCAAAGTTGACTCCCTCGACTGGATTTCATTGAGCAGCACTGTACTTGAAGAAGAGTGCACCAAAGACCGATATCAAAAATTGCGAAAATAGAACGCTACCGGGATGCACCCGAAACGTTGCACCACCGAAAATTTCTGGTTTTTATACAGAGTAACTAGTTACAGGATTCTGGTCACGTGACCTATTCTGTACGTACTACCTCCGTAAGCTAGGCTAAGCTGCAAGGCACTGCTAGCTGCAGTGGTAGTTGCACGCACACAGGCATGCTGATACACTACTTGTAGGCACGCCATACTAGTACTGTCAAGGCGACTACGTGTATTTAAACTCCAGCACTGTCCTGCGCAGGCGGAGAAAACACCAACCAGAAATCAGCAGTGGTAATAAGCGTTAAGACTAAAAAGAAGTACTAGTAATGAGAATAAGCTGGTGATACGCGTAGGATACTGTGACAGTAGCATGATGGCAAGACCAGGACGACAGTGCCGGGAACGCTCGGTAAAATTCTAAAAATAGCTGGTCGACAAGCAACTCAAATTTCTAGAAGTGCGCGTGCAGCAAGACACACCTGGGAAGTGATCGAATGACAATTGGGGCTGTGCAGTGTGCACACCAGGGTCAGAGCAGAGGAACAGTTTTGGGCTCCGTTCACTGGAGCTTTGCAAGCACAAAGGTCTCCAGCTTCACAGTGTCAGCCGCAAACTTGCGAATACCCTCAGCAAGCTTCTCTGTTGCCATTGGGTCCTCATTCATCATCCACCGGAACTCCTTCTCGTCCAGGGAGATCTTTGGCTCTGTTACACTGGCAGCTGCAGAGAAAGACCACGCACACACATCCACCCGGGTGCAGCAAAAATGTGTAAGTGCACCATACAAAGAATGTGTGAAAGTGCACATCAGTATCATTGACATGCAGATGCAGTCTCTTCACGTTGGGTGATTTTTCTCGGCACAGATAGGCTTCTCTTCACATCGCAAATGTGAAGTATTTTGGAATCATTAAAAATTCGGTAATGGTTTTCGTAGTTCTGATCGAATAGATACCGTCCTTTGGGTTTGACATGCCTGTTCATAGTGGTACTTCATGTGATTCGCCCACTGAACATTGCGTACTGTTGCGAGAATGGGAATCGGGCCGGTGAGAAATACCAAAGTATCACGGATACGTCACCGGGTGAATCTACTGCTTGCAGTCGGAGAGGTTTGTTGTACTCTACAAGTGAGCGAGTGCATACTACACAGCCTTACCATTATCAGCGGACAGCTTGTGGGAAACAGCATCATTCATGTTTTGCAACTTCTCAAGCAGTGCAGGCCTGTTGAAGACAAAACAGAAGTAGTGTAACACTGTTGAAAAGAATACTCAAATACACGTTACAAGTACATGTACTAAAGTTGGCCTTTCGTGCACCCAATGAATAGCCAAGAGCAGTAGTATGAGAGAACGTTTGCTTGTTGCACCAGTAGTCGCGCGCATGTGTGTGTGTGTGTGTGTGTGGGGGGGGGGGGGGGGAGCCCATAAGTGGGATCATGTCCAAGTCCATCCACAGTTTGGGGATTTCAGGGGGTGTCGGCTGTTGGGCAGTTCAATAGCCAATTGAGCCATATTCCCCATTCCTTTCAGTCTCTCTCCACTCTCCTGTGGAGAACCACATGACTAATTTTGGCAGTGAGCAAGTACAGTGTGTGTGTGTCTGTGCACGCGCGCGTGCGTGTGTGTACAGCTGCTGTCACGCAGTCTTTCGTCGACTGCGCTTGGCACAGTGATATCCATGCCAACATCTGTATCACACCGCTGAAATGCTTCACCTCCACACTAAACCTTTCAAGTATTCTCCAATTCACACTGCGAACAAAGTGCACTTTCCAGTCCTTTCTAAGTACTATACTAACAGCATTGATACTTGTGGAAGTTCTTTTCTTCTGAAATGCGCTCCTGACATGCAAGATGGACCCCCTCCCAGCATGACTACCAGGAAACCAGTCCACACTTACCCAATGGTTAGCAGATCGCACCCAGCCAACTCCAGAATCTCGCCAGTGTTGCGGAATGAAGCACCCATTACCACGGTCTTGTAGCCATACTTCTTGTAGTAGTTGTAGATCCGGGTCACGGAGACCACACCTATTGACAACCAAAATCATACACAAGAGGAAGCATAGTAATAAGTATGGAAATGACCATACACAACACTCAAAGAGCGGCCAACATACCGGGAGAATTAAACACCATAGTCCGAAGACCTACACACAGAAGAAAGGGAGCGTCTGCATGTGGACATGCGACACAGAGAGAGAGAGAGAGAGAGAGAGAGAGAGAGAGAGAGAGAGAGAGAGAGGGAGAGAGAGGGAGAGAGAGAGAGAGAGAGACCTACCAGGATCTTCCGCCCCAACAAAGTCTTTGCCCTCAGCTTTCTTGTACCAGTCGAGGATTCGGCCCACGAATGGCGAGATAAGAGTAACACCAGCCTCACAGCACGCAACAGCCTGCACAACAGCATTTAAAAAATAAAACAGTTTCGAAATGTTTGTCACATGGAAAACATTGATACAGTCATGCTCATGTATTAAGCACGGATCAGCATGTGCACCCATATATGTACACAAATGCTTTATACCCAGTTATGCACACATACAGCGAAGCATACACATGCCCCCCCCCCATCCATGTACCATGACCCACTATTGTACCACTCACATACATTCAACATAATATTTGCTTGGAGTTGAATGGAACGACCTAACACAATAGTGGTCGAAGTGACTTGCTATTCGCTAACCAAAACAGGACACTTCCATGGCACTATACCTGGGCAAAGGAGAACAGTAGTGTCATGTTGCAGTGGATGCCCTCAGCTTCCAGCACCCTGTAAAGAACAATTGAATCAAGCAATGTACACATAGACACAGACACAACATCAGTATCCCTACAGAAGCAAGTACATGTATAGTACATATGTCAGTGCCCAAATCCAAACTAAAACATAGATCACTACAAAATACTGTAGAGGCAGAACATTTCGTCGGTCAATAATTTCGTCCACCTCCAAAGAAAAGGAGTTCGTCCGGTTGAAAATTTCGTCCATAGATCATAAGAGTGTATAGAAACACTGGACAAATCGATATTCGTCCTACATTTAATTTAGTCCAAAAGCTCCTTGGACGAAAAAGACGAAATTAAATTCCAGACGAATATTTCTGTTTATACAGTACTGAAGTTACCCAGATGACAGTATGTGATCAACAAATCTCCTAGCTAGCCGACAGCAGCGACACTAACAGAAGCAAAGACGGTGTAGAGGATAAAATAACTCGGGCAGAAAGAAATGATGACCGCAGTAGCACAGTGCATGCAGCACCAATAGCAGCGAAAGCAGACAGGCAAACCAACCAATGCACCGGCACCTACTTTGCAGCCTGCACGCCTTCCCATGTTGTTCCCAACTTGATCAGGATACGGTCGCGGGAGATACCGGCTTCCTCGTACAGCTGGATGAAGCGGCGTGCCTTCGTGATGGACTTCTCAACATCAAACGACAATCTGAACAAAAGGCACAAGTTACGTGATACAATTTTTCCGCGGCTCACAATATGAGTTTTTTTAAATGAACAAAAAGGAATTGGAAATTTCAAATACTAGTACATGTACATGTGAAGGACTCTAAGCTACAATTTGCTACAGCAAGCCCTGCACGATCCTCCCGCCATGGATAACCTGAACTGAGGGATTCGAAATGGATGAGTTTCCCCTCACTGTTTGAGCAGAGCCAATGTTTGTAGGCAAACATGGCGCCATGGCAAAACAAATCCGGACGGCCCATGACCAAAGGGGTTGCGAGTCCAGTTAGGCCCTAACTGGAATGGGCCATCTGGTGTTATTGATAATTTTCAGAAAAGGAAAAAAGTTTAGTTATGACGAAAGGATTTCATATGACGAAAGGATTTCGTCATAGACAACACTCGTTTGTGTTCAGCGCATTTTCATGAAGGGAGTAAGACAGCCGAGCAACCAGATCCAGTTTTGTTCTCCCACCGCCATTACCCTCTGCATCGTGTAAAGCGCTCTCGCCAATCACTGGAGTCGTCAGAGACCACTACTGCACCAGCGATAAGTCCAGAAGATATTGAGGCCAGTAGTAATGCCAACACTATGACATACGCGCTTGGGTTAGGGCATACGTCCTCATCCCTTCAAAACAGCACCTCCTGTGCGGATGAGGACGTATGCCCTAACCCAAGCGCGTATGTCATAGTGTTGGCAGCTTGGAGAAGCAGCTGGCCGATACTGAGAAAATTGTTGCACAACTAAAGCACGACATTGAGGAGCGTGAGCAACGTGTCTTTGAACTGGAACGCCAGAACGAGGACCTTGTCCAGAAAGTTGCAGACCATGGCAAGTGCAGCTTGCCATGGTCGGTGACATGTATAAGTATTACACTGGCTTGCCATCCATACTCATAGATGCTTTCGAGGCATTGCTGAGGAGCCTGAAGCTGACCAGTGCGTATCTGTACTCGAAGGATGGCTGCCAACATGGTCCGCAGCGCCAGCTGAGTCTCGATGATGAATTTTTGATGACATTGATGAGGATACGGATCGGCTTGCAGCTGAGAAATCTACAGTATCGATTCCGGCTGTGAGATGTGTGTCACGTTAGTAAAATAGTTTCGGCATGGGTTCCTTTTCTGGCTGGAACTCTTCGCCCCTTGCTAAAGTGACCGTCCAGGCGCAGTGTTCTGAAGCACATGCCAGCTGGCTTCAAGGAAGACGCGACATATCGAAATGTCCGTGTGATATTGGATTGTGCTGAATTTGAGATGGAATCCCCGACTTCCCTCTCACTGAATGCCATGATGTACTCTGCTTGTAAAGCCCGGAACACTGTGAAGAGTCTCTTTGGTGTTACCCCAGACGGCTATATAAGTTTTCGTGTTGCATGGATACCCTGGATCCATCTCTGACAGCTCCATCACAGTGAAGTCAGGAATTCTGGATCTGCTAGCTGTGAGGGATGATATTCTTGCGGACAAGGGATTTACGCTGTCCAACTAGGTTCTGCAACCAATAGGGCTGAAGTTGGTGGTTCCCCCAGTCCGTTGTGGAGGTTCCGCGTTTTCAGGTGAGGATGTGGAGAGAACGAAGAAGATTGCCAACCTACGGATCATAGTTGAAAATAATTGCATCATGCGCACCCGGTATTGCCGTCTTCTTCATAACATGACATCAATGCGTTTTCCGGTACACCTGAGGGTGATGTGGTCGATATGTGGTGCGGTGAACTTGAGAACTGCCTCGGTGTAGATGCAGAAACCAGAGAGAAAATCTGCCGCACCACCATGCAGCAATTTCAGTCACCTGTGTGGTATACCGAACAAGTATGCCGGGGATATAAGAAGTACATGTAGTGTTTGCCGACAACCGAGCAGGCTGACGGCGCAGACGCAGCCAGGGGCTCCTGGTTACGCCACCGGCTAGGGCATGCAAGCTGCTCGGCGAAAATCAACGTCCCTTTTGGTACCGAGAGCCTGGCGCAAGCCGCACACAAGGATTGCTTCTCATACTACAAACTATACACACACTACTGGCAGGTAGTACGAGTGTATGATGCCATATTAGCACTAGTCATAATTGCTAACCAGGTAGGCCATAGGGTCTCTTCTTGATCTTGGCACGGAAGGATCACAGGGCGCGTACTAGGAAGTGCTTTAGACAGTAGTGTGATGCATATTATGGTCGCCATGGTGGACTTGAGAATACAATGTGCAATACCGTAACTGCTTTAAGGCTGTCATCACACCATGGTACAAAGCGCTGCGTCTACGTCCACGTAAGGAGTTTTTGGTCGGTTGTCATGATGATCCGTATACGGGGTGAAAACGGGAGCAGAGGAAACGGGAGACGTAGACGTGGTATGGAGAGGGGAGGGGTATACGACTTTTTGTATGAACGTGCGTATCTCCCCCAGCCTTTTTCCGAGCGACCCTGTACTTCGATGTACATGCGTTCAAATTTCTCCAAAAACGTGACTGCGTGTACGCGTCAAGAACTGTGCCTGTCTGATGACACGACCACCCGTTTTGGTTTTTTCACCGTAGACGTAAACGGGAGTCGGAGAACGTAGTGTGATGACGGGCTAACTGGGAGGGCGGGAGTGTACTACATGTGGAAAAGTAAAAGGCTGCACATATATGGGCAACACGCAACGCCTACTTATGGTTGAGAGAGAGAGAGAGAGAGAGAGAGAGAGAGAGAGAGAGAGAGAGAGAGAGAGAGAGAGAGAGAGAGAGAGAGAGAGAGAGAGAGAGGATGGGCAAGCTATATCCTTTACTGGCTAGTGAACAGGGGCCACGTCGTGGTTCTCGCCAGCACCGCAGGTACAAGGTGTAGAGTACATTGTCCTAAGCTAGCCAGATCGCTGGGTCACGCATCGTCCACAGATTGTGAGGCCAATGCCGTGGCCCAGGGTATGGCAGCAACAGCATGGTGTGCTTCATCACAGAAAGTTACTTGATCAACGGCACAGTGCAAGTGGCCATCAATTTTCTTCACCTTTCACAACACACCACAGATCGGTAAAGGAGCAGCAGGCACTGCTTACTAGTATAGCATGATTGTGCTTGAATAAACCAGTTGTATACATACCTGCTAAGCAACAAAAAAAGCAGCCCCTCGTTATTGTGCCTTGATGTGTGAGAGAGGGGGGGGGGGGGGGGGGGCTGGAGAAGGAGGGGTAGTGGACGTTTGAATTATTAGTACAGTCTGTATCAGGGTTACACCTGAACCTTACACGGGCAAGGTTGGAAGATACAGTAGTGCAGAAACAGACACATGACTATGCCATCAGTAGTACTAGTACAATGCACACAAGCAAGCAAGTGGTTTGTGCTTTCGATAAATGTTCAAACACCTTTTAGTACACAAGCACACACAGGTGTAATCCCGGCGTCATTTTATATCATAATACGGGCAGTCTACACTATCATACATGGGAACAATAGCGGAATGGACAATAGCTTCATGCACGTATTACTTTCCATAAGATACTACAGTACGGTAGCAGCAGCAGCAGTACTAGTAGTAGTAGTACCCAGGCTACCCTTGGCCGGAAAAAAAAGGGGGGGGGGGAGGTCATAATGACGGGTCAAAAAGGGTGGTGCATGTATGTCGTATGTCATTGCAGGACATAGCAGCATGGTGCCCGGTACCCCACTTCAAGATTCCAGCATTCTTTCCAATGGGTCTTCTTATCTGTTCTTTCAAATACTTCATGTGTGGTGAACCTAAGTGTGTTGGAGAGGCTGAAATGCGGAAATCTACAGCAGCACACCGGCACCGGCACTGCACAGCACTGTTTGCAAGTCAAGTGCCTGGCTGGGAGGAGCACTTGACTAGGATACGCACTTAGTACATTGTACAAAGTCATGCAAAGAATCCAGGACAGGAAGCACGCCTGCAGTTTCCGCTCAGCACAAAAGACGATCTTCCTTGGACAACGGGCAAAACAATAGGGTCCAGACCAAGCAGGTATCGCTTACCTGGCGTCCACCTCGGTGGAAACGCGTCCTGGCACAATTTTCAAAATCTCCAGACCAAAATTGACAAACTGCACGGACAGCAGACCGAAAACAATAACAACAGGAGTCACCACAAGGATTGAAGAGAAGGAAAGGAACGACGTACAATGAAAACCTTACCAGTTTGTCAATAGTAGCTTCCAGTTTCTCAGCCATGGTCCTGAAAACAAGAAAAGCAATCGAAAACATGTTCAGTATTTCAGTCGCTTACACGAATCCACTTTTCAATAATGTGGATACACTCACGAGCCATTTGCCTTTCCGAATTTCACGGCATCTTCCACAACTGACGCATATTGCTCCTTCAAAGCAGCAGCCAGTACAAGGGATGGATTGGTCGTGGCATCCGTCGGCTTGTATTTTCCAATGGCTGACGACAAGAAAACAAATGGGGGTGTGATTCGGGGTCACTCGACTGATAGAGCTCCAAATGTCCTCACCTTCAAAATCGCCGGTGTCAGCAACGACTGTCGTGAACTGCTTCAGTTGGTCAAGAGAAGTGGCCATAGTGGAATAGGAGACGAGGCTGTTTAGGCTGATCTTATGTTAGGAAAACTCTCACTTCGACCGGTTGGAAATAGTGACCAAGTCGAGCTCTCTGTTGTTTTTGAGTGTGAGTTGAGACCTATGACTATGTGTTCAAAATTTTGATTGATCGACTTGAACGCCTCTCCGCTCTGGATCTGGTCAGCTATGTGCTGTACGAGAGCAGATCTAGCTACCTGTATGATGAGATGGAGACACTACTGCGTGACTGCAGTCTCGATCTCTGCTCTACTTGAAGTTGAACTATGAATGATGAGGTCTTGATGACACTGACTGACTGTGAGTGTTGCAAGATCAAACTCAAGAGTGCAGTCGACGTGGTTGTGCTCTTGCCTCTTGGCAAGTCTTGCTACTACAGGTACATGTACTTGTGCTGTACTAGCCTGTAGTCTTTGGGAGGAGCCGTGACAGCTTTCAAGTTTCATGACTCTCTGCTTGCTGTGGACTATGGACCAGAATGGTGGACGGTGGATCTGCAAGTACTAGTATTAGTTATACTAGTGGGTCGGTTAAAACTGGAATATATTGACCTTTGATAAATACCCACACTCATTAGTGACCACACCATCAACAGTATAAAATTCAAATAAATTTGCTTGACTCAATAAATACCACTGTACTTTTCCATGCAGCACTGCACTTTTCCCTAAAAAGGAGTATTTTATAAACAGTATTTATTGGCCTAGTGGTATTTTATAAACAGTATTAATTGGCTTTTGGGCCAATAAATACTGTTTATAAAATACTCCGTTTTAGGGAAAGTGAAGGTCAACATATGTATAATAAATGTAGTAGCCTCAGGATTTATTGCAATTACATACCATTACCAGTTATAAAAACCTCGGGGGAACTCGGTTTTTATACTGGTATGTAATTGCAATAAATCCTTCGGCTCTACATTTATTATATACATAAAAATGTAATGGTGAGTAGTAAAACACAAAGCATTTTACTACTCCCTGGGACCTGGTAGAAGTACTTGTACAAGAGGTCTACGACATTTCAACTCGTTCTTCACGAACGCACAAAACCTCCAGGTTTCAAACAACGGCTCAAGAGAGACCATCCATTGTTTACTTTTGGATCTTGTTTGCTATTGTGCTAGAGTAGAGGACATACTATTTGTAGTAATAAACATCTTTACTCCCTGGTGTAGATCTACAGTGCACAGTCCACATATATCGCGCGAGTCTCGATTTGTTGGTGACTTTATTATCCCGAGCTCAGCGGATAATCAGCAGAGATTTATCAGTACAGTAATTGCCACAGAGCAACGTATTAAAAAGTGCTGCCTTTCAGAAATAGAAAGCACAACAGCTTGAAAAGATAATTTATTTAAAAAGAAGTTTGTCCCTGATCTATGCAACTATTACTTGTATGATGTCATATTTAAAAATAAAACACAGAAAAAACAGCCATGGCTTAAATCGGGATAGGAAAGCAACAATGAATCTGCACATATGAAGACCAACCTACACAGATTAGACTGGTTAAAAGTTCGTCGGTGAGATACATTCTAAAACTTCTAAAACTAACAAGAAGAAACGGGTGAGACGAAGACTCAGTAATGTTGAAGTAGAAGGCCATGATGTCATAAATTAGTATATTGGTACTACTGAAGATGAGGAGGCATAGCATGCAAGACTATAACTTAAACTACTGTCTAGTGTGTTGCAAGAGGATGCTAGAGTAACCCGGCACATGCATGCAACAATGTTAGTGACCAAAGATAGAGACGAAAATACATCAATCTACGGGTATCGTTTAGGACACCAGGACTACGAGAGAGTCACTAGCACTAAATGACGAGTAAGGAAATAGAAATATATAAGAAACTACAGGTACAGAGTAAAATGTGAGCTACATTACCTTACTCGTACATCTACTGGTATGATGTTATGAGAGTAGTTATGGGAATCGCCGGTGAAACTAGGGAGTAGCAGGTTGTTTGAGACATGACAGTTGGACAAGACGATTGGCAGATTCACTCGAGAGCGAAGCTATGCGGCGGCATATAGCGGCTCTGCAGCATTGATGCTGATTGGCTCAATGTCATTCGCTGTCTTCATCATGGGCGTGACACGGGTAGAACTGTTCAAGGGCAGCCTGTGTTTGCGCCAAACTTGTAGCAAGCTGGCAATCAATTCGTCGATCATCTCCTCGGTGTGGTGCGGACCTGGCGTCAGTCGTAGCAGTTCCTGGCCAACAGGCACCGTGGGAGGATTGATGGCTTGGATGTAGATGCCGTGTTCTTCCAGCAAATCACTGGAAACCTTGGTACACAGGCCTGCGTCACCAACCTGAAAGCAGAAACAAGATAAAACAGTGCTCTGTATACATTTTCAAGACATCACAAATCAGGATGACCTCCAGAATAAGAACTCGAGCGCCGAATATATTTCAAAAGAATATTCATATTTTCCATACCGTGACCGGCATAAAGAATATTCATATTTTCCATACCGTGACCGGCATGCCTGCATGCTTGCCAGCAGTACGCGTACAACACTGATATGCTACTACGCCATGGACAATGTAGTGTATCTCACCACCTTGAAGCCTCCAATGCATCTACACATTAGAAGGTCAGCGTCAACAGTCTATAACCAAGAGTATGCTATTGTGATTTCTTTGTTCGGGGGCAGCTCAGCTGCAGCTGCATGGCATGCGGCCTTCAATGCACCTCGCAACTTCATCCGGGCGCTGCGCAAATCAAACACTACCCTTTCCCTGTGTTTGGAAATGAACTTTCGGACGGAACTGAAGCACATGCACCATGATTTAACAGGATGTGCCAGGACTCAAACGAATCAAGCAAAACGGATGGATGTGCACGTGTCAGAAGTAGTAGTAGGTTCCGAGGGCCTGAGCATGAGTTCAGGGCGTGGTGAAGTCAAGTTACATAATGAAGGTACAGTAACAACCTCGGGTATAACAACAACTCGTGAATAATGACACAATCTTCAGACGTACATTGTAGTGGACGTTCGACTGCATACTTCCAACCCACAAATAACGACACTTTCCTCATGCACTGTCGAGGGCTGTTCTTGGAAAGGCTGACTGTAGCACACTACACACTGGCTCGTGATCACAGTTTCATAGTCCACTCTTGTTAGCATGTATGAGCACCAACAGGCAGCACAGAGATGAAATGCACAGAGCGCATGAAGTAGCCAGGAGAGCTGACAAATTGCAGCATCAGTACAGCAAGGGTACTCACATGAACAGGCACAATGTGACTGGGACAGTCGATGACAGGGAAGCCGGCTGCCAGAAGACGATTGCGCACAATCTGCACGCTAGCCTGCTGGCGAGCACGCAAGTCCCGGCCTTCTGCACCGCGAAGGAGACGCACGGATACCAGAGCGGCAGCCACGGACGATGGAGGCAGCGAGGTGGTGAAGATGAAGCCAGGCGCTTCATTGCGGACTGCATCGACAAGTGATTGTGGGCCGGCGATGTAGCCACCTGAGAGATGGAGCAGCAGCAAACAAACATAGGAAGGAGCAGCCACTAAGTAATCAACCTCTGGCCAAGATGTAAGGTAAGCAGTACAATGAAGTAGAAAGTGAAAATGCTACCACTCATGGACGCTATGTTCACAGCATGGTCTAGGGTTTGTAGTGATGGGGCCATGCAGCCCCAGGGCTGTTATATTCATTAGGTTCGTTTTCATTGTCATCAGTGCTGCATGTAGATAACCGAGCCAGCATCACGCATTTATCCAAACAGCATTCTCAACAAAATTTCACGGTTCGCTTGAGTCTGAGTAAGCCTGAGTTTTCAGCATCTGTAGGAATGCCACCACCCCGCAAAGATCAACAAGTATGCAGGCAAACACAAAGAAGAGAGAGAGGGAGAGAGAGAGGTACGTACCAACTACACCAAATGCCTTTCCCAGTGTGCCCGATATGATGTCGACCTTGTCAACAAAGTTGTCACGTTCTGCTATGCCTGCTCCGGTTTTGCCGTAGAGGCCGACAGCATGGACTTCGTCGATAAAGGTCAATGCACCGTAGCGATGCGCAAGATCGCAGATATCACCAATCGGACACACATCACCTGTCATCGAGTACACTGACTCAAATGCCACAATCTTCGGCCGAGGAGCTATGCCACGTCTTAGCTCTTCTTGACAGTCTGCTTCCAGCAACTGCTCGAGGTGATCGAGATCATTGTGGCGAAAGACGCGTTTCGGACAGCGGCTATTGCAAATGCCATGTATCATCGACGCATGGTTGCCAATATCACTACAAAGAACAGTGAACAAGAGATGCACAACAGCACCACACCATGTAAGAGAAGCACGTGAATCTGCAAATGCAATGGATGTACAACCACAGATTTTCTCTTATAGTAACTATAGTGGACAAGATCTGCATGAAACAGATCAAGATTTAAGCGCCAGATAACAACAGACACAGACACACACACACACACACACACACACACACACGCAGCACACATACATTCTGATACCGTATTATCTCTAATATAAGCACAGTCTCCAATAATAGCACGTCTCCAATAATAGAACACTTTAGGGCAGCATTCAAAAAATAAAGTGCTCAGTCTCCATTATAAGCACACTGTGTAAATTCATTATCTGTACCGGCGAAAAAAAACCCTGAAATGTGTGTCTGACAGATAAATCTGGCATGGCAACATGCCTCTGAAATGAGGTTGAAATAATAATGGAACAGTCTCCAATAAAGGAACGTCTCCATTAATAGCACGGGGCGGAGGTACATTGAAAAAATAAAGAACCGTGCTTATATTAGAGATAATACGGTATTTCACCAGGTGGACACTGGAACATAAAATCACATATAAGTCCACCTGGCCATTCCCACTGAGATGATACGAATTAACGAAGAAAACCATAGAAAGTCACAGAGGAAAGGCAAACAGAGAAGTGCCTGACCAGTGTGACGGTACATCACAGAGAATAGAAGCGTCATACTAAAGGATCACTATAACACCAGATACAGGCATACCTGTAGAAGATACAGTCCGGTAGCCATCGCCCAATGGTGCTCAGAGAACTCTCGTTGGCGACAAAGCATGATGTGAAGAGCAAGGCTTGCTCTTTAGAGTGCAGCGCTGCCAGCTCCCGCTCAAGCAAGTTGTGGTAACGACCATTTCCAGAGATGTTCCTGGTTCCACCCGCACCAACTCCATGACAGTCGATTACACGCCTGGTAGTGGAAAGAACAGTCAAATTACATGGCATTATCAAGTTGGACTTCAAACACACACACACACACACACACACACACACACACACACACACACACACACACACACACACACACACACACACACACACACACAATTTCACGGCTCTCACCAAAGTCAGTCAGATTGCCCTTCCCACACATACACACATCAGTATAATTATAGTGCACTATAGACATGTCTCAAATTCGAGTAACTGCATGAAGCTATACAAAATGATGTAACTGCCAGCATTCTCCCGCCACTCACTGTGCTACTTCCTTGACCAAAGGATGTCGACTCATGCCCAGATAGTCATTGCTGCACCAGACAACTTTGCTCTTCTGCGCAACGTTTGTATGGTTGACTATATCGATGAGGAGATCAGCAACATCGCTAGGCAGGTCGCGGCCTTCAGCCCCATAGGCAGACTCAACACCAGCGCTGAAGCTAAGCAGCACATCATCCACAGCTGACCGGGCTACGTCGCTACAGAAACTCATGGCTGCCGGGTGTGCAGATGCCAGGCGGTTGATCGTCTTGAACTCGCGATACACATTCTTCTGCTTCTTTTCCTGCACTTGCGCCTCAAAGAAGTGCCGATAGTCAAATGACAGAGCCTCGGGACCTACACGAGCGGGACACAGCAAAGAAAACACACACAAGATTTCACAGAACCGCAGCCAAACGCACACAAAAAACCCTATCAGGGTAAAGAAAACGAAGAAGAAAAATCGATGTACAAGCGGAAAGCAACAGCTGCACTGCAATGAGAGTGACCAGCCTCTACAGTAAGCCAAATTGTTTCGAATGACGTACCTGATGATTTATAGAATTCCTCATGCTGCTGTTTTTGCTGAGCTTCCTGAGCTGCTGCCGCAGATTTCGTTAGACTTACATGCACCAACTGAATACCACCAGAATCGTCTTGTGACAGAAGGAAAGGACATCCTACAATGTGAGACAGACAGAAAGCATGAATTTAAGCAAAAAACTTTTAAAAAGATGTGCAAGCTAGGTTGGCGGCATTGAAGGCAAATTATTTATCCAACAACCATTTGCAAGCAAAGTACATATGCATACCCAGTAAACCCACCGAGTGTTAGGTCAATGAACACGGCTTAGTAACATTTTTAAAATATACACATTCACACCTATTTGCAGCACCGACAAAACTCACCAAGCTGGAGGGGCAAGAACTTGTCGGCAGCCGACTTCACTGCATCAGCTACTCTGCGAGCATTGGTCGTTGTGTTCGCCACAGATAGGATAGCGCTAGCAAAGGGACACTTCTTCTTCACCTGCTCTACCGCAGTGTCTACAGGTATCAACACAAACCAACAAGGGAAAGTGAAAAGGGAAATTTTCAGGGTCATCATCACCAGGCATTATTTCCACGTGAGCACCAAGCAAAGGGCTTATGCACTTTGCTGCACCTATTCTACCGTCCACAACCACACACACGCACAAAGACAGGCATCAGCATATGACACACAAACATAATGGAAGAAATTATACACACCAAGACCTACAGTCACCGGAGGTCATAACAATAGCAGCAGCAGCAGAGTACACATACCTGCTGGTTTCGGCGGTCTGACCTCCATGCGGCCCTTGCATACATCCTCGCAGTTCATCGGGCAGAGGGATGCTGACCTAGTGACATCCTGGTCTGAGAACACAAAAACACATGGCACAAACCCGGGAATGAGGTCCTGCCTCCAGGTACTGCTACTACAATAATATAGTACTACTTGAAGTACCGTGTACATACACTGCACAATACACTGCTGCATCATGCACCATTATCATGTCCATGGCATGGCATCCACAGATACAGGACTTCGACATACATGTATAAGCAAACACCGCATACAATAGTTGATCATAGACATAGGGCATATGGGAAAGTTGGGTGTCCAGACTCCAGACACCTAGTGCTAATTCCTAGTCCCGTCCCCCCCCCCCCCCCCCCCCCCCAGTCAAATGAGGGACTGCTGTGGGACTCCACAGGAGTCCGGGTCATAAAAAGAAAAACGAGGGTGCAATGTGACATCCCCACTTCCTGCTGAGTGCAAATGCCCATGCACATCACAACATGACATGAGCATTCTTCCACAGTGGCACTGAGCAGGACAGCAGGGTACTACTCAGCTAGTGCTCATTGAACAGGATGCCAAGACTCAAGAGTTGCACATTCATCAACAGGAAGTTGGGACTGAAACTCAGCCCAGATCCCCTTCAACAACACTGTCCATCAAAAGCAAGACAGCACTTTCACTGGCAATCACCATGGGCAGTGCTCCCTACACATCAATCACGATGACGTTAGTCTTTACAACAAAGTTGGGTTGTGGAAAAGTCATAGAACACCACAACTAATACTTCACAAGAATAAGCACTTCCACAATGTCTGTGTACATAGAAAGCAACAGTGACTGTCACAGCGTATTACCAAGCAATCCAAACATAGGGTCTAGACTGGCTGGAGAAGACAGCGAGCTGCAAGAAGAACGTATCGTCACTGTAGGTCGCACCAAGAGTACATGATGTACCCTTGGACGTACTAGTGTTGAACAAAACATCATGATCTCTTCGTCGTTCAGCCAGCAGAGCAAACAAAATTAAGTCCGCACTACACTGGTCTCCATTCAACTAGGGACATAAATCAATCCTCCATAGCTGCTGATGTTCCCGACTTTCTTGCAGTAGACTCACTGCGAAGAATCCGACGAGAAACTAGTTACTGGTATACTAGCGTGTGCAGCATCCTAACGACTATCGACGGAGGAAAACAACAACCCACACAGTCTAGGCTAGGCTAGGGTAGCCAGGGCAGCCTCAGCTGCTGCTGCGTGCGATTGCCATCGTAGTGCAGTGACAACACACATACTGCCACAGTTCTAACTAATCAGACTCAGAGACCTTCACTCCACGAACTGACGTAGGGCTGTGACCACAAAGCAACGGATGAGTTAGTCACTAAGTAATGCTCGGATCGCACTAGTACTAGTAGAGAAGTGGAGGCAACCCAGGGCCAAATGGGAGTAGTTTTGACATTGTTGTTTCGCAAGCGGACGCACGAGCAGCAGCACCCGTAGCAAGAATACAAGCAGCATACGCGAGCGACGGGGATATAGTCAATGAGTACCGTATGACTTCTCTCTCGTGACGCTGAGATGAACGAGTCCAAACAACCGGATCGCGGAGCAGACGATACACAACACACCACCGACAGTATGAGCCCTACTTGAGAGTGATCCACTGCATGCACCAAATACCACTTAGCCCATCCGGAAAAGGAACAACACGACTGTGCGACTAAGTTCTACTATGCCACGAGATGTGAACTATCCTCACATTGAATGTAAAATTATACAAGAAAGACAAAGCCAAGAAAGCGAAACTACGCCATGACTCGCCTCACCTTCCTCGCTTCCCTCTGACTTCGCCACAAAAGCAGTCGCAGGAGCAGTTGCAGGAGCTAAATTAAATATCACAAGATAGAAAACAGACCAAATACTTCAGAAGCGCTTGATGATTTGAGGAGTTCCGGAATTCAAAAAATTCACACCTATAAAATCAAGAAAAAGAAAGGACGAATTCAAATCCATATCCACCACACGAACCATGAAAGCCATCAGGACAAGACAGCCTCAACAGTAAGAATTTCTTTCCTCTCACCTGCAATTGTACAAGCTGCTCGAACAGGATTAGCCAGGACATCTCTCATAACTGGACATTGCTCAGCGTATGACTTTAGAGATCCTCCAGCATTCGCCAGGAACGATTTGGAAGTCTGCCGGAGGAATGGACATTTTGCAACAGCACTCGACATGGATAGATCAAGGTGGTGACTCTGCTCCAGCAAAATTGGAAATATTATAAATAACTAAGGACGCCGCGACACTGATTCACTTCTGCTCTTCACCGAAAGCGAGAAGGATCTGAAACAAAAACGATCTCAACGACCGATGTTGAGCTCAAAGTCTCAAGATGCAGTTCACGTCTGTCTGTTCAGCTACATCATTATCATGTACAACTCACGCAAAAGACCGGCAGTACCATGAGTACCCTGCATGCAGTGTTCATCATGCGCGAATCTCTTTGTCACGTTTGCGAGTCCGCATGTATGTGCTCAGCTCAGTGAGACAGTGACACTCAGCTCAGACAGGGCACTTCGGGGAGGGTCGATATGTCGTTCCACCGTGGTCGAAATGCAGGCACGTTTCACGGTGACGAAGCACTTTTCCTTCCCAAGCGTCTACTCTGGTAAACCAGTTGGCTGCTTGCACCGTAGAACAACAGCAAAGCTAAAACTACTCTTGCTAAAAGTAAAAGTAAAAATTAATGTTTTCTTCTCTCTGTCTGATCTGCTCATCCAGAAAGGAGGAGTTCTTCACATGTACGAAGTCCACGTGCGGCTTACAATTTACAAACATGTGCCTTTTTCAGTCCATGCGCCAAGACCGAAAAAGTCGTCTAAAAGTTGTACTTTTTTATGCAGATTAGCCACTTTTCGGAGCTGAATATATTCAAATCTTCGTTGAAAAATTGTCAAGAAAATGTTAGATGTCTCGAGTCGTTTGCAGTTTTCTTTCCATTAGTGCCTGCTTGCGGAAGTTTTGCTTTCCGGACACCTTGATTGGGTCTTTGACCTTATGTAAGTCAGTTTTAGTGGTCGTTACTCATTGTCTCGACGTCGCTGGGAGTGTTCTTGTGGGAGCTGTCAAATATTCGTAAAAATCAGGCAAGTGGCAAAGAAAAATTCGCCAAATTTTTGGGCAAGGTAGTATGTAGACATCGATACTTTCCTTTGACTCTCCACCTATGTGGAAACACTTCCAGAAGCGTTCATCGGTGTCCGGTTCTTGATGGGGTCGTGGTGGCCTCCACGGTTTGGAACAAAACAAAATCAATGCATTGTCTGTCGTCACCAGTGGGAGGCGTATTACATGGCAAAGAAACGCACCAGCACCCATATTCACTCTTGAGGGGCCTGAGATAGAAGCCCACATCATCTTCGTTCAAATGGCGAAGTTCTAACCAGGGTCTGCAGACCGCAATTTCAATGTCATTTTTTGGTCCCTTAAAAAATGGCCTAGCCAATAGCCTGTATGTAGTTTATGAAGCATTGGCGTGTTCTTCGGGCTTGCAATCATGTTATTAGGGAGGTTTAGTCCCACGTAATCCGTGGGTACTTTACGTGGGTGTACCACGTGATACTCAGTGACCCACGTACAGACGTTTTCTGATTCACGACATACCGTGTATGGAGGCTCACCCACGTTCCGCCACAACGTGGGTGAAAATCAGAATGGAGCGCATTGTGCGAGCTGTGAGGGTGCTCAGCTGAAGAAGTTTCCGAAGCACGAAATCAAAATATTCGATGAGCTTCTTAGGCCGGGGTAGCTTCGTCTTTGACCAGGTTTTGGCCTTTAGCTTCATGCTTTTGTTTGTTCCGTGTGACTAAACACAACATTGCAACGTGGGTGCCCTTCATCCACTTTACGTGGATCACCCACGTACGCGTTTCCGTTACGTGGGAACTAAACCTCCCTATTATTACTCATGAACTTCTCTTGTAAGATTCGTGCGAAACTGAAAGTTGTAATGTACTCTCAGGACAGCTTGAAGTAGGTTTCAATTCTCAATGAAGCGCAAAGGTCTTAAGCCGTCATTGTGAATGTCAATGGGAATATGATCCAAGAGTCCACAACCCCAAGGGAGATGTGTGATGGACTCTTAGTATGATATGTGCGCAAAGAACTGCAGTTGAGTCAATCTTTTAGCAATATGGCTGCGTTCTGAGTTATAGCACATTCTTAGACTCTTATTGTACTGGAGTGTGCACTTTATAACATGTGTACATGTATAACAAAAGCTGAATTATAGAACGGTAGAAAATGATATGCCCCATTCTCAGCTTTGGTTTCTGGCGTTCTTTTAATTATTAGTATTTCAGGCTGCGTGTTCTTGGGCTCCATGTTCTTCAAAGGGGAAGTATACCGTAAAATCAAATTTTCACCAGTTGTAGTCTTTGGGGTGCTGAGTCGAATGGTCTTGGTCCAAGGAAGCTGAGACGCTCCCTTCCTCCTTTATTCCCAATCGAACTCGCGCACTTCCACCGAAACTGGGTGACTGCGCCCTACTAGATAGGGATTTGTATGGAAAAAATCACTAAAAACGCTGTTTCGTTCTTATAAAAGCGCGGATGACCGCGATTGGTCCATAATTATGTTGTAGTCTTTTGGCCGCTGAGTCGACTGGTTTTGGTCCGAAAAGGCTGCGATGCAGCGTTCGGCCCTTATTCCCAATCAAACACGGTTGAGTAAGCGATCACGTGCTCACTTACACTGTTTGGGCCCGTTTATGTCACTCGAGTTGAACCTTTGAACCAGGGAGTCGCAAAAGCCTCTTACGACTCCCTGCTTTGAACCTTTGAGTTGAACCTTGATCTGAAAATTGTAGCCTGCAGGCACGGTGACCAGGCGGCTGGTATACGCATGAGCACGTGACCGCTTACTCAACCGTGTTCGATTGGGAATAAGGGCCGAACGCTGCATCGCGGCCTTTCTGGACCAAAACCAGTCGACTCAGCGTCCAAAAGACTACAACATATGGACCAACCACGGTCATCCGTGCTTTTATAAGAACGAAACGGCGTTTTTAGTGACTTTCCATACAAATCCCTATCTAGTAGTGCGCAGGCACACAGTTTCGGTGGAAGTGCTCAAGTTCGATTGGGAATAAAGAAGGAAGGGAGCGTCTCAGCTTCCTCGGACCAAGACCATTCGACTCAGCACCCCGAAGACTACAACTGGTGAAAATTTGATTTTAGGCTTAACTTCCCCTTTAACGAGGCTCTACTGTACATGTACATGTGATGTAAAGAACTTGGTGTGCCCCCGTCAATTTCTACCTGTAAACAACTTCAGCACATACACCGGAATACAGCGCTGAACCAATACAATAATGGACCACAGCTATGCACATGGACCACATGATAGTACATTCGAGCGCAGGTATTCCGGGGGGGGGGGGGGGACTTCACATTATTTCACTTGCAAACACATTGCACGTTACATGCGATTTCGATTCCTTCACTGTAGATCTACATAAGAAAAGGAACAAAACAGCCGAGCTGCAGCATGCATTCTTGATCAATAATCTGGCACACCCTGGTTTCAGTCAACTACATGGTAGCAGCTAAAAGTGCTTATAGCCGAGACACAGGCAGGAAGTGCTATATGTGTGCTTTCTTTTCCATCTCCATCACAATGAGGAAACTCAATACAAGTGCAGACTGCCTCTTTTACGGCCAAAGAAACACAGCGTATGGTGAAGAAAGTGTCCTAAGGGCGAGAAAAGGAAATAGCTAAGTTATTATTATTATATTATTATTATTATTAAAAGCATGTCCGCGTAGGTGGCGGGGGTGCCACTTTCGCTTATGCCATTCAGGATTGATGTCTGAAGAGTAATAGGAATAATTATGGTAAAGCTACTACCGGTATAATTATAAAAAGACTGAAACCGAACCCTTTAAACAACTTCCAGCTAGTATGTGACATACAAGTCAGTTAGGTTCAACACTATGCCAGTGGATGACAGGGCAGTGCCCAACTCCGATGCCAGCCAGCCACGTCATGGACAGACGCCCCAATGAGATGATGGTTAGGGATAGTCGGAGGCGAAAGTTAACCACAAGGAAGAACGGAGAAATTGTGTACAGCTACAAACAGGATCCGGGAACACAAGCTTTCGGTCAAAGGGAATGAATTCTACACGAGCATCTTGAGAAAAGCACATGTGTCATTCCCCATACTTCACAGTCTAGCCAGCACCAGCATTTACACACTGAATGTCGGCATAAGATAGAGTGACCAAATCAGGACAACACTCACCAGGCCTGGCCATCAAACAGAAGACTGTTGTCCATATTCGAGAGCCACATGGATCTGTATGCAGTGACCATGACCATGATACTCGACAGGCACTTGGATACCCATATGTGCACAGAATATGATTGGAAAAACCTCAACCAAGACAGAGGCACTGAAAATCTGTCTCCAGTGGCTTGTTTAAACACGGCTACGAATCCCACCAGACCAAACTCACACAATCCACTACAAACGAGCTGTAAATGGTCAGCGTGCTGTGTTCGAAACGCTGGACCACATTCCTCGGCAAAGGACATCACGGGTGTGCACGTACTCTTAAAACCAGTTCAGCCGTGCATGGGATGTGGCAGTATTGCCTGTGACCGAACAGCTTGAAAAAGAACGAGACAATCCCTCTAGTAACTGCACATGGCACATTTCACAAGGCATACCCTTGGCCTGAGAGTACACCATGACGATTGTTCCTTCACTTCTCTAACCAGTTGGGTCCACACTTGAGGTCCATAATCAAGATGGAGAGCAGCCAGCTTGCTCTATAGGAACGCATGCGACAATGTTCAGTAGATGGCATAATCCTGACTCCTGCATGGACAAAAACAAAATGAAAAGCCACACCTAGTCATAAGCATCGTGACTAGTATACATGTAAACTACTACAGTCGTCCCTCTCTAATCCGGCACCTTTTGCTACGGCGTTTTCTGCTGGATTAACGAGGATGCTGGATTAAGAAATCCTGCCCTCTGACCCGGCCCTACCCAATTGCATGCATGTATCATACGTCAAAACGCAGGGTTTTTCCGTGTTGACCCAAGTATTTGGTGCACGGCTTTATATTCTCAATTGTTCTCCGGGAATATACACAGTGATAACATGATAAAGTAAAACAGAGAACATGTTCACATGTACTCTTGCACAGACACGCACACGCACACACACCTGAAAATTGGCAGGACACTACTCCTTGCTAAAATAAGAAAGTATGGTTGACTGCTTAGCCGTTGTCTCCTGCACAACATTGACCAGACTGGCCTAGCCTGGCCTGGCAAGGAGTGCACCTGTACGATCGTACTGCCGGATTATGAAATCAAACTACGTGCAGTTTGAGTGATTCGTTTCAAAAAGTCACTGCCGGAGGCGGAATTCAAGTGCCGGATTAAGATGTAGGAATTGAACGAAAAAAATCGGTTTCGTCAGAAAGTGCGCCGGTTGGCAAGGGTTCCGGATAAACAAGTGCCGGATTAGAGAGGGACGACTGTACAGTGTATTCTGAATGCAATTGAACCTCAGAACATAAGCCATACCCCTGGCAACTGCATACCGTAGTTCCACGCATATAAGCCCATGGGCTAATATACGAAATAATGCATTTTCCCGGAAAAAAATCAGTAATAATGGTTCGTTTTTTAGCCCTGGGCCTATATTCGAATTTTGAAGGCAGCTGGCACGCGAAAAAGTACAAGTCTGTGCGCGGTTGTCCGCCTACCGTAGGTACCGGTACTGGTAATGTAGTCTGCACTGACATGCTGTATTATCGGTTCCGTATTAAACGGTGTTTGGGTCTGTTCATTAGCCCATGGGCCTATAAACGGAGGTGGGCTTATATCCGGATATAGGCCCATGGGCTTATATGCGCGGAACTACGGTACTCACGGTGGAAACTAATTCAAACTTCACAAAATGGGGTTTCCAGTACGTTTTGAACTCAACATCGATAACGAGTAATCTATAACGTAACGATTATGAAGTTGATTGTGAGGAATTATTGATCAATGACCGAGTAATCGGTATAATCGTTTCAGCCCTACTTGTACTTCATAGATGAACCCAATCCCACGGGCCACGACACGCTGATACCACCATATGCCATTTTTACAGGGTTTAATGCACAGCTTCCACATTCCATACTGGTAACACAACTACAAGCACATGTGCGTGCCTCTATGTGAGACCAATCGACCTGCAAAAGTTACAAATACGGCAAAAGCGTGTGTATAAGCGCATGGGCCATTACGATATGGTCCTCTTGTCAGGGTCTGTTCACTGTAATGTGTAACTAATGCTGTCCTTTTTTTCTTGGCTTACGGGGCAGGAATATCTCAACAGGAATGTCCCCGTTGTGTTGGTGATGTGCAAGCGGCGTGGGTCGGCTAAGAGTGCAGTGTGGAATGGTGGAGTGAGTTAATTCACCGAGAAACGATGAAAGTAATAATTGCGCCTGCCAAACACCATGAGACTCCAGAACATGTCTTTGTCTATGGAGTAAATAAGAGTGCATACATACATATTTAATTCTACCCAAATTCCCATGACTACCATGTATGAACTGCAAAATCGGGTGAAGTGCCTCAATGGACATCGCTCTGAACTACAATTTTGACCCTCGTTTGCAGCTGATCTGAGAACGTGATCAGCCTTTTGAAGTATATTTGTTCACATTCAAAACACCTATTAATATTTGTAACATCGTAGATAATTGTTCTCAAGTTTACGAGAAGAAAATCAGAAATCCATCAGCCATACCAGTTTTCGTGATTCTCGTGCATTGGCAACTAGGGTATTAGGAAAAATTCGCCAAATTTTTGGGCAAGTTACTATCAAGACAATTTTTGCTTTATGAGCAGCCTAGGACAATGGACTATACATACCTAAGGTCTGGACGGTGTCCGGTAGTTCACTTTTGGTTCTCACGCCATCAAGTATTTTGGCATCCAAAAATCATAAATTCTGGACGACGCAAAATTGAGAAAAGTGGCTCTGCTGCAACATGACGGAAAAATCTCTGGCGGAACGGCTTCCAGATTTTGTTTAGGGACTATCCTAGCCCTCAGCAGGCCAAGTTACAATAGCATTCATGAAAGTCTTCCATGCCAAATCGAAGACGATCAAAATGATGATTCCGCTCAAAATTGGTCACAGAAAAAGTCGAAAAAAGCGGCGTCGTCATCTTCATTTTGCATAAAGATTCGGGTGATTTTTGGCCCTTGGCGCATGGACTGTTTTTGTGCTCAGGAGATCGAGATGAAGGATCGGAGACATAAAGCTTACGTAATGCCCTTAGGGCATTACGTAAGCTTTAGGTCCTTTATTTTTCATTTGTGTTCACTCACTTGCCAAGTTGCCCCCCGGCCCCCCCCCCCCCCGGCCCATTGCCTGGGTTATTGTATTCGATAGTCTGAACAGTGAACGCAGCGGCCCACAATAGAGTGAGATTTGACATTGAACTTGGCTGGGTCATGTCATGTGCTACTGTAGTTGTTAGGCATGTGTCAAATCTGCCTTCAAAAGTTCAATGCATTCATGATTTCTCAATCCTATTCGGATCGCATTCTATTATCATGCCATCATGCATAACGTTTTGCACTGCACTCTATACTATAGTCTAGATAACACAGTCATGTGATCACACGCAGTACTGACTGCATACTGCCCTGCAGCGCTGGCCGCTGAATGCATCGAAAACTACCGCATACTGTACACGGCAAATAGATTATCGATTGCGGTGACACATGGAAGAACATGCATTGGATGCCGCTTGCTGCTGCCGCGAAAAGCCAAGACTTAAAGAATTCAGCACTGAAACCCCTTGCTTGAGGCTTTGCAGTGTCACGGAAAGATAAAGAGCATTAAACATTTTTTTAAAGCCTGCACACCCCGCATTTTGTGGTGAGTGAAGTGAAGGTCGGGGTGCATGGGCAAATAAATCTAGAGAAGAACATACCGGCAATCACTGTGGCACAGCCGACAACGGATTTTTCTGGTGTGCCGCCAACAAGCACCAAAGCAACACAATCATGCACCATTCAAATGGGCTGAACTTGTCACGAAGGTCACTATAAGCAAGCTCATCAAATGTAGCTTATACTTTAAAAGTAGTAGTATGCAGCATAGATGGGATACATGGGCCACAGGTTCATGGGATACATGGGCCACAGGTTCATAATTGCACATGTGTTCTATTCCAACAGTCGTTCTTACACACGTAGAGCAGCAGCACAGCATTTGCACCATAGGCACGTTCAGGTCCATGTAACAGTGCTGGAAGTGCTGGTGGTCAATGCCAAAGACGAGCTAGGCTTCATACGGGCCATGGCCAAATGCTTGCCGTGTTGCACCATACAGCAATGCTCTGATGTTCGTCATCAAGCCACGCACCGCTCCAGTTGAGGCAGCTTACGAGGCTACCTGCAAACGAGAGAAACTCCAGCAGCTTTCTCTGAGCAGGAAGCACCCTAACAGGTTCCAATGGGTTCCGCTGCTGGAAAGAACACATCCCTGTCTCTTACTATGTACTGCTGGCGATCCGATCAATGCACAATGTGCATCGCAGAACAACGCCTCCAGTCACTCTCGTGCTGTACTGGCCTCATCAGGAGGCATATGGCATAGCCGTCATCTCTCACCGGATCATAGCTGTGCGTCAGAGGCAACTCTGCATCCACAAGGTGCCAACCTGGAAATACTGCAAGTCAACAAAGTAGGTAGGTAGGGCAGATCTCCAATCTATAGGTTGTTGCTGGGTTGTCTCCTTGGACCAGTAGCACACTGGGCATAATTGAATGACAACTGTAATCGTGTTGCTCAGTCAGCAAGGTTCTGCTCTAGCATGATGTCAGTTGTGTATGACTGAAGAGAGAAGAGCTTGAGAACTGCTCTTCATCAACATCCCACGCCAAGGCTCTCAGAGCTGTATGAGACGGATAGGGTATATTCGTGTTACAGCAGCGGGCATGCGACTATCGTATAGACAAATGTTGCTGCTGCTGCTGCTGTTGTACAAGACCATAGTAGTTTTCCAGACACTCATTCACAAGTGGGTGGCCGTCTCCATGAGAAATCTGCAGGATGGTTAGCGCCTAGTTGAAAGAGCACACATACACATGCACGCGCGCGTGCACACACACACACACACACACACGTGACACACACACACACACACACACACACACACACACACACACGTGACATACACACATACACACATATACACACACAGGCACGCCACAGATACACACATAATTATGCTGTGAAAGAAGGATTCACGGGCAGACCACACGTGTCTTTCTGGGACTATGCCCTACTGATTAGGCCATGAAATCATACACCTCTGGCTCCTTTTACTGCACACATGAGCAACACAAACAAGCTAAGTGTGAATGTGTTCAACAATCCAATCACAAAATAAATCAGATAGCAGGCCAAGCACACATTCACAAGACCACTGATATTATTCATCCTGTCGTACTGTATAATCCTTACCTCCCTGAAGCACTCCATGCCCTTGGCATCCTCATTGACACACAGGCACAGCTTGCCGACACGCATCAGCTGGACTCCAACGTTGGGATGCTGTCGGCCGTAGTACTGGCGATACACGGGTAAAGTAGTCGACGAGAAACGCAGCGCGTCGCCGTAGCTTTTCAAAGCCACGCAGCAGTCGCTGGCCGCGTCTTTCAAGCGACAGTGCGCCGGGGAGCTGTCGCCCAACGAACAAGTGGCACACTGCAGTAGCTTTGTGATTGCAGTTAAGGCCTTACGCGCTGCATCGCCGGTGTCCCATGTTGCTGATGCGATAGAAACACAACAAAAGCACATACATGTACACAACACATTTTTTAAAACAATTCTTTGATTCAGACTCGGATCGAGAGCCAAGGATCATGCTTATAATTGTTAGTGTTGGACAAAAAACGAACAACTTGTAAACCTTTGGTCCTCTCTTTTTAAATATATGTTTGCCTGCAGATGTCTGCATCAACATCCGACCAGTGCCATTTGCTCACAACAATATAATTTACCCAAAGAACTACATTAATCTACAAGCTAACAGAAAGCAGACAGGCACTACAACAAAAGCGAGCCATTCTGTAAAAGGACTTTGAGACAAAGGGGTCGTAGTAGGGCGGCGCTAGGGCTGAAACAAGTATACCGATAACTCGCATATCGATCGTTAAGAGTGCGATCGATAATCGTTAGTGTTCAAAGCAAGTGCTAACGATTTTTATGCATGCATATCCGTGACAGTATTCTAGCCCTTGCACTCCATCCGATAGTGAATACGAGTACGATAATGTATGTACTTTCAAGCGCAGTAAAAGGAGAGAAAACTTTGCCTTTTCAGTTCATTTGTGGGAGAGGTTGGAGAATAGCAGTTGCCAGAGGGTGGTGACAAGACTTTTGCTCTAGAAACAACATGAAATTCTCTAGTTCATGTTGATGAAACTAGCCAGATATCTACAAATGCCAACAGTGGGGTGCCACAAATTTCTAACGTAGCAAAGGTATCATGGAATTTCTTCATAAACTGGTGTCCGAGGTGCACAGGTAGAGCCGACAAGAATCGATAAAACCAATATATTGATCGTTAATGATATCGGTTGATCGTTAGGAGTTATTGAATGATCGTTTCAGCCCTAGGTCGTACCCAAGTGAAGTATAAGAGTTAAAAGACAGCGCAGAAGACTGTACGACTCACTTGGAAAGCCACAGTCATCAGCGCACGCCGGGCAGCTGGCATCGGCTCGCTGAGCGACAGGTGCCATGTCCAGCAGCGCTACAGTCCCGGTGCTTGCATCCTGGATGACACAGGTAACCAAGCAACACACTGCTATCAACCAGGACAGAAGACAGTCATGTGACACTAAACTAGTTCATGCATTCGAAGCAGAAGAGTTTGACAGCGCCACTCAATGTACTCAAAAAGTCAGCGTCAGCTAAAAAATATAAAGAATCACAGATCGTGTTAAACTCGGCAGGAGGCCGAGTTTTCCACATCTGTAGGGACGTCACCACCCTCTGTGGATCAAGGCGCAGACGCAGCTCCTAAAGCGGAGCATCAGCTACAAGTACATGAATGCCAAAACACATCGAGACAGAATGTCGGGATGCGGCGATCACAAATAGACGTGCCTGACAATTCTGGTGGAGTCAAGCGCACGGGTCAAAGCAAAAGTGGAGTGATAATGAGTCTACGTGACACGGCAGTGGCATACCTGATCGCCTTGTGAGCTTCGAACGCACACGGGACACGTGCAGAAGAAGTGGAACTGTGTTCGAAGCAGGTCCCTGCGTCTCTCCGTGGTATTGAGCACATCAATGTAGCTGATCGTTATCTGCAAATGACAGAGAAAAGAGATTGACTTGAGATCTTTATTATTTTATTACAAAATAATAACTGTCAATCTGTGTCCCAGGAAATGCGCCTTGGCCTCTCCAGTTTCCCCCTCATTCTCCCTCTTGTGCTAAGCTACCATGGCAGAATCCAACTGAGAATTCAGAACAACACAATACCTATTTCACTGGCATGATTATGGGGAACTGCAGCAAAGTACACTGTATTAGTCAGGGACTCAAAAGAATACGCACCAAGAGCTTTTCAAGCCCTGTAAAACGAGATTCAAGATGATCATTGTCGGAGAGGTCCCGGCCAGTCACACATGGGAACTTGAAACAAGCAAGCGGTGGAGAGGCGTCTGCCAACCCCTCGGTGGCTTATGTATTTTCTGCAAGTTCGGCTTTGAGCTTTGTTTTGACTGCAGCGGCAGCTGCTACACAAAGTGAATGAATTGGCCATACAATTACAAGCCAACACCAACAATAACCAACCGACCATAGTCCTCACTCCTCAGGTCTCTAGTATTCTAGGCAGGTGCATGTACTTCAAAGCAGTCTATGATCATGATGATGCCCAGTTCAAGCAAACCCCCCGGGGTTTGTTTCCGAACAACCTGGACACCATACAACGGTGCGCCTGTGGTGAGCGGTGATGGTTGAGAGTTGGACGCCTGAAGTGGCTGCAGTGAAGATTGTGCAGCTTGAAGAAAGTGAGTGTACATGCCCATACAGTACCATGCACCCATGCGGCTGTTGTCAATCTTTACGTTTTTTCTGGTGCGGGGGCCCCGATGATGGCAAATTTAGCGTACTAATTCAGGTCTGGTCTGGTAAATAGTCTGAATTTTCCTGATAAATACTGGCAATGGCAGCCAAACACAGCAACTCACCTCTTCACCTTCAGCAATAGCTTTGAGAGTGCGAAGATGTGCCGTCGGCCCATTAAACATGACAACGCAATTCGGATCGCAGGAGTGGTTTATTTTCGACAACCTGTGTTCGCATGGACATGAAAATAGTGCACAGAAAGTCAGACATAAGCATCACATGGACATGATAAGCTAGTATAGCACAGTAGTAGCACATTGATAGGAAAGCAAAGCGAAAAAAAAACTTTAACTTGGATATTGAGCCAATGTAATCATGGATAAAAGGAAGGACAAAATGCTACGAGTTATGACTAACTGCCCACCAATGTAACCAGATCATAGACAGTCAGCTAGTGTGACAACATGGCACAAAACTGACGAGGAGTACTGAGACATTTCGCTTGTATCAAGAACTGTGCACGACAATTCAATCCAAATTTTGATTGATTGATTGATTGATTTTTAATTTTTAAAAGGATTGGCCAAAGGCTGGTGACACACAGGAAAGCAGGCACAAACAAAGTCACTTACCGTGCATATAGGCCTATGCCAGTATTCTGAAACTCGGAGTTGTAAATACTCATGCTGTTACAAGCAACCTAAACAGCGGGCACATGCAAAGAGAGGAGAGAAGAGAGAGAGAGAGAGAGAGAGAGAGAGAGAGAGAGAGAGAGAGAGAGAGAGAGAGAGAGAGAGAGAGAGAGAGAGAGAGAGAGAGAGAGAGAGGGATAGAAATTAGTGCATATATTAAAAACAAAAATCGTAGACTGTAGTGCATATATTATGAGGGAGTAGGTAACCACGTCATGCATATGAATCCATGGGAGTGAGTAAGCCAGTGAGACGTACACACACACACACACACACACACACACACACACACACACACACACACACTCACTCACTCTCTCTCTCTCTCTCTCTCTCTCTCTCTCTCTCTCTCTCTCTCTCTCCCCCCCTCTCTCTCTCTCTCTCTCTCTCTCTCTCTCTCTCTCTCTCTCTCTCTCTCTCTCTCTCTCTCTCTCTCTCTCTCTCTCTCTCTCTCTCTCTCTCTCTCTCTCTCTCTCTCACACACACACACACACACACACACACACACACACACACACACACACACACACACACACACACACACACCATATACCATGTACCATGTATACGCCCGTCGCAAGAGAAGCACGCAAATCTGCCAATGCACTGGATATGCATCCACAGATTTTCTCTTATAGCCACGATAGCGAACAAGATCTAAATGAGACAGATCAAGACTTGCGATAACTGTCTCACACACGCGCGCGCACACACACACACACACACACACACACACACACACACACACACACACACACACACACACACACACACACACCTGTCCTGTCCTGTTGACCCACTGCCTTAAAGGTTACACACACACACACACACACACACACACACACACACACACACACACACACACACACACACACACACACACACACACACACACACACACACACACACACACACACACACACACACACACACACACACACACACACACACACACACACACACACACACACACACACACACACACACACACACACACACACACACACACACACACACACACACACACACACACACACACACACACACACACACACACACACACACACACACACACACACACACACACACACACACACACACACACACACACACACACACACACACACACACACACACACACACACACACACACACACACACACACACACACACACACACACACACACACACACACACACACACACACACACACACACACACTCGCTCTGCCAATACAATAGCTAATACCTTTGCAGCTATAGCGATGATCAAGCTCTGGTCAAACGAGTGACTGCTAGCACCACCAAGGTACTTTGTCATGATGAACAGCAAGCTGCTGACAGCACTGCCATTGTTCATGTATTTATCCAAATCTACAACACAACAACAAAATAGAACCATATACGATCAGAATAGCAAATAGGAGACTACACACAGCGAGTGCACGATGTCTTGGGCATCAATCAGCAATCAATCCATACAGCAGAAGACACACAGCAGTTGCTCCTTGCAGCAAACAAAAAACCTGAGTTCCACTGCACACTGGCAAAACAGTACAACACCGTACTTTTCATGGATGAGGGTGAACACTGTCCAAGATGGAGACACTACCACTACACACACACTCCAGTGCCAAACTGCGCAGAATCACTCACGTGCCTCCATGTCTTTCATTTCGTCCAGACATGTACTGCCCTGAACACACATAAGCATAACAATCATCAATACAAGTCATTGACTGCAAGATGAGACTAATAGGTCACAAGAGGAGAGAGATGGAAAGTGAGAGAAAACTTGTAACAGAACATGGCATACAATCCATCATAAATTCTCTCCATAAAGATGGAATACTGTAGACTGCCTGATGTTTGTGACGTATTAATGTTTGCTAATTTTGCGAGAAGAGCATAACGCAGATATTAACCACCATGAAATCAAACTTCAACAGTGGGTGTATACGTGTGGCCACAGTGCTCCGCAAACATTCGCCATCGTAAACTCGCTGGTTCCGAGAGATCGCAAAAATTTACTGATGCAAACATTGGGCGGTTTACAGTAATAAGTCCGCTCTAAACTCACCTCACTGACACCGACCAGCAGGGCACGGCCAACAAATCGAAAGCTTTGATGGGGAAGTTCACCGGACGGTGGTGCTGGAACATTTTGCAAGTTTGGGCATTCAAGCCGGTGCACTTTCCACGCCGATTTCTGAAAGGGGGTAACGACGACAAGGAACAGTAGGAAACAATGCACAGCTAAATGGAATTGAGTTGGCCGATGATACTAGCCCTTATGAATAGAACACCGTCAGGCACTGCAAGGCCTCAGGACTATTACCACTGGGCTGTGCACTCGAACGCGGCACGACGTTACTGGAGTTGGCAGTATCCATGGCAATGTTTTCACTGGCCAGTAGTCTACGAGTATCTGACACTAGTTTGTGTTAGGGCAAATAAGGCGCAAGACAGGCGTTATGAAATCAGGGAGTAAATAACACTTCAGCACTGCCGGGTGCCGAACAGTCCCGGCGGATGCGTCACGCTGATGTGAAGAAAAACCACCCAAGCGCCCGGCGGATGCGTCACGCTGATGTGAAGGAAAACCACCCAAGCAAACAGCTTTGGTATGACTCCGGGCTAGCTGTGACGTAGCACTTTCAAGCCATATTGGTCAAGTTAAACATCGCCATCCACTTGTCCATAGTGCCTAGGCCTGTAATTGTAGAGAGACTCAGCCTATCTCACCTGACAGCCACGACCACAGTAGTAGACAAGCTTGCATGCTGTGCAGCGTTTGCAACTCTCACTGGAAGCACATGGAAATGCAACACATGAAAGCACATGCAAGCACACACACACACACACACACACACGCACATACACACACACGCATACACACACACACATGCACACACACACACACACACACACACACACACACGCGCGCACACGCGCACACACACACACACACACACACACACACACACACAGCACCGCATCAGAAAACAAACCAGCATTAAATTCTCCCGTGCTATGATCACTGTTTTATAGCCAAGATCAGGGAGTGGCAGCATTGAGAGACCATAAGAGATCACAGCACCCGACTGTGTGGGTTTTCAAGGACCTCGGAATTAAAGGTTCTACGTGATCCGTGGGCTTTCGAGGCTGCCAGCTCGCGGCCTTGATATGCTGACCCTAAATGAGGCCCAGACCAGCGATGTCATAATGTGACGGTGAGAGTGCACGGGCCCTGACCTTTGGGTAACTGGAACTGGGCAGCCTGGGAGCGAGAAGAAAAGATTGATTGACACAACCGGAAATCGAACGAGAACCTTCCTAGCATTTCGCTACAAATTTAAATCTGACACCAACATACTAGTAAGCATTACACTATTGTGTTCTTGCTACTAGTAATCATTACGCTATTGTACTCTTGCTTGGAGTACCGTATTTTCCCGAGTATAGTGCGCACCTTTGTATAACGCGCACTTCAATCTTCATTGGGGGTGCGCACTTCAATCTTCATTGAAGTACATGCATTTCATATTCGGAGCATAATGCGCACCTGCGATTTAGGGCCTAAAATAGCACATCTAAAGTGCGCACTATACTCCGGAAAATACGGTAGCTACAAAATAGCCTTGCCCTTGTTGTACTGTGTAATATGCTCTTGTGTGTGCAACGTGATGTTAGTAGAAATTTCAAAGTAAGACTGTAGTGTAAGAAAGCCAGACAGACACGGTGAGTATTAAAATTGAGATTCAGTCCTTTATTGTGTTCCCTTCCCAAGTAGTAGTTATAAACTTATTTTGTCTGCATTGACAAAACTCTCTTCTTCTTGGAATCCCGATCGTAAGAGTGTACAGATTAGAAAGGCTCATGAGTGCTACATGTATTAAAGGTACTTACTCCTCTCTCAAGCAAAAGTCACAGACATTGCTCTTGACCGAAAGATGAAAGAGTGGTTTCTCAATCAAGATTTCACGTCCAGCAGCTAAGGGCTTGCAAGTTAGCAAGCCACGGCCTTTCCCTTCAACATTGGTGACCGATAAGCAGTCCGATGATGATTTCTCACCAGCCATTGTTTTCTGTCCTACTCAGTCAGTCACTGTACTAGTCTCCAGAGTCCAGTGCACTAGTGGCAGTGCAGTACACATAATTATTATGCATGCATGCAACGAAAACAATTCAAATTTTGATATTCGAAAACGCATTATATTTTTTGCAAAAAAACTGTGAATGTGACGCCATAATATGCATACAGCTAGCTAGCTGCATTCTATTGTTCAGTGCCATCAAGAGTAGATAAGGGAAGGGTGAGGATACAGACAGTGCAGGAAAGGACTAATGCAGTAATGGCATCTGGATATCCGCAAAGCACGTACATGCATATGCGCCCACACGTCCGCACACGCACGTCTGTACATGCACATGCGCACACACATTGCCGGCACATCCACATAGAAGTCGGCGAGCAGAAGGCAGCAACTGATACCACATAATTGTATGCTCACAAACCCAAAACACGCAGGCACAGGGCCTGACGACAAGCGAAAACAACAGAGCAACACTACAGTCATGTGAACTAGATGTGGCCCAGGGCCGACAAACAGCAGAACATTACAGAGCATGGCTCCAACACAACAAGCTAAGGATCGACATATACAGAGATATGCCATCACTATCGTGATAGTACTAAAAATCAACAGTAACAGCAGCAGCCACCTTAGGCCAAATTCCCTAGATGTTTGCACTTAGCAAGAATTAGCAAAACTTAAAAGATAAAAAGTCAGGAAAGAGCCTGGCAAAACAGCGGAGGAAAGGCGGGAAGAACGATGGATGGAGGTCAACAACTCAGTCATACGGTTACACAATCTCATGCACTAGCAAAGCAGATACCATACAGCATACTAGATAGGAAAAACAAATTCGAAATACAGCATCAGCACGCGGACACAGGTGCGCACAGCATGGGAAGAGGCAGAGGGGAAGAGAGAGAGAGAGAGAGCGAAGACGGAGAAGGATAGATCAGGCGGGGAGTCCATTTCTAAATATGCTGTAACTACTCGCCAACTCGTCTTCAACGACTATGAGTTTTGTATCCCGAAGGAGTTCTATACTTATACTGATTATGTGGCAATATAAATTTCATGATTGTGATTTGCTTTTAGGGGTGTAAGTGAGTGAGTACCTAAGGTATAGTGTTGATACAAATTTAATTCAATGTTAACGTTGAGGTCTGTTTTCATGCATTTCCGGTGAAGAGTGATCAATATAATAATATGCTAGACTGGTGCGAGGCTTGCAGGTGACACAATCACTCATCGTTCATCGTTGCAATATACGGTGCACACACCCAGCACAGCAGTGCAAGGCGGCATGACATGGCAGACTCTAGAACAGCGGTGCGGCCAGCCCATCCTGCGTTGCAGAGGAAAGAAGCAGAGGACAACATGTCATGAGCAGACTCACTACACCACAGTACACAGACCTACAGTCAGCGATTTTCTGTCACTTGTTACTGTATAAGTACAAATTTTCGCTCACGAAATCTTTCGTTAGATCACTCCGCCAGCAGGCTTGTTACGTACTAAATTTCGTTTTTGGTCGAGGTCTGTCACCCCAAACGTTCAGAAAAAAACTTTAGCTATTTCGTGCCCCCTAACGAATATAGTGAAAGTTAATTCCCAACGAAAATTTGTACTTACAGTAGTACCTTGTCCTGATTGTTTGAGTGTATATGATGACTCTCACTTCTCTGTACTGCGTCGTGCTAACGATTTCAAACAAACGTTCTTGAAGCCATTTGTATTCGTTTGCACAAGCTTGTTCCACGTAAACAAAACAAAAGAAATATGCTGTAGCTCTAAAGCTGTTTTCATAAGTTGGCATTATTTGTGCAATTAGTGTCACTTGTGTACCCCCGCTATTGTAGTGACCTCGTACATGCATTTGTGTATATATAAATCATTTTTCGTAAAATGGCCTCTGTATATATTTTCGCGCGAAAGAAATAAACTTTCTCTTTGGCCCCAACTGCGTTGTGGTCTGGTTGGTCATTGTAGCCGTCATGGTTGACGTAAAACACCATAATTGGTGACCTCGAATTTCCACCTACATTGGTGGTAAAAACAGTTCTTCTCAGCGCAGCAGTAACTCTGCCATACCTAGTTTACTTCAACAACACACTGAGGACTTTCGTATGGATTCCCGAGCGGATAACCCCAGGACTCCAGTATCTGGCACAGGACGTGGCAGTAGTATAGTGCGGCGCGGTGCACCGACCTCTGAAATGAAGGTCGTGTTGCTGATGGTGTCCTCTTAGCTGGAGGTCCCCCGGGTTCATAGTCAGGCTCCATGGTTCTTATGAGCGCCGACGAACATGTGGTTCATATTAAGTAGTGTGACTGTAGACCCATATAGGTATGGCTTGTGATCGAGACGTGTATCAACTCGTCTCAATAAGTTTCAACATGTCATGAGAGTTAGATCAAGTCGTCAATTTATGGAGAGGGACTGACGACGATCCTCTGGGAAGAGATAGTGCACTATGTGCATGGTGCAATAGTTCAACAGCAGCTGGTGAACTCAATTTATCGAAGAATGCAGCTGCTTCTCGCTGATTTGTGGAGAAGAAATGATCACCCCATGGAAGAAACAGGGCTATGTATAGTGCAATACTTCAGAACAGCATAGTCATTCTAGTCAAATCTGATTTTGTGCACACTTCATTCATCAGCGACTCGAAGTACTGTCTGAGTGGAAGTCAGAAATGTAGCACGGCAACTATGGCACCATCAGCGTGTCTGATAGTGAAGAAGACCCTGATGGTGCAAACCATACATATCTGAGAAGATGGCACAACGGTGAGCAACAACACCAGCGTGCAGGTGGAGAGCACTGAACTCCTGGAGGCTCCACAGGACACGGAGGATGTTCGTGTCGATTTCCACGTGGAGCCTTCAGGAGATCCACTTGCACGCTGGTATCCGGCTCTGGATCCGGAAGATGATGATGAACAACAAGAAGAAGAAGACGAGGAAGGCTATGAAAGCCAGTAAGATATATGAGGCATGGGCAGCAAAAACCAAGGTTAGGTGATATTTGGCGAAAATGAGTTTTTGATGGCTTTGAACTGTCCACTAAATGAGTGATCTACGGGCCAAATTTTGGAGCTCTGGGCACCTTCCAAGATGGTAAAAAGAACGCCCGAAATGATGGGTCACGGTCAACAAAAATGGTCAGCAAAAAAGGCAAAATGGGACGCAGTTACAGCTAGCTCTAATGGAGTGACTGAGAATAATTTAGCATATTTATAGGTCTTCAGGGAAGCACAGCGTACTCTAGTTGATATTGTACTAATTTATAGTAACATTGTTGCCTGCACTTGCTGCAATGTTACTTGAAAACTCAATCCCTGTCATGTGCAGGTCTGGTGTTGTATGCAGACTTGTCAGACAGAAAGAAGCCAAGCAACTGACGATTTACATGGCTGGGAAGAATCTGCAACTTAGTACAAGACTAGAATATGCATGCTGGGCCAAGCCAGATACATCCACCAAGCATGTCTTGCTCTCCTACGCACAGCAGCTCGTAGATACATGCATTATACTGTGACAAATTGCGCACTGCAATCGTGCATGTATACTTGCAACAATTTTATTCACAAAATATCTTGTATCAAGTAAGGTTTAGTTCATTCAGGGCTGTCTCCGTATCTCACCAACTTATCCAGCTGCGAATAGTCGCCACGGAGTATTGAATCTCATTCGTCACTCTCAGCGCTGCTGTCCGCGTCGCCACTTCGTGTCACGGAGCTCTCAAACTCATCGTCTGCGCTGCCTCCGCTGATGGCTTGTCATCTGAGCGAAACCTCTTCACTTTCACCTGATTCTTCTTGTGGGGGACTATCACAGGCAGCGGAGTATCTCTGGAGGTCCAGCTGCCAAATATTCTAGTCGCTCGTTCTTCATCAAGAATTTGTGACGGAATCGTTCCGCCAAGAAATTATTTGTTCCGCTCTCTTTTGAGCGCATGATTTGCAGACGCTACCCAGAGCGCAAACGCCTCCACGGTGGTTGAAAACGCCTACCTGGACATCCTAAGTGCTTGGTGGATAAACTACAACGGCGATGACAACAAATTATAGCGAAGCCACCAAGAGGAGAGCACTTTCAAAGCGATATCGCAAGAAGTCTTTCCGCTTTGATCACGGTGACTAAAAAACGACATCGGTTCGGTTTTTCGCAAATATTGGCATTTTGAAAAATCGCCAGGACCCCGGTTCTTGCTGCCGATGCCTCATATTGTAACACCAGACCCTGGTGGCACAGTTGCAGCAGGAACAGGCTGCATTATCGCAGCGCATAGAATCGCTTGCTGCCTCGCTCCCAGTCTCATCCACAGCAGAGGCCCACCCTCGGTCCGGAGCAGCTTCTATTTCTGCTGTATCCATTAAGTTGCCGCCTTTCTGGCCTCCAGATCCATTGATATGGTTTGCCCAAGCCGAAGCCATGTTCAACACGCGCCGTATCACGCAGCAACAGACAAAGTTTGACTATGTAATAAGCTCATTGTCGCACGAGTACGCATTGGAGGTCCGAGACTTGTTGTTGCACCCTCCAGCCCACAACCCATACGATGTGCTCAAAGAGAAATAATTGGTAACCCCTGACACTGCGCTGAGTCGGAGTTATAAGTGCTTTACGGATGGCATGGAGCAGGCCCATCGCGCCTTCGACCTCCGCGGCCCAGATTGAGCAGGCGCCCAAGCCCACGACCTCACCGGCCCACCATCCACCATCTGCCGATCCACCGATCCCCCGAACCACAACCACAATCTCCCAGCCCGCAGCCGCCTCTGACAAGATCAAGATCCGTCCTCCTCTGTCAAGCGTACGTTCCCTTGTTCTTTCCTCTTCTTTCTTTCTCTAGACTGCCTCTGGCACGTTCTTCCACCTCTGTCACGCATGTTTCCTCTTTCCCTTTCCTGCATTTTTCTACCTTGTTTCGGACCTTGTGTCCACGTGTCATACAACGGTATTCCACATGCAGCGCGTATTTTTTCTCTTTGTACAGTGTATTTTTCTTTCCCGTCTTTCCGCTTTGTCCGCTCCGCCCACTCTTTCCTTTCCTTTCCAAGATCTTTTTCCGTTTGGCGTTCTTCAGCAACTGCTCTCGGCTTCATCTCTGGTGGGGGTGTAATGTAGTGACCTCGTACATGCATTTTTGTATATATAAATCATTTTTCGTAAAATGGCCTCTGTATATATTTTCGCATGAAAGAAATAAACTTTCTCTTTGGCCCTAACTTCGTTGTGGTCTGGTTGGCCATTGTAGCCGTCATGGTTGACGTAAAACACCATACTATCACTTAGCTACTACCATTATCTCTCTTATAAACACAGGTCTCCATTATAAGCACAGTCTCCATTATAAGCACAGGTCGGAGGGCTGTTGAGATTACAAACGCACAGTCCAACATAGTCACAGTGATAATACTGATCATGAAATCTGAGTTAAATTCCAATTTGAGTGTGTTACCGGTATGCAACTTTCTTGACTTTTTCATGGTTGAAAAAATATAAACACGGTCTCCAGTATTATCACGGTCTCCTCTATAAGCACGGGTGCGAGGTGGGTTGAAAAAATATAAGTACCGTGTTTATAAGGGAGATAATACGGTATACGGAATGTTAAGCACACTGTTGCACTATGAAGTCATACAATTTTCTGTTTTGTGTAGTACAATCATATCAACTCGTTTTAAAGGGGCACTTCGGGAATTTTTTCGGTGGTGTGTTCTCTTCATGGGGGCCTTATATGGCCCCCAAGGAATGGGGAATCGCGAAAACTAGACCCAAAACGTCGATATATATGAAGCCAGGGAGGGCCAAGTTTGTCTCCTCTTTTGATGGTTTTGATGACGTCACGTGTGATTAATATTCAAATTCTCTGCATTTGAAGATCTTAGTTGTTTGAATTTTCTGGTGATGAAGAACGATGTTTGGTCGACATTCCCAAGCTTCACAACTGCGGACATACTCTAAGGAACCTGAAGGATCCCCTGAGGTGCCCCTGGTAGAAGCGCAGCCTGATGAGGGCCAGGAGATTGGAGCGGACGACTTCACTGCTCCGAGTACGAGGATCCCGAAATTCTCTATACGCCGTGAGGCATATGGTCAGAACAGTTTTGTTTGGACAAGCTGACGCGAAGTCGGGGTGATGTGTAACGCATGTCAAAGGGCTGTCAATGCTAACAGCTGCAGCGCTCTCTCGACAGCGAAGGTAATCGACTGCCCTCTGCATCAACCCACATTTCTGGCAGGAACACCAATCGTTATTTCCTTGTCGACCAGTGAAGTCGTCCGCTCCAATTTCCTGGCCCTCATCAGGCTGCGCTTCTACCAGGGGCACCTCTCGCGATTCCCCATTCCTTGGGGGCCATATAAGGCCCCCATGAAGAGAACACACCACCGAAAAAATTCCCGGAGTGCCCCTTTAATCACACCCCAGAAGAACTGTTACTTCAACGTGCACTTTTAATAATAGTTTCGTGAGCCACTGAAGAGCGGAACGCAAATATTGCAACGAAAATCTGTACAATTTATATCTCAAACATTCAACTCTAGACGTACATCGTTGTGTTGCATGGTCATGTCCGCAACTTTCATACTTTTCATAGCTCTCATTAAAACAAAAGTCCTACGAACACGTCTAGTTTTCAAGTTTCCAAGCATCTTCCAACTGTAGCGGACATGGAAATCCAGTCGATTGACCGAGGCCGGCGCCCTCAGCGCGTACAGAACGCTGCGTGCAGCGCATGTTGATCCGATGCGACCAGTGCGCTGCAGCGCATAAATGCATGTGTGTACCGCTTATCCACGGCTGCATGGCCAGCGCCCTGGGGCCGCTAGACGTGCGACCGGATTTCCATGTCCACGACAGTAAAACAAACAGGTAGTACAAACAGGTAGTCCAGAGAACATACCGAATCATCTGTATTATCTCCTCCCAATGCATCATCGAAGATATTATCAGGCATTGGCTTGGCAACTCTGCGTGTGCGACGTGGCTGAAAACAAAAACGAGCAGGTAGGAGACACAAGAAAGTGGAGGTTAGAAAATAACACGCTAGAGCGAGTGACAGAAATGCACGGAACGGTTGGAATGGCAACAGTAATCATGACAAACATGCACACACGATCATGGTCAGGATGAACGCGCGCGCATATGTGTGTGTGTGTGTGTGTGTGTGTGTGTGTGTGTGTGTGTGTGTGTGTGTGTGTGTGTGTGTGTGTGTGCGTGTGTGAGCAAGTGCATGTTTGCGCATGTGGGTGTGCATTCCATGTGGTGTAGACCAGGTATGCACTGGGGGCCGCTTCACATGGCTTTGCCAGTGGCGTGGATTGGGCAGTTATCTGGCCCTCGGCTTGATCTGTTTCATTCAGATCTTGCAAGCTATCGGCACTATTAGAGCAAGTCTGTGGGCATACACCCAGTGAATTTGCGGATTTGCGTGCTTCTCTCGTGACGGGCATACATGGAACTTGCAGCAAGGACACTGTGTCATGATATCAGCAAACACACCAACAAGTTCAACATGACTACACGGCACTTACCGCCTTCACGGGAGAGGCTTCTTTCGCTGGTTCTTCCTGTGCATGCATGGCAGCCGGTCGAGTGGTCAAGCGTGACCTACACAGGAGCCAGATAACACTGTGTTTGCGTCACAAACTCACACAGGTTTCTCAGTGCAAGGCACAAAGCCTGTACAAGTACAATTGCAAACATGCAAAAATGTGCACCCGAAGCAATACGCGAGACTAGTAGTAATCGCCGACCACCTTACTTGGCAAGAAATGCCATACGCATTACGGATAGCCGTAATTTTCATGCCTTTGCAAGATAACAAGCACATGCACACACATACCTGTCAGCGCGGGGACTTCGGACGTCAGCCGTGCCGTAGCTGCGCCGTGCGTCGGGCTTTGCACGTTTTGGTTGACTGGACAGCCAGGATGCTTGTGACGCTTGCTGCAAGCTACGGCAGCGGCAGTGACGTGACACATCAACACAGAAGCAGTAGCAAAGACAACCATGTTCAAGGAATACACATGTCCAAGTACAGGTCTACTCTCGTTAGTAGATAACCCCGGGGGGTTCAATTTTTTGTCTTATAACGAGTATTATCCACTATCCGGACTTGCATTTATGCGTTTCAGGCATCAGATTTTTTTTGGATCATTGTCTACTAATGAGGTTTGTCTTGTAACCGACGAGAGTAGACCCGTACATACACTTTAGGCGGTCTGTGTTTACACGACATCACATCACCATTGTTCTGCTTTTCATCCCATAACCATTTCAAGGGCTGCCTTTCGTGATGTGCGGTTTAACAGGTCGCGAATCATCCATGACAACTGGCCATGTGGGTCATGCTGTTGACAATACATGCGCCAATCACCTGCCACTACTTGTCTTGTCCAAAACACAACATTGTTATCTTTAGCTATAAACAGGGCACTATTCAACACAACAGCAGCAGCAGTTGCATGCAGTCTTCCAAACAGCTGTGCTAGATGGACTGGGAAAAGAGCAAACAATTTTTGAAACATGCCACAAACCTAACACCCAGATATAAACTAATGTACGCTTGAACTACATTATACATCTACTATTTTGAAAACAGTTGGAATACAGAACAGAAACAATTCTAATGCCAATCAACACACAGAAGCTTTCCTGGCGGAACATTTCCGTCTTCAACCTCCTCTTCTTTGGCCGGCGGTATACAGTACTTATATTGTCTTCCGTTTTCGTGTGGCACTCCTACTCCTACGGATCATTGCCCTCCTACTCCTACGGATCATTGCCCTCCTACTCCTACGGATCATTGCCCTCCTACGGATCATTGCCCTCCTACTCCTACAGATCATTGCCCTCCTACTCCTACGGATCATTGCCCTCCTACTCCTACGGATCATTGCCCGCCTACTCCTACGGATCATTGCCCGCCTACTCCTACGGATCATTGCCCGCCTACTCCTACGGATCATTGCCCTCCTACTCCTACGGATCATTGCCCTCCTACTCCTACGGATCATTGCCCTCCTACTCCTACGGATCATTGCCCTCCTACTCCTACGGATCATTGCCCGCCTACTCCTACGGATCATTGCCCTCCTACTCCTACGGATCATTGCCCTCCTACTCCTACGGATCATTGCCCTCCTACTCCTACGGATCATTGCCCTCCTACTCCTACGGATCATTGCCCTCCTACTCCTACGGATCATTGCCCTCCTACTCCTACGGATCATTGCCCTCCTACGGATTATTGCACGTAGCATGTACTTCTGCAGCACCCAAATCACGCATCCAAAAGGCCCTCTATTCTTGATTTTTCATCCCCGGCGTTGTCGAGTAAACGCAGCCTTGGTCAGTACTTGTATATCACAGAGGACAAACAAAATTCCCAGGACACAACGCACGGCCAACAATACTGTTGGAGATACTGAGTGGTACAAGCACAAGTCATACGAGTAGTTATCAGCTATGAGACAGCAGTTAACTCACCTCTCTGACTCTTCCATCTCCTCTTCCTCACTTTCCTGGTTCACCACATCTGCATCTTCTTCTTCCTCCTCTTCCTCTTCAGATAACTCCTCGTGCCGTCGCTTCTGCGAGGCCTTCTGTTGTCGCTGTGAGGATGACGACGCAGCAGTAGTTTTAGCTGCGCGTCCTGACGAAGTTGAACCACGGCCTTGGCCAGAGCGAGACCGAGCAGCTGCCGCTCTGGCTTTCTCTAGTTTCTGCTGCCGTACTTCGGCTTCGGACGGTCGTTGCAGCCAGACATCATCAGCACCTGACAACACACCGTTGTCAAAGAAGGCAATGACACAAGGGTATGATTTACTGTAAAATCGGAGTAATGCCCTGATGTAGTACACGGGCAAACAATAATCAGTACAATCGATGTTTCGTGTGGACAAGTCAACAGCATCTTCTTCTTATAGACCGCAGCTGTGTGCGTGTGAGCGTGTGCACACGTGTGTGTGTGTGTGTGTGTGTGTGTGTGTGTGTGTGTGTGTGTGTGTGTGTGTGCGTGTGTGTGTGCGCGCGCGCGCGCGCGCAAATGTCTGTCAAACACTTGTAGCACAACACAACCATAGACTCAAGTATTGGTATCTTGAACAACACACATGCTGTACACGACTTGGCATGATGTGCACACATCACCTCACCGTACCTTTTTTCCGTGATGCTGCAACCATACCGCCGGATTGAGAAGTGGATGGTCTTCGGCTCCTTCCCGTTGCTTTCCGCTTTGCAGCCGGCTCTGCAATGTCAGTGAGAGCCAAAAGACAGAAACATCATTTTTCATACAGGTACTTCAACGTCTCCACTGAGGAGAGAAAGCGGCATGCTGAAACTCGAATGGCTTCTGTACTATTCCAGTTCCAAAGAGAAAGCAATGAAATACTCTCAACACAAGTTGCCACAGAAAAGTTGCTACTATTTTTTCTAATATCACACACACACACACACACACACACACACACACACACACACACACACACACACACACACACGTACACACGCACACGTGTATGCATGCATGCATGCACGCACGCACGCACACACACACACACACGCGCACACACCCTCCAGCAGAAATGTGCTCAATCACTGACTGACCTTGCTCAACATCTCCAGCTTCACTGACATCGTCAAACTCATCCAAAACGTTGCCCACCGTATTTGCTCCCGTCGCTGCAGTAGCCGCGCTTGACTTGCTTGCCGCACTACCACCACTGGTCAGGACGTTTCGGTATTTCTGCAGCGTCTGCCACTTGGACTGATTCAGCTGAGCAATAATGTTGCTTGGCAACGCAGAAGAATCCTTCAGTTGAGCGTCCAAAAAGCTCAGTCTACAACACACGAGAAACATCAAACCAAACAAACAAGACCCAGATATTTGAAGCAAGTCAAAGCTCATCCGCTTCACACCAATCTACTCTAATGAACTAAACATTCACCGACTAAAAAAACAACATCGTAACATAGAAAAATGTGGGCAAACGTTATGCGATCGAGTCCACCAACTACTAGTATGGGGTGGCTTCTAAAGGGTTAACAAATAACCAAGATTCCCGATCACACAGACACAGAGAAAAAGAGACCAGCTAAAGCCCCACACCCACACAAAGTCCATGCTCACATGCTGTTCGGTGAGTTGCTGCGATCTGTCGCGTGAAGACGGAACAGGAATTCGAAAATAATATCAAAGAAGTCCAGGTTTGGCGGAAGGCTGGGATCCGCACCAGTTGACTTCTGGGAAAGACCTTGCACGCGTGACAGACTGTACACTATGCCATCTCTACACAAGCAAACACAGCAATACACACACACACACACACACAAGCAAACACAGCAAACACAGCAATACACACACACACACACACACACACACACACACACACACACACACACCACACACACACACACACAAACACAAACACACGCACACACACGCACACACGCATACACAGCATCACAAATGCACAACATCAACTATGTGTGTTGGCAACAGCAGAACAGAGCACTAGGGACCTAGGAAAGCATGTCCGCCATTCCGGACAGCAGCCTTCTGTTCACATGTGTACATCATGGACACATCTTCAAGCCTACAGGGGCAAGTCATTGTTCCAGTCTCAGCCACTCTGCGTTCAAACAGTAACCACTAATTATTGAATACTAGTACACAGGTGTGCATGTGGACGCACACAAACACACACAAAAACATACACACACGCGTGCGCACACACACACATGTGCACACACAATGTTTGCTCCGAGGAAGCGGTAAATGCCAGACAGACAGTTGCACACAAGAAGAAGCACGTACGCACCTGTGAATAGTTCCAACCATCTCTCGCACGTTTGTCTTGCTGTTATCCACTCCCATGGACAGACCAAAGCGTTTGGCGAGTTCCTGCAAACATAAACACAAACAGGTGAGCACCCCAGAAGGCAGATGGCGGCGTTCAACGTTGGAGCTGGCCATCAGACTGGTACAGGTACAGAACTAGTGACAACACTGATCTGCATAGCGAGCACAAGTACACAAGTACATATGCCATACCTTGACAGAAGAACGAGCAGTTGCTGTTTCGTAACTCTGGGTTTAGCTGCTCGGTCTTCTGTCAGTGTATTCCGCTTTGCCTTGGGCAAATAGAGCCCTCTATGGACGGTGGATGAACTTCACATGGTATGCCATACCTTTAGTGCACTCCAGTCCTTTGATTGGCGATCAACAACACCATCGTCATTGTCCATACGAATCTCCTCAAACATCTGCACGAGGACACACCACAAGCAGACAGAGGCTACATGACAATGGCCTATCACCAAAATGGAACAAACTTGGTGTGTTTACTGCACAAAATCACTCCGAAATGGAACGAAAATAGTGTTTGAAATGTTTCCAGGGATCAATTTATACGGGTTTGCATCGCAGTTTGCGAATCAAAAGATGACTGGCCGTGATTCACTTTTCGGTTTTTATTGCCCAAAATTGCGATGCACTTTGTCTGCCCATGCATGTACATGTACAAAGACTGTAAACCGGGTTACGTTTGCGCCGGTTTTAGGTCGCGATTTGCAAGCACAGACAAATTTGCGCCTGGAAACGTTTGCACTTGGAGTTAATTTCCTCAGCTTCTTTACTACAAACCTACGTTTCGCGCCGGCTTACTTTCGCAATTTTATACCCATCGCGAGAACCACGAAGGATTCCAGATTGTTTCCGGACTTACAGTAGGCCTACAGACTGTGGTATTGACTGTGCTCAGTACATGCAGCTGTCGTGCATACTTGGGCTACGTGCTGCTTCTGCACACACGTGTGCGCACACTGCCAACCAGGAAGTAGTATTTTTACTACTCTCTAGATCCCTGACTCTTGGTACTCGGACCGTTTCAATCTCGCACAGGTGGCAGATCGCTTTTTTCGTGATTCGGAACACTGGTCAGTGACTGGTGAGCTTTGTCTTTTGAAGTCTTGAACTCGCAGTCATATTAACGTAGGTCTACATGTGTCATGTAGCAAGAAAACCAGTAGTGTGGTTACTCTCCGTTCAGCTGTTTGTTTCTGTTGGAAAGGGGCAGTAGTGGCCAAAGATATTCGACCCTCGCGTCGTAAGTAGCGCAGCGTTTTCATTTCAATTACATCATACACAGTCCAAAAAGCCGCGGGGCCACGCAAGCCTTGGCGCTGCTTTCGGCGCGTGGATAACTGTAGATTGTTCTTTGTCAGTGTCTCGAAACACATCGACAGCCAACAGGTTAGCTAATCTGACTACTGTCCAGAAGTGGAAAAAACTGGACGTGCTAGGAGAGTGCATTCGTTTCAATGAGGAAAGGGGGAAACGTAAATAGGCTATGCGCTTTGCTCGAAGAATCACAATTGTTTGAGAGATATTCGAAACTTCAGTGCTTCCTTTGTTGACAGAATCCCTGGAACTGCCCCGAAGAACAATGTTGTGAAGCACTTGTGGTCGGATACGCACTCCAAGGCGCTGAACATGGAGCCAGCCCAAACCAAAGCCCCGGCGCAGATTTTTAAGTCAACGCCACTTGGAAAAGCAATGGCAACTGCGTCTAGTGAGGGGTCGGCCAGGTTGGGCAAGCTGTGTGACGTTGCCTACAAGGTGGCTAAGGAGGAAATGCTGTCTACAAAACACATCTGTACAGTGGAGTCGGAGAAACGCCACGGCTTCTCGCTTGGTACTGCCTAGAGCACAGACCGGAATTGTACAGAGTTCACGTGCGTGATCGGGGCGATACATGGAAGGATGATGTGGTTGCTGCAGTCCGGCAGTCGTGGTACTTGCACGTGCTGATGGACGGCTCGACGGATTCCAGTGTGGCGGAGAACGAGCCTGCCTACGTCCTGACGGTGGACAGAACTGGCAAGCCTGGCTGTTGCTTCTTCACAATGAAGCATGTCCCCAGCACTTTCGCAGCCGGGATCAAGCAGTTGCTGACATTGGAGTCGACATAGCTGACAAGCTGGTTAGCATATGCGTTGATGGAACAGCAGTTAACCCTTTGTGCGCTCAACGAGCGATTTCGCTCGTTTCAAATGCACGTCACATTTTTGATCGTCACGCTTGACTGGTTTACCGCATCGCGCCGAAACTTCACCACCGCGTAGCTGAGAAGATTTCCGTGACGTAGGTACAACACATGACATAGGTCACCACTAAATGTTTTTTGATAGCACGCTTTAAAAGTGATTTTGCAATATGTCAAAATTAGAATTTTGACTTTTCCAGCGATGGATGCAGATGAGGCTCTTCGCCTAATACAAGACGCGGACCAAGCAGATCTCCCAGTAGAGGATATCGTTTGCTCTTCAGGTGACAAGGTAGGAGACTCGGACAACAATTTTATTTCGTCTGACGAGGAAGATCGCTTGAATGACGATCTCTTTTCCGATTTGGAGGAAATAGGATCCGATTCGGCTGACGATATCGCTATTCCTGTTCCCGTTGCTGCTCGTGGACGTGGCAGAGGCAAAGCAGTAGGTGTCGCCGCGCGTGCAAGAGGGCGAGGACGTGGAGCTGCGACACGGCGAGGACGGGGAGCTGCAAGAGGGCGAGGACACGGAGCTGCAAGAGGGCGAGGACGTGGTAGACAGTACGACAGTTGTAGTGGCTACGATGATGTTGACCAGCTGCAAACCGATACACCTGAGTTCAACATAACTGGCACTGGTTCGAACCTACCTGATAATTTCGCTCCAACATGTGAACTTGATTTCTTCAAACTATATTTCACGGACGAAGTTGTGGATTCAATTGTCAAGTTTACAAATTTGTATGCGCACGAGCATATCGCTGGAAAAAAAAGACGTACCAGGCGGATGGTGTGTGGAAGGAACCGACCGTGATGAGGTCTATGGCCTCCTTGCATTTCTCTTCTTCCAGGGATTTCATCCTCTGCCTGCGACGAGGGACTACTGGCGCGTTACGTCGTTGTACAACGGAAACTATGCACGCTGCCTGATTCGAACCTACCGGAGGTACTTAGCGCTGATGTGCTTCCTCAAGGTTGTGGACTTCAGGACAGAGGATGTAAATGATCGGCTTCGTAAGGTGCGATACCATCACGACCATGTGCAGGCGGCCTGCAAGCGTTTGTTCATCCCTGGCAAGTGCGTTAGTGTTGACGAGCGCATGGTCAAGTGCAAGGGACGCGCTCCTTTTACGCAGTATATGCCCAAAAAGCCCGTCAAATGGGACTATCCATTGTATGAACCACCGTCTGGAGCTGGCCACAAAGGACGCATTCTCTAATATCTTCATGGACGACGTCAGCACGATGCTGATGAATCTATACTACGCATATGAGAAAAGTCCAAAACGCTTGAGAGAGTACAGAAAAAGGCCCGTGGAACTCGCTGTGTGCAGCACAAACCCAGGGTGATCCAAACCCTCATCCTTGGTTATAGTGCAATTGCCCGCCATCTTCAAGCAATGCCGTCAGCTGAATCATCCCTTAGGCCAGCTGACAAGGTGAAGTTTGGTGCATACTTGAAGAAGTTGACAAGCTTCAAGTTTGTTCTTCTTTGACAGTTTGATCAACCCGCTCACAGCTCTATGTTGCTGCCGGAAAGAACCAGCAGCTGATCTACAATTTGCATTAGCAAAACTGAAGGCATTCCGAAACTCACTGCAGAAGTTGCGAGAAGACGATGCTGCAGCTGCTACAGAGCTGGCCAAGTTTGTGTCGGCAGATGCTGATCCAAACCGCCGTGTGTTCCGAGGTGTACAGTTGAACCTGCAACGGCTGCTGTTTTGCACGCATTCAACGATGGCGATATTGACCAACTAGACAATTGCGTGGCTAACTTTCCAAATGTCCGTGTTCCCGAGTCAAAGGCCAAATAAATGGAAAAAAGCGCAGACATGAAAGCAGTTTCGCAGGAGTATTTGAAACTGCAGGAAGAGTTTAAAATAAACAGCACCATGCGGTGAAAGCTCCCAGCGTCTTGAACAGACAAAGACAAAGGGTTTGTGAGAGGCCAGCAAAATGAGGCATACCTGTTGCAGGGCCAGTAACATGACCTTGGCACACTCCACGTGGTTGAACTCGCGCAGTTTGGCAAGGAAGAGCTTGATGATATCTCCATAGTCAGGAAAGCACTGTGATTATATACAAACACACACACATACGCATACACACACGCACACACACATACGCATACACACACACGCACACACACACACATATTGGCTGAGAAAATGCTTTTGTGGTACCGTAAAGTACCGCCAGAGCGCCCCACCATCTCATCCTTTCGTGGTCGTATTGTGGAGGTGGTCTGCTGTCTGTAGGTCATACGACATGAACCTTGTACACATATTGCACGTTTTGCAGTCAATCCGTACCTTCGTTGCACTCTGCCATACGATTTTCCTTTCTCAGGCTGTAAAATCAAGGTGGGGCGCTCTCGCGAGACGGGGCGCTCTGGCGGTACTTTACGGTACATGTATATGTACTCGGATTACTTTATCATGTACTTAGAACTGCTTATGGAGAAATACAGTGACGCTTTCCACCGATAGAGACCACCGGACAGTGACAGAGAAAGATCAAAAGAGAGAGCAAGATGAATATGATGAAATGTTTGCCGAGGAGTCACACTGCACAGAAAGAATGGAATGTCTAAAGGGAAAAATTCAAAGCACTTGAACCCTTGGCAAAATCAGCTGAACTAACGTTGGTATCAGTCAGACAAGAGCTACTGACAACGGACAAAGAGAAACCCGGCCAAGCTCAAGTAACACCAGAAATAAAGAAATTGCTAGCTTCACTTTCGGCAGTTTGATGCTGTCCCGAAGCAGCAGCATGGTGCAAAAGAAGAGGGACTAGGAAAAGCCTTGATTCAGAACTAGCACAGCACTCACTTTGATCAGATAGGCCAGTACAGGAGCTGCAAGCTTCAGGTCAAACATACCAAACGCCACCAGCTTGCAGTATGCCGAGAGAGCTTCGCGTCGAGTGACCAGCTTCTGACTGCGTTCCTCTTCAGCATCGAGATCTGAACACAGGACAGGTTATGTGGAGCATGTTAATGAATGTACCTAGTAATGCAGTAAAGAATACAATGTGAACACGTCCCGTTTCTCCCATTCACCCTTTCAGGAAACTCCCCTGATAAGTATCCATTTACTTTCGTAGAATCCCTCAAATAAAAAAAATGAATGCATGAATCTATCTCATCCATAACACTGTTACTGAGAACGTCCTGGAAGTGTTCACCTATGACTTTGTGAAAACTGTGCCAAGGTTACTTCACCACTAGTTGTAGCTGCAACTCACCAGGATCTTCGTCGTCGTCGTCATCCTCTTTCTCCTGCTGTGCCGCGTCGTCATCCTTGTACATGAGAACGTTGGCGACGATGAATTCACGACACCGGTCCTGACTTGCCAAGTCCAGATCGGACCACAGTGCAGTAATCTGTGATTCTGTGTAGACACGCGGGAACAAAATCGATATAGATAGTATGGAGTATACCTATTGTGAAACGACGTACTACCAGATATCATACAGCACGAAAAGGGATAACATCCCCTATCTGTTAATGCTTGGCTTCAAAACCAACCAAGGGCAGCCCAAAGCAAGAATACTCAAAGTCGAGGATGCACCAAGGGCATGGCATGGGTCTGACCCGGTCAACAACTTGACATGGAATATCACAGTGACATGCTCACAGTACCCCTCACCTTTACTGAACTTGAGATGATGACCTACCATGATGGTATTGGCCATTAGGATAAAAGCCTGCAAGAAGCGAGAGAGAGAGAGAGACAGACAGAGCGAGAACGAGAGAGCAAGAGAGAGAGAGAGAGAGAGAGAGAGAGAGAGAGAGAGAGAGAGAGAGAGAGAGAGAGAGAGAGAGAGAGAAAGAAAGAAAGAGACAGACAGAGAGACAGACAACAACATCCAATAATCTGGCATCCAAGTAGGTCACTACAGGCGGTACAAACCATCGTCATCAGCGACAGAATTACAGCACAAGCACAGGAGCTTGGCAACAATAATCATACCTGCACAACCACAGGAGCTTGGCAACAATAATCATACCTGCACAACTACAGGAGCTCGGCAACACTAATCATACCTGCATTTGCACTTCCGGTGCACTGTAGGAAACAAGCTCATCACAACGCACAATGAACTCATGCATGTGAGAGCGAAGAGTTTTCACAGTGCTCTGCAAGAAGACACACGCACACATACACACGCACACATACACACACACGTGCGTGCACACACACACGCGCATGCACACACACACACATACACACACACACACCATTGGACCATTGGGCGCCCATCGCCGGAGGCGATGATCGCGATGCTACAGCAGAAACCATAGCAACTTGTGCTGGGATTGCACCATTCAACAGCTTGCAAGGCTGAAGAATTGGCCGCCACTATTCAGCCTGGTCTACACCACACAGCTATGAAGTGGCTTTTTCTGGCCACACACACACATACACAGGTACAGTGTGAAACAGCATGATGCTGACAAACACCAGGACGGGCAATTCCATTCTAATGATTATATTCGTACTTCGAAGTATGTGCATATACCTTGAACTGTGAGATTACACGTCAATTCGAGAGTATGCACTACACAGTTGCCCATGTGCCCCCAGAGCAGTATTTCCATTTTGTCTAAGATCACTCCCATCAGACATCACCCAACAACTGCTTGCATCTTCATCTTTTCATCAGCACGCATGCCGGCCCATCACGAACAGCCGAACAAGCTTCACAGAAGCCACTTCATTACACACGCCTTGCTCTTTGCTTTATCGAGTGCAGTAAGTATATTACCAGACACTCACCTTCATGCCTTTGACTGAATCTTGCTCGGACAGTGTCTTGACCAGCATGATCATTCCAGTTGAGAGGCCGTGCATGCATGCAATGATCAGCTGTGTAACGCAGTGGAAACAGAAAGCCAACACATGAGTCCGCTTGATCACCACCCCACAAACAGCAATTTGCCCTCAGCGTGCGCCACCTGCAGCCATTCTAGGCCCAGGCAACTTGGGAATGTTGAATGCCAAATACAGTATCAAACTGTACAGTCTAACCAAAACACAACTTAGGTGTGTTCTTTTATTCAACTTGCTCTTCCAGTCTGCTGGGAAGGAGAAGAGATCCAAAACTTTTTAAGTTCACCATGGCAATCAGGAAACATTTGAGTGCAAGTTGAGTTTCCCAGGATCTGCCAAAAAGGACAAAAAAAAGTCTGTTCTGGCATATACAAGTCACAAATGCAGGAATCCTCCACTTTCTTCCATGTCCGAAGCTGGAAACACTAGCAGAGCTTGCCGATGTTCAACTTCACAGAGGACAAGAGTACGCACTTCCGCTTGACAAAGCGTAAAGGAACGTACTCTGAATCACCACAGAACTGTTCACACAAAGAACACGGTATACTTGATACGAAGTGCGAGGCAACCTGACTAGACTATGTGCGCAATCCAATGAAATCATTCTACATGTATCAGAGTTATCGCAAGTAACTCCATCCAGCGTGAAGTCCTGTGCCTGACTTTTTTTTAGTCTTAAAAGAGCACTGCCCTTACGTCATTGCTCATAGCATCCGGGTCTTCACAGCCAAGCGCTAGAATAGCTTGAAGGGCATTGAACAGTTCCCACTTGCTCATGTCCACAAAGCTGCACAGAAGGAGATAGATAGATAGATAGATAGACAGATAAATAGATTGATATCAATATTTTACACTGCCTACACCTAGCAGCAACTCTTCACTCTTCACGCTTTCTTTTTGTGCGCCTTGCTGTGTGGTTGTGTATATCTTTAGTGGACCTGACAGCCCTGCTTTAGTTAGAAAAGTTGCCTGACGATTGAAAAACTCAAGAAACTCGGAGTAGCAACGGATTGTGTTTTCTTGGTGAGGACCGCTTCCATTGTGTACTAGCTCCAGTGCACCCCAGCGCTGTTGAGCCCTCTTTGCGGTGGACGGGACCACTTCCCCCTAGATAGATAGATAGATTAGAGTAAGACAGTGTACTGTGCCAGTCATACAATGATGACCACTGCAAACCATGTTCACACACAGACACAGGCACGTGCACAAACGCATACACACTTGTACACACTCGTACACGCATACACAATCGTGACCACTCACCGAGAGAAGACGCTAACCCGCTTCAGGTGTACCGTTAGGGCGAAGGTGTCCTCCTCACTTTTGGTCTTCTTTGCCTGCCGCAACGAAAGGTTCAAACGAAACGCAAACTGCAGCGATTAGCTATTAGAAACTAGACAACATTATATAGGCAGTGTTGCCACATCAGTAGGATGTGTTCCAGTGGCCCCAGCAGCCAATCAAGCAGCCAGCAGCCATAGTAGAATACAACCAATATGTGGCTGGTCGATCACTTGAACCAACTAGCATCACCTTTCAGCTTGCTGCACCGGTCAAAGAAATCAGGGTGCTGCATTTTCTTTGATTTTCTGCAGTGGGGTTCATCAATGCCTATTTGCAGATGGTTGAATATCGTCGCACCCATCCAAGTGCCACTGAGCGTCCTGCTAGATTTTCCCAGCTAAGCCAATCTTGTTCGCCAGCTGCCTGCAATGGATGACACATCTCCGCCAATCGCCCCCACTGGCCGAAAGCGTAGGAGTACTTCTAGAACTTCATCGGCCACCCACAACCATTTGCCAGTTGCTATTTCATAGCAATCTGCTCTTCCTTTGCACTGCAGCAGACCGGACAGTACGCAGTGCGTCTGTAGCTACTATCAGGAGTAAATAACCCCAAGAGTGTGTGCATTTCCAGTCTACGGGGTCTGCGGCGGCAGAACTTCACACCACGTGACAAACACGTAAACATTACTAGCACCCTGCGTATGATAGATACAGCATATGACGCAACTCTTGATCTGGGTTCAACTCTATGGTCGTCACTTTGCACTGTTTACTAGCGTAACCTGTTGAACCATGTCACGTGATGTGAAGTTCTGCCATCGCAGCACTGTATAGAGGTTGTGCAGGCAGCTGCACACTCTTGGGGGTTATGTACTCTTGTGATCATCTGGGCACTCACAGAAAAGACAGCACCTACAGTCTACAGGGTACACAATGTCAAAGAGCTCAGGCAACTCACTGTGTACTGGGACTGGCTCTTCTTAGTTTCAGCGGCGATCGCATCAAGGAGACTTTCCATCGCAACATCCTAAAACAGACAGGTAGCAAGACACACAGAGAAGCAGAAAGAGAGCAAACACTTAGACACTCACCAGATCATTCGCTTCAGAATAAAGCACCGCTTATTTGGACCTCTCCTCTGCGACATATCAGGAACGAAACAATGTATGTGTCAACAAGATTCCGACCTTGATTAACACAACTCACCACAGTACTCTGAAGGGGATGATCATCTTGCTGCAGGTACAATAGCGTGCTTGCAACAGCTTCAAATACCTGTGCCACACACACATACACATATATACATGTACACATACATACACATACATACACATACATACACACACATACACATACATACACATACACACACATACATACACATACACATACATGTACATACACATACATACACATACATACACATACATACACATACATACACATACATACACATACATACACATACACATACATACACATACATACACATACATACACATACATACACATACATACACATACATACACATACATACACATACATACACATACATACACATACATACACATACATACACATACATACACATACATACACATACATACACATACATACACATACATACACATACATACATACACATACATACACATACATACACATACATACACATACATACGCATACATACACATACATACACATACATACACATATACAAACAAAGATGACATGCATATGTGACTTGGAGGATTCACATTAAATTTACGTGAAGCTGCAGCCACCCATTCATCACATACATGTACACCCAATCCCGGCATTGACGGCATGCAAACAACACGACTATCGTGCCTGGCCGAAAGCCAACACATGCATGCGCGGCTGACCGCAGTCCAAAACAAAAAGAAACCTGGAACTCCTGACATTGCACCAGTGGAGCGCATGCATGGGATGGTCAACTAAGACAAGGCTAGGAACAGAGACTGAGACACACCAAGCTGCCAGAAGAGCAACATGGAAACAGCCAATGCCAGGCTACGCATATTCTCAATCACATACAGTACTGTCCGCCGAACGGACAGGCTAGAATTTCACCAATTTTTTAAGAACGGTGTAGGCTGGATATTTTGCAGATAAGAACGGAAACCGTAATATACACTATGATGTACACCCAGGTGTATAACGCTGCATGAATGTACATGTAAGACTGTACCATCGAATAAGAACGAAACTGCTGTGTTCGCTAAAAATAAGAACGGGCTAGGCTAGAACCCTGAGCCCCAGTTCTTCGGCGCCCGACAAAACTGTAGTCAACAAGCAGATGAACACAGGGAGCCACGAAGCATAGGACCACATCTCTCGACCTAATTAGAAGTACCAAAGCCAACAGCTCTTACATCTTCAGACGAGTGCTTGAAGACAATACGATGTACGGCGCTTAGGAAGTCCGACAGTTGCTGCAGAGTGCACCAGCAGAACAGCAAGTACGTCAGAATAAGTAGTGTCAACACGCCAGCCATACACAGTGACACGTTATCCGACGACCCCCCCCCCCCCCCCCCCCCACACACACACACATCCATACACACAGTGACATGTTGTTATCCAGTGGCACGTGGACGTACACCCATACCTGCACCCACACCCACACAGAAATCATGACTATCACCAAACAGCAGGTACCTTCTTTAGGCGCAACGAAGAGTAGAGCGACAAGTCGAAGGCCTGCGGAATGGACACGAGCTCCATAACCTTGGCAGCATCAGCATCATACTAGCACACCAAAATAGCACAAACACGGCAAAGGTGCTATATTAGGACAGGTAAGGTGGATTCCTTCAGTTCATGTGCAAATCAACCCAGCCTATAGAGAATTCGGAGATGCAATACGCAAGCACGAAAACTTCCACAGAATCATGAGTGAACGCTCATTTCTGCTTTGATTCCAGAATATACCCCTGCTAAGAAACATGAACTCATGACATTGGCCACAACTCACCTTGACCAACAATGCAGGCAAGCAGGACATAAAGTGACTGCTAACCGCATTTTTCTGCTCCTCCAGCGATAGCTTCTCCTTTTTAGACAAAATCTGGCAACATGTAACAGGTGTTCGTGCACACACACGGCACGCACGCATACACGCACGCACACACAGACACACACACACAGACACGCACGCATGCACACACAGACACACGCACACTGGTGGTATACTCATAGGTGGTGAGCATTTCGCTAGAGATTAAATTTCGCTATTTTCGTGACCATTACACATTCGCGAATATAAATCGCCGCAACCCTCTCCGTACATTGATTGTAGACGGTACAAGATCCGACAGAAGATATAGAATCGCAAAAGTTTCTCATCGTGGACCAGACCAATTTTAGAAAAACGCTAAATTTGCGCGCTGCGAAAGCTTGCCGCTTTACAGTATGCGAAATATGGCTGCACAGTGCGTTTGCTGGGGATCCCTCGAACGTATAGGTCAAGCCTACAACCAACAACACTATCAGTCATGAACATTCAGAGGCAGAGAAGTAGTTCATTTGAGTTGAATCAACAATGCTACCATCATAACAGATGAACCAGCTTCAGGTGAGTCGGCCGACTAACCAGCCACATTACACCCAGCAGGCCACCTCATGCACCACGTGGAATCACACGAAAAATTACACGCAGCGACAAAAAACCCGTATTCGCAGATGTCCTGGCGGAGTGCTTACCTTGCGATACGCCCTGAACGGTGGCCCCAGACCACCGACAGCACGTTTAATAGCGCAGGACATCATGCTAATCAAGCATTCTTCCTCCTCGCTTGACAACCCTGCACAACAACAATCAAGTACACAATACAAACAACAAGTGCACAGTACGACAAGAGACTTAGAGCACTCACACTGGCTGAACATACAGGTGGAATGCAGACATGACAGCTAATCCGCTAAAGAAAAAGTCACAGGTGCTGCACGCTGGTTAGTTGGCTGTAGATGTGGCGCAGCAGTGGGGTGAGAGACTCCTGTCAGCATCAAAACACAGGCTGCATAACTGCTGAATTATGATTTAAATAACCGTACATACAATGAGCTTGACTCGGGAGAATGAAGCTGAAGACACCAATGCAGCTGTACTTATGGTTGATTCAAATGGTAATAAACACACGCCTGCCCACACACATCGACTTGGCGCCAGGCGCGAGCTGATGGTGGTGGTGGTGAGAAGGAGAGCCCTGTGCCAGAATAACTTTGCAGCCTAGAGAGTGTGTGTGTGGGCAGGCGTGTATTTACCGCCATATTGCCGGTGCGTATTTACCACCATTTGAATCAACCATACGTACATACATATACAATGGCACAATGTGTGTCCGTTAGCTTCCTTCACTTGGCTAGCTACAGAAAAGCCCCCCCCCCCTCCTCCACACACATACTCATTGGCTTCCCACTCACGACAAGCCAGCCAGCTCAATAGGAGCAGCAGCAGCAGTAGCAACAGAAACACAAGGCGCACAGTGCTGGTTAATCACAAACCTGTGTCTTCTTCCAGAAGGGATGTGTACGCTTGCCAGTCCTTTAGCTCTTCCATGTACGGAAGAAGGCTGTCCATAAAATAGTCGGTTGACGATGCTGCCTGCAACATGCAGGAGAAACACAGAGCAATGACGAGACTCAAGGAACCGAAAATGAAGCAAGAGCTTTTCAAGAAAAGTATTTAAAAACAGAATCATGGACGTTGCAACAGACAAGTATTAAGTAGTTGGGGTCAAGACTGAAGAGTCACGAGTAAGCTGCAGTAAATGTGCAGGTGTTCGGATGCAATACATACCTGGCATTCAATGAAGAACTTTGCTAGTTCTTTCAGCTTGAATTGTGTCTCAGAGATGGCAGCACTCTTCTTTCCTACAAGCACACACGCATACACCATACACACGCATATGCACACACGCATATGCACACAGAGTGTACAAGCCAGTAAAGTAACAAATCAACACAGGATACCTTAGAGAAACGTTAGAGGCAAACAACCGAAAATTTAACTTTAAAGATGCACTGCAGCACAGGTGCGTGGGCACACAAGCACAAGCACCCCCCCCCCCCCCCCTCCAACACACACAATTGACCATTTGACGCCCATCCCCCCCCCCCCCCCCCCCAACACACACAGTTGACCATTTGACGCCCATCCCCCCCCCCCCCCACGCACACACACACAATTGACCATTTGACGCCCAACCCCCGCCCAACCCCCCCCCCCCCCCAACACACACACACACACACATCCAAATACGAAAGCATTGCATGGCACTAACCACGCTTCTTTCGCGGGGATGTCTGCTGACTGGCCTCCTGTTCTTCCTTCAGACGCGTGGCCAAGCGCTCCGTGTTGAAGAGAAACTTTACGAGGAACTCTCCAGCAGCCTGCGCTATGGCACGTGGCCGAACAAAGACAAGCTGATAGATCTGTTCGCAGTTGTCATCATCCAAAACATCCATGCTAGCACAGCAAGGGAGAACCAAAAGCAGATAAAGAAAGTTACGTACAAGGAAGTGTACTTCCATGCCATCCTTTCAGGACTGGTAAGTGAAAGAAGAAACAAAGTAAGAAAGACACGGAGACCTAGAGAGAGAGAGAGAGAGAGAGAGAGAGAGAGACGCACAACATTGGCCTTACTCGTGAAGTGCACAGGCCACACGAATAGCATGAGCTCCGGCCTGACCGTCAACATCCATCACCATCTCCACAACACGATCCTACATGCAAACAGGAATACGAACAAGAAAAAGCGCAGTCCATAAGTCAGACACATTGATGATCAAAATCTACCGGTACAAGTCTATCTATGCTCAACGACTTCTACAAGCCTCGATGCTCATTCTAGTTTTATTATTATGATTTGTCCGAATCACGCTGAGGAATAACACGTTAGAAGAAGAAGCAGCGTTCCTGGGAAAACAATGAAAGATGAAAGAGTGCTGAGGGCACCTCCCTCATTTTACAGTCCACGTTGAATTCGCCAGTCCTGAAAAAGGACTAGCATGGGCGTGCAACTCACCTTGAACTTGTGTGTAAAAAGATCGAGGTGTTGGTGGAATGATTCGTTCTTGTAGAGACGCTCCAGTACTATTAGGGCAGTGGTACGTACCTCACCAGCCTGGGAAAATTGAAAACAAGATAGAAAGAGAAAAAAGTGACACAGAGCTCAAAAAGTCAACAAAATAATTCATAGCTACTGAATGATAACATACAGGGATATCCTTTACCAGAATAAACTTTCTCTGGCTCATTAAAATTGTCTCTGTCGTATACATTTGCTCAGAGAACTGCGACACTTTTACCGAACCGGAGAAAGTACACAAAATTGGCATGCATGTAACAATGGGACACATACCAGGAGAGAGAGAGAGTGTGTGTGTGCGTGTGTGTGGTGCGTGGTGTGTGTGTGTGCGTGCGAGAGAGAGAGAGAGAGAGAGAGAGAGAGAGAGAGAGAGAGAGAGAGAGAGAGAGAGAGAGAGAGAGAGAGAGAGAGAGAGAGAGAGAGAGAGAGAGAGAGAGAGAGAGAGAGAGAGAGAGAGAGAATTGTACCATCATGCCCCTACCTTATCATACAGCATCCATCCAATGTATTTCAGATAGTTGTCACCAAGAAACATCGAACTGTGACACAGACACAAGCACAGGTTTTTGAAAAGTACAAAGCTTTACTTCAATTTCATTTCTTACTGACACAAGGGTGCTAAATGAAATCCGACATCAAAAGCTAGATAGGGTCACCACGGTGCCACCATTGGGCTATGCACTCCAACAATATGCTAACTTAATCATGAAAGCACGGATCTAAGAGGACGACAGTAATGATCACAACACTTAGTCTAGAAGTAGAACTAGAGAAGCCACAACAACAATCAAGGATGCAAACACCTGTGCGATAAATGTACTGACTTGTATGCCACAATCCACTCTCCGATTTCATTAAGGCAAAGAGATCGAATGTCAGCGACCACATCTCTGCATTGATAACACAACACACACACAACATAACACATGAATGCAACTGATGAAACACACCATTTGACGCCCATCGCCGGAGGCGATGATAGCGATGCTACAGCAGTAGCCATAGCAGCTTGTGCTGGGATTGCACCATTCAACAGCTTGAATGAAACACACACACACACACACACACACACACACACACACACACACACACACACACACACACACACACACACACACACACACAGCTTGGATTGCACCATTCAATTGCTTTCAAGGCTGAAGAATTGGCTATCACTATTAATTTTTGCTGGGTCTACACTACACTGCTCCTTGAAGTGTTTTTTTCTGACCAGTGAGTCCTTCAAACCCACGCATGAGTGCACACACGCACACTCGCACACATGCACGTGCATACACGTGCACACACACACACACACACACACACACACACACACACACACACACACACACAGTTCTCTATGCTGTGTCCTCTGCTTCTTACCTATATCGCATCACAAAGACACCAGAGAAGATCTTCTGCATATGCTCTTCCAAATCAGAAATCTGGTCCTTTTTCTACAGCAATACAGGGCAATGAAAACCGGGTAAGAATTGGCCTCAAAATAGACACGTTACGACTCTAACAAGCGCACACACATCATAATTATAACGTTAGCAATAGAGGACAGATATGAGAATTCCTTTATGTACAAATTTACCTCGGATATTGAGCCAGTAAAGGGTCGGTTGTTGAATGTCTCAGTAGCCTGTCAGTTTTGTGCCCTGTTTATTGCACTTTCTGACTGCGTATTATCTTGTTACAGTCGTGGACAGTTGGTTCATAACTCGTTTCCATGTGATTTCTCCCTTTATGTACATGTAGCTATTTGTCACCCTCTGCACTGACAGTAATGTATAACAAAGCTATTAGAGCCTGATTACACAATGGTATCGTGCATATTGTGATGGTGCACGTGTGACTGCTGTGAGGATCTTCCAGAATGCATCCCACGTGATGTAAGCAATCAGGTGACAACTGGCAAGGTAGGCATGTGTGGTATCGCTGTATGAATCGTCTCTTTGCAAACTGCATAGCATGCTCAGTGGCTTACCTCATCCAGCTGCCCCTCTAGTACTTCGATCCGTCGACTGCTGGCTTTCTTCCGCTCTACGTCCAGCATGCGCTGAGGTGGACACCACAACAGAAGTAGAAACACTGCAATGGAGATTGTGCGATTGCATCATCATTCGAGTTGCGTACAGCGTGGCAACATAAGAATAAGTTTGAGACTCCATGCAAAGCAAATGGAATGATGCCATCATTCACATGACCGCTTGGACTTGACAAGCACGCCAATGACCAGGCAAGCAAGCAGGATTATGTCACAACCACATGAGTCACAAGGCAACAGCCAAACCAGTGCACAGACAGCCGGTGCCAGCCACTTTACCTCGGAGTTTTCCAACTCCCGTCGAATCTTCTGCGCCACACTGATGAAGGACGTGCACAACTTCATTGCTGAAAATGTTTTGGAGCAGAAATAAGAAAATGGGCAAAATGATCAGTGCAATTCTAACAGGTACGGATATAAGCGAACACACTGCGCAGGCACTTGCGCATCGCGTCACGTGCGCATCTCAAGTGAAACGAGTGGTAATGTCAATGTAAAGGAGTTTCTCGGTGTTTTGTGGTCTGCTCATCGATGGTCAGTTGCGGGACCACGTTAGTCCGCAACATTTGGTAGCAGAGGATGGTTGGTTAGAGATACCACCAAGAGCAGACCAAAGGACATGGAATCATCGTCGAGACCACCTGTAGAGTCCGACCTCAAGGTGAGGAAGGCAAAATCGAAAACCCAGTTCATGAACGCCAGGAGGGCGTTACTGACGGCCGTGATGAGCGAGCAACCAGAGCCAGGCATCATCAAGGCTCACATGGATGTGCTGGGGCCAACAGCAATGGAGGCCGTGGAAGCCATCCTCAGTTTAGTCGAGGTGGTGGAAACGACCACCCACCTGTTTAAAGAGCTGGACGTCCTGGATAAAGAATTCGCGGAAGCCGTCACCAGGGCCAGTGACGTGCTCGAGACCAGCACGAGGCGCCCGAGTCTGGCCAGCACGACGTCCAGCTCCCCAGCCACCATCGAACGGCGGGATACAATTCGGGAAATCAGGAGGATCCTAAGTAACAGGCAGAAACTGGGTGAGGCCAAGGAGGTGGATGATGAAGAAGAAGTGTCCAGTGACAGTGTGCAAGGCAGTGAAGCCAGTGAGACGGAGTGTGTGTGTCAGAGAGAGAGAGAGAGAGAGAGAGAGAGAGAGAGAGAGAGAGAGAGTACAGTTGTAAAAAGCAATGCACCTGTAAAGAGTATTTCTGACACACCTACAACGTCAACAAGTGCCCAGGGAAGGGTCACGTCATTTCTGTCGGCGGTTGCTATGGCAACGGCGTCGCCAGAGCCGAATGCATCGGAGCTTAGCCATACCCGAATCAAACAAGAGCCTATCAGTAAGTGAACAGCCAGTAACAGTCGACGACGTCCACAATGAGCTGCTGGTCCCATCAGAGCATGACACCAGCACACTAGTAGTGTTGCAGCTCCTGTCAGCAGCCTTTGCGCAATACTCCAAGCGTGTGCTGAAAGACCACTTGCCGGGTAGTGATTTCCACACCATGTCACCGGCTGCTCTTCACCAGACACAATCAGTGGCTACAACAAATGTTTCTAGCGAGAGACTATTTGCGCAGTTGGATCGCATGAAGCACGAGAAGCCAAATGCCACTCGTGTGGCCATTGAATGCATAGTTTTGTTCAGTGGTAACAACACCAGCAATTGGCTTGCTCTGCAAACACCAGAGCGACGACATGAGCTGTTCAATGCTGCGCTCAAGGGTGCCGCTGAGCATAGAGGTCTCTACCGCAAGCGTTGGGCAGCAGTCGAGGCACACCATCGCCAGACCATCCAGGAAAAGTAGAGACAGAAAGAGGAGAAAGAGAAACAAGAATTGCTGACGAAGGAAGCACTCACGAAGGACATCAGCGAGGTCGGACTCTGGTCGTCTGCTGCGGAAGTAACTGATAAACTCGCTGCTATTCCGCTGTGCTCAAGGAAAATCCAAGCGCTGAAGACCCAGATCCGCTTCCGTAAGGTGGTCCTTCAGCAAACGGCGGAGGACAAAACACTACTGCAATGGTCAGCAGCAGGAAAGCAGTTCACCTGGGAAGAGCTGGCACGGAATCTGACGAAGCTAATTGCAGGCGCCAGCGAGACCGCTGTAGCAGCGACGCAGTAGTGTAACGCCTTGAGATCCACGGCAGTATCAGGTAAGAAGACAAAAATGCTTGACCTTCTCTCTGTCTCTGTCTCTGTCTCTCTCTCTCTTTCACTTCAAATAACGTTAGTTGTACTGAATGTACGCCAAACTCAAGTGCGAGTTTTTTTCTATTTTACAAATTTTTCTGACAACTAGCAGCACGTGCACTGCGAGCGTACCAGTCGCCATTTTGTTTTGGACCCGATTCTGTCGACCATGCAAGCCACTGATTTTTGCATGACATCATTCATGCACAACATGCCTGCGCAGTGTGTTTGCTGATATCCCTATAACAGGGTCTCAGTGTACAACTACACGCACACATCCGTAGATATTCATGAGCACACTGCCCTTTGTCAGAGTTGCTTTGCACATGGCCCACAGAACAACTACGTCTCAACTGTCAAACACACGCACTACCTAGAATTAACGTTAGTGACATGCTTACATCGCTGCTGCTACTAAATCTACATCACAACTATCATCACCACCATGACCAACCGCACAGCCATCACCACTACCATAAGCACCAGCAGTAGCAGCACAGCCATCACCACCACGACCACCAACATACGCACCAGCAGCAGTAGCAGCACTACCATCGCCCTAGCCTTACCTGCCAGAGTGCTGGTATGTCTAAACGCTTGCACCTGTGACGTGGACATGGTCATCAGCCAGGGCAAAAGCTGCTCCAGAAAGAAGCCATCGTACAGCAGGGTGTGGCGCGACTGCTGGATGAGATTGTCCAGGAAGTCAACAAAGTTACTCTGTCGACATATGAAAGACAGAAAACAAATACCATGCACGTCACGCATTGCTGAAAAGATACCCAGGAATAGAAACACATCCCTGGTCCATTGCAGCTGCGAGCTATTCAGATAAATTTCCCACATATTGTATCAGCATGAGTGTGTGAATCCACCTGACTAGCATAGACTAGCACAGGACATGCCATCAAACATGCCATACCATGTTAATGTCCACGCAGCAGCAAGCTACTTGTAACACACACACACAAAACATGGCAACAATGCGACTAATACCTTGAATTTCTTCCATGCCGGTCCTGAAGCGATGAAAGGATACTCTGTTGATGTCTGCAGTGGGAACACAGATGCATGTATTACTAAATAGGCCATGGAAATCATCCATGCCACAAACAACTGGTTCGGGCACTGCAAGTATGCAAGAGACATAGTAGTAACATAGCACAATTTGCCGCAATAGCGAGGAGCATAACAAACTCCGCCATATCAAAATAGGCACTGAGAGACAGAGAGATAAGAAAACGTTCGTCCATGACAAAAATAATAGTATCCATGTTGTAGTGCACATACTGTTATTCAGGAGCGAGGACATGCATCCCAAATAAAAAGTATAGAATGCATGATTCGATGAACATGGACTTGAAAGACTGCACGTGCATGCACACCCTGTCATCTACATGTATACGTACAGTGGAAAAGTGAAACCCAAACTGGTGTACATGCCCTGAATCACGAAACAACTTTGATGTGATGCACATGTGCTAGAGAGAGAGAGAGAGAGAGTGAGAGTGCTCAGGACATCCAGGACAAGCGTTCTTCAGCATTGCAAGTGTACATCGGTCTGGATTTTACAAATGTAGATGGAATACAGTCAACCCCGCCGGTGTAACCGGCAGTCACAATAAATGAAAGCAAGTGGATTACCTCCCCAAAGTCTTGAGTCAGCTTCTTGAACGTCTTGTCATAATTCCGCGACACCACCATCTCCTGTGTGACTTCGGCTGAGCATTGCAGACAACAAAAAAATCACCAAACAGCATATTTCTTGGAAGTATCCCCCACTTTATATCATTGCACCAATGACAATTGTGTCAAAATAACCCAGCGGCAGTTAGTTATAGCAGGGGTTGAAAATTCCGACCGCCTTTCAGCATAGGAGTTTATTATATAATACATCGCGGCTGCAGGATAAACAAGTCCTCCTAAGGTCAAGGGGAACTTCACTTGAAAAATTACAGCAGCAGTGAATTCCTCCCGGCATGAAACAGAGAAGAGAATGCATAAAGGCAGTACAAAAGGACAGGCACATAAAGCAAACAGCCTTTTGTAACAACAAAAAGTCCTGATTGCCAGAACACCATAGCTACAGGGATGGGACGCAAGGGTGTCAGTCCCGACAACAGCTATCAGGCTGTGCCGTCACAGAAGGCACATGTGCACTGGTAAAGTCAGGGCAGCCAATCTGAATCACGCCACTGTCACCGTACGCTACGCACCTTTGCATCCTGAGGAGCTAACAAGAAACTGAATGAGCTTGGTAATGGCAGTGCCTTTCTCCGTTTTGTATTCATCTATCCACTCATCAACAATCAGCTGAACAAACAAACAGAAATCCAACAAGCAATGATCGGTGATTAGCCATCAACGTAAACTTTCGGTCAGTACTGAACGCTACTGTAAGCATTAACGACTACGCAACAGCACTGCAAGAACCTTGAACTACAATAGATTCGTGAGACATCAATGCTATCCTGCGGCACAGCTTTCCTTCCCAATTCTAAGCAACAAGACTGATAGGAGGGTACCTAGAACAAAGGGCAAACAAGAGCTCACTTTGAATGCACAACGACCCTCCTTGATAGTGGCAAACAGATCTTTCGTTGAAGCAGATGCTGCCTTCGACTTCGGTTGCTGCAAGACACACAACGATGCAGTTGTACAAAACAAATAGAAAATTGTACCTGTGAAAATCCTGCAAGAGGGAGATTCCTAGCTAGTACAAAAAACCTGTACCCCAGGTGGGTATCCATCTACCCAGAAATCCACTATGCTGGGAACAAACACCTGTGTGGCAACAGACCTATGGTGTTCAGGCAGATTTTGTCATGGGCAGGAGATTCACGCTCAATTGACATCAGCTGAGTGATTCCTATGGTACTTCAGCATGCCACACGCACAGCTAAACGACCGCCAAATCACTTGGGTCCCTGCAGAGAAGCACCCTTCCGGAGTGCACACACAGGAGCCCGCGCCACACACTACTTGCCAGTGGGCCTATCTATTACCATGCGATAGGACCAGTGAACTACAGCAGAAAGCATCATGGATGTACCAAACCATGTGCCACGAAGTGCTATTGTGACGACACTGCAAAATACAACACAAATCATGTGACCTTGGATATGCACAGTACCCCGGCTATAACGTACAGATATGTGTAGCTCGTGGAGACGTGTGGAATTTTCAATGAGGAAGGCACTACTGTTCAAAATCTGGTTTAGTTGGTGGACTCGATCGCATAACTTGTGCCCACAATTTCCATGTTACAAATGTTTTCCTCGGCTCACCATCTGAGTTCTTGAAGGCACCACTGTAATGCAATCTAGTATGCATAAAAACAAGCACCAGAGCAAACACACATGCATTCCAACACGGCAGACTGACCTGCCTCTGAGCACCACCACGTGCAACGGCAGCACCGCCACGACCTCGTGGCCTGATGGGACCCACAACGCGGCCAACGGGCCGCTCCGTGTCGCTGCCCGATTCGTTGTCCTCCTCTTCATCATCCTCGTCATCGTTGTCGTCATCATCATCCTCATCTTCTTCCTCGTCACTACTGTCTTCAACCTCGTCACTGTTTTCACCAGACTCACTGTACATTGCACAAAACATGCACCACATTAGACACAATACAGGATAAAATTCAGACAGAACCACGTGTTCTGCGAACAAATAAAAAAATATCGTATATAGCGGCATGCCGAGTTCACAAAATACCTCGAGCAGTTCACACAGTATAGACTTCAGTAACGTGATCAAGAGGGGCGCGGAGTACGGCACTACAAAAGGCGCCAGACACTCTTCGACACAAGTGTTTCGAATTCTGGATTACCGGTAGTTTGGATACACTTACTTAGCGACATTGCCTTCATCGTCGCTGTCATCTGCCTGTTCTTCCTGTTCTTGCTGCTCTTGCTGCTCTTGCTCCAGCCGCTGTGCTTCCTCTTCCTCTTCCTGTTTCTTCCTCAGCCTCTGGCTTCCCCGTACAGGCACCTACACAAAGGGAACACATGAACAACATGCAGCAATAAATTCCAGGATCACCGGTTGGGATAGCCTACTAACACCTGCAACATGAATCAAGCAAAAATGGCCATGGCCATCGTGGGCATAGCCGGACTTAGGCACCAAACACGAGTCCAACAGTATGATAGCACGCATTGTGCAATGTGATACACTGCGTACTGGCTGCACTGGTAGTAGAACATCTACATCATACTTTCAATGCACTTGACCTGCCGTGCAGAGTAAAATGTCCTTTCATTATTCAAAGGTCCTATACTTTGTAGATGCATAGAAACATTGACCTTGTTCGAATGTGCATTCTGAACACTATAAACAACAGACGGATACACGGACGCCGTTAACAGGTCTTATCCCTTTCCTGGCTGATTTCAACCGAAAGCGTTTTTAATTTTTAATCCAGACCTACAAAGGCAACAATGTCATGTATGCCTCGCCAGAGCGTGGATATCAGGGAGTTGTAGCATCTGGAGAGGCAGCAATGGTGAGCGGAGCGTTAAACGATAATGACACCGCCGGTCTGGACCGCGTTCGCAGTCAGCAGATCACAAACGTGTCCGTATAGATCATGGATCAGATCACGTAGAACTTCCAAATACATGTTGCGGGGTCAAACTCTAAATCCTGCAACCCACTGGAGGATAAAGAAGTGCATCAGTGCCATAGCCACAACCATACCAGTGTATAATGTACCTACTAGTATAATACAGCTGTGATAGGACTGGAGAATGCTATAAAGTATAAACACATGAGAACTGCTTTGGACTTCAATGTGGTACATGTGATTGCGTACAGGATAATCAGTGCATTGCTAAACCGAGATCATTAGATCGTGCTTCTGGTGCGCTCCAGACAGCAGTCATGCGTCAATCAGTCGGCAGGAAGCGCAAATTCCAATGTTCGGAGAGGCCCTTTCTCAACATGTTTCCACCGACGTCGCAACATCTTAACTCAAGATCATTCAGCCATGCAAAAAGCCTGTTCTGGGTAACATGTCTCCGTTATGGACAGGGTCGGTCCCTGTCTATAATAATACTACCGTACTGGCAATATAATTATATGGTTGCAGTGAGGCCATGAAGCGTTACATTGGCACATGTTTACCGCACGCAGGGCGTTACATGCAAAGTCGCACAGGAGCCGTTCAGGTTTCTATATTGCCGCAGTCCTTTTTTTTGCCACGCGGTACACGGGCTTTCACAGTTTTCAGCCTTTGCAGTGCAAACTGCAATGAAAAGATCGCCGCACCCCGCCGGACGCGCGTTACGAACGCAACGAAAATTTGTCGCACAAGCCTGGTCGCGCGTTACGCCGCACCCCCCTGCGTTACGTGTTACGCGGCAACATATATTGCCAGTACGGTAGTATGATATTGTTGGTTTTTTGTACACGCACTATGCACCTATATGTATATTCACAATGGACACTACAGTCATGTAGGCAGGTAAGTGTATACATGTATGCCTGTGGGTACCATGTATTGTAGATGTACACTTCATAGTTGACAAATGTTGCAGATAGCCATTTGGCACTCCCACTGCTTGGAAAACTAATAGATCTTGATACTAGTATCGCACATATATCCAATCGATACACACCCAGATATAGGATTCAAATCTTCCGAACAACATCAAAGATACGTGTGATCAATCATCAGATTATTTCGAGGTGCAAAATTTAGGATCACGCCCAGTCATGAAACCTACAACAAAATACATGTAACAGAGAATAGCGAATACCAGCATTGTTCCCCACTAGAGACCCAGACTGATCGACAACAATAAAGGAATGACTTGACTCCCAAGGTTGCCTGGAAAAGGATATTACAATTTCGAAAACATGATTCTTGAAATTTTGATCACGTTTTATCAGCTCACCGGAGATGACTTGGTTCCATCAGCCTTCCCAGCGGCTGCCCGATTTCCTCGTACGGGCATGGCTAAGCACAGCAGAGACTTCCAACATCCACGGACATTCGGTAGAACAAAACTTAGAGCAACTGAAGAAGAATATTGTCTTCGTCGTCAAATGTTGTACAAAAACCCGACATGCAAGTCTGTACAAGTCGGCGTTGCAGCTGTGTTTCTGCCTTCATCACATTCCGACATTCGTTTCAAAAGAGACGCCATGCCAGCATGCGCCTCGTACTCGTACATTTGAAGTGACGCTCAAGACGTCACGCGGTCCTTTCCAATCTCCCGCCATTTTTCCGATGATCCTGCCTGGCGTAGCGCCTACTCGCATGCGCAGTCTACCAGTTGTCTTCAGAGCTGCTCTCTGTGACCCTATGACCCCAGCCAGGCCCGAACAAACAAGTCCATGAACAGACACTCACACGCAAGGCTATTAAATTTTAGTCTGCCAAACTAAAACTTTTCCCAAAGTCCACGGCTCTCTTTTGCCCCCCAGTTTTGGCAAAGATCGTGAAGGTACGAGTTCTTAGTTCTAGACTCGAGGCCGAATAGAATAGAAGGCGAAGGTCCGTGTAGACCGGGTGTGCAAGTTCATGTTTGGTATGGTCGTCTGGGAGTCAAATCGTTGAAGCGGCTGCGAGCACGAGCTAGGCCCGAGCTAGACAATAGTCTCCAGATTCGCAAATCTGCTGTAGTGTGTATGCAGAACGTTGAGTATGGTCAGTCACTGACTGACCATATTCTACGACTCACACACACACACACGAAATGCATTCCGTGTTTGACTTGCTCAGTTTGTGATCTACATGTAGTTGTACCTGTACTACCGAATCGATAGCAAGGATTGAAGGCAAGGAGGACACGGTGAGCAATTCCATGCACCGTGACTCCCTCTTTTCAAGATACTGTAGAAGCACGATTATCTTTACCAGAGACTTTGCTTTTGACAATTTTTGATTTGGCAGACCTGACTCAGTGGACAATCAAATAATTCTAAATAAACCAGTGCAAACAACAACATTCAAAGGTGAGAATGAAGATTTGAAACAACAACAACGATCAAATCATAATACCTGCACATTATAGTACTTGAAGTACATGCAGTAATTTTCACTGTTCATGACTGAATAGCGGTGGCCGCCACAGCAGCGTTGGTAACCCTGGCCTGTAGCAGTGATTTGATGCGATTCTCAGCCTCAGCGCATTGGCTCAGGCCCGTTTCCACAATATCGAGTGATTCGGGACTGATCAAGGTCAATGTGTCGACGTTGAGGAGGTGACTACGCACTGTGAAGCACAACACAAAAAGAACAAGCTCAATGCTTGTAGTACAGTATGACTAAAATGCATTACACAGTCACGTACATGTACATTGACACATACAATTGTCATGTACAATTAACTTTCTGGCCATGTACCGGTCCAGTTGGTCAGGTTATCACCCGGCTAACTTTCTGGCCATCAACGCATGTTTCCTGCTGAGGAGGGCATACATGTACAATGTATATCCCCGCCATATCAAACACAACAGTATGAAAGACTATGGTACGACGGGCGAATTGAAAACTTCTTCCGGCGGTCCTGCAACAGTCCACGTATTTGGTACTACAGTACTACTGTAGTGTGGGTTTCACTGTACATGTACACGTACAGTGCTGCTCAATGAAATCCAGTTCATGCACTCATGTACGCGCCGGGCATTGCGCAGCCCTAGACCTGAGAACACTGGGCTTCGAACTGGTGCAAGGCGCGAACTTGAGTGCCACCGTGGATTTCATTGAGCAGGACTGTACATGTACAGTGTATTCTCCTCTTTTCACATCTCCAAGCCTTTATTTGTGGACAAAGGAAGGAAAAAGTGCTCAAAGGGACTGGGACGGGGGTGGTGGATAAGCCGCGTGAATAGGGTTACTGGCACTCAAATTTATTCATGTACATGTACACGATTGTACTTACTGCTCAAATCCACGAGCATTCCTTTCACATCATTTAGCTGGCTGGTAATGCCATCTAGACGACCCATCATGGCCTTGTACATCTGAATACATTGTATGTATGAAAGGAATGAAATTGTAAGTAATTAGTTAGATCGACATAAATACATGGAAACAATTCCGTCCACACCATCTCCCTAAGCACAGTTGCACGGACCGTCGGTGCTAGGTGAAATCCGACCCGAAGTGCATGTTGGGCACCCCGAACTTTCATGATGCTTGACGGACAGGAAGTAACTTAGTTGTACGAATGGTGCTTTAAGCCTAGTTCACATTCGACGGGGCGCGACGGGACGCGACGTAAGGATCAACGGGAAGCGACGGGACGGTCTGACGGCGTCCAATGTGAACACCAGGAACGGGAACGCAACCGTACTACCGTACAGATCGGGAAGCGACGGGAAGAGTTGGATCGATCCAACTTTTCATACCGTAGACGGACGTAGACGGGGACGCAAGCGTACAAAACGGCTGCAATTCGAGTGTGAACAGGAGACGGCGTCGTGCGCCGACTACTCCCGATTCGTACTTGGAATTTTTTAGCATTTCGAACCCTGCGCTTCCCATGATAACAGAATGGCTAGCACAACTTGAGTTGAATTTTAGCAACATAAGATCTCATGTCACTTATTGTATTTAGGGATAGTTCAGAAGCGTGACAGACGAACTATTCTATCATTTCCTGGGGCTATTACTTGAATGCCACAATTTTGGGTCTAATTTTTTGATCTTCATGAAAAACTGGTATTGGGAACTTGATTCCGCTTCTTTTAAGGAGAAATAATTGAAAGAAATCCCGAAAAACGAGAAATTAGGTCCGAAAGTCACCCCGTCACGGACCGTGCCTTATGACTCACGCCGTTCGACGTTGAACGTCGCAACGACTGCTGCATGTCGTGTCGTACGAATCGTACAGGATTGTACAGCTCACCCCAGCCCTCCCGACAAGCCCTTACGTCCCGTACCGTCGGCGTTGCGTCGAATGTGAACTAGGCTTTACATACATGTTCATGTACATGTACACATTATAATAATTTTATTCCCGTAGCTATGCAGAAGACGTTACTTCAGTAACGTCTGGCGCTAGCCAGGGTCCACACAGCTTTAATTTGGTATTTGTTTGTTTTTTTGTTTGTGTGTTTGTGTCACGCCTAGCGCCTGGCGCTATCCCGCATCTGTCCCGTACCGTACTGTACCATCAAACACAGTTGGCCACAAACAGCTGGCCACAATATTCAAATAGGGCTTTCAAATGCAAGATCATAACGTGAAGCAACTTGGAAGAATGAGTATGAATGCGAAGTGTATTGGGGAGTGCATGTAGGGCGATAGCGCGGGTTCGAATCCCAGGCTATGCCTTAAAAAAATAGGAGAAATGAAAAATTTAATGCTTTTTGCGTAGGTCATCAAGGCAAAAAAGCATAGCGTAGGGCCCTGAGCTTCCAAGCTCTCTCGTTACGTGTAAACAAATATGATCACTGATGTGATATACAGTAGGTATCGGTTATAGCGTGGGTGTTTGAAAAACGACTTTCTATTCTTATTTCTGATATTTCTTACGCATGATAAATCAAGTGTGGCATATCATATGCATGTGCGCAGGGGCAGGAAGATCATCGTACATGCAATGCAGTACTTCTGTGCATGTGGCTGGTCATAGTCCCATGGGCTTACCATGTGGCTATGCAAAATGAGTTACATGGCCACAACAGTTGAATCTGCAGCACTACGACGCAATGAGAGTCACATCAGAACAGATGTTATTACTACAGGCGATACACTTTGTACTCATCTGGCATGTTTCGCTACACAAAGTCCATTCTTAGGACCGATATATTCTACTATGGGATAAAATTGCTTGTAAGAATAAATGTGGACTTGAAATCCATGTTATGATTATGAAAACATGAGGGTTCATTCTTGTAGGCAGTATATTCTTTTACACGGCCACGCTATAACCGATACGCACTGTACATGTACATGTACAGTAGAGTCGCGCACCCAAGAATGTTGTTTCCAAGGGGTTAGCCTGGGGCGTTCTTATTTTTCATCAATCTGGCTGTGTTCTTATAGCACGTTCTTCCGTAGAAACAATCCGTACTGAATCATACATATCCCACAAGCTGCCAGAAAACCAACACCGCCGTTCTTAGCTTTAGGCTATGGCGTTCTTAGAATGTCAGGCTGGACGTTCTTGGGCTCCACGCTCTTCAGCGCGAGACTCTACTGTACATGTGGGAACTGGTCTAGAGTGCCAGCTTTGCACAGTTTGTGTCAGAGTCACCTAGTGCAGCTGTACAAGTATTGATTATGTGAGTAAAGCCCACAATAACCTCTACTTTCTCAGCTGCAGAAGCAGGCGCGTAGGACCGCCATAGGCGGCGGTCCGGCCAAGGGGGGTCCGGGGGGATCTCCCCCCTGAATTTTTTTGAATTAGGGTGCAAAATCCTGTATTCTGGGCACTTTTGGCATTGTTTTACTATGGTGGTCGTGGTCGGGCGAAAAAGTGGTCCGCCCAAAGCCGGACCGGCCGGAGCGGCTGCTACGCCCCTGAGAAGGTCTAGTGTGTGGAATAACCATCCAGTATACTGGTGGCATCTACGCTGGCACCACAAATGGGAACATTACTCATCAGTGAAGACCAAGACACTGGGAGCGTTGTAAAGAAACGTAGGTATGCCATGACCAACTTAATTGGAGTCGGGGTATGTTGACAGCAACATTGTTCATGCATGGCAGTGCCAAGTCATGGAGAAACCTGGGTTGCGGGTATGCGATCCATGCTGGGACTGGGAGTTACTTCTCGGAATCATCATAGGGGTCGTTGCATTCCGGCTTTTAAATTAAAGAACCATTGGCAAAGAACTCCTACTACGATTATTTTCAAGAAACAGCCCAAAGATACAATAATGTGATGCTTGTGGACTCCTCCTCCCCCCCCCCCCTTCTAGGGTTTGAAACAAACGGTATGGCACTCTACACGCACTCTGAGGTTTGACCACTCTCACTTTGAGTTTGGAATAGGAGCCTTGAACTTTATGGTGTCCCTCCATTGTAGGGTCCACATCTGTCCAAGTTCTTCTCTAGAATAGTTGTCACAGTGCAGGACTCGTTCTGTGCCGTTTCTAGTTAGAAATCCGACTTGAAAACATGAACTTGCCTCTGTTTGATCTGCGGCTGTTCCCATAGTTGCTGCTCTCTCTGCATCCATATTATTATCATTCACATGTACACAGTCACTGTACTTCTGCAACTACCACCACTTTTAGTCCTAGCGTCAGAATCTTCTACACATCCGAATCAAAATCCAGCTCTTCGAGTTTCTCTAGTTCAGGGACTACAAAGGTAGATCCTGTGATGAAAAGCACTAGCCAGCAACAACTATCTTGTGACTTACACTAATAGTCTTATATTACTTCTTCTCGAGTCGAGTCAACCAAGAAATGACAACAAGAAAGAAGACATATCTTCGCGAATTTGGAACAATCCGATCGTTCCATGAAACTGAACTTTGGACTTTTGAACCCATACATGACCTATCCATCCAAACGTCAAACATTGGCATTTTTACGAAAACGAGGGCAGTCTGCCTGGCCCGTTGCGATTCTTGCGAGTCATTGACTACAACAAGTCATAATCCTTGTACTTCCCTATGAAAACCAATCTACATGTACTTACAGTAACCGTCTGACCGACATGTCCGAAGTAAGTTCAATTCTGTAGGTTTATACTTGTGATTCGAGTGTGAACTGCTACAGTTGCTCAGACTCTGTAATTTGTAAAAGGTATACTACATGTAGACTACATATCTGCCTGATGAGTACAGTAATCGTAGGGTAAATACAGCAGACGAAATCCATGGATCAGCCCAGGTACTAGTAAAGCTGTAGATCCTCTGCCTACACTGATTACAAAAGAAGTGGTTGGTGGGAAATCACTACAGCTAGATACATGTAACGTTACGCCCGCCTATCATTTCTAAGGCTGAAGCCTGAGAAAGGACCGTCGACAAATGTGGCAATGTTTTCAAAACAAAATTCATGATTTCTCACCATACGTGCCTGGGCCGATGAAAGGACCACCTTGATAAGGCTACCACCTGCCCCAGAGGACCACAGGAACAAACAAGTAGAGCTATGTTCCTTTCCCGTCAAAAGACCCTGAATACAGATACCACCTGTGTGCGAAGACAACTAACACGGTTATCAATTTGTACTATGGTTCTGTGAAAATAAACTGCCAGCCAATAAAATACTACAACTATTAAAGTAGATAAGATATCGTGTGCTGAGAACCAAGAAAAAATTCAGGGTTGGAATGGGATATACCGCTGCTGACATATATCTAGTCTATGCCCACTCAACACTAATTGACTAAGTAATATTAACTGGATCTATGCCATGTGCATCATTACAAAATCAACAAGCAAAGGCCAGCCATTCCGGGAAAGTACAATAGATCAAGGAAGACGTGGGGCACACTAGGACAAAAAAACACCTCAACAAAACCTCAAGAAAACAGAAAGTATATTATTGGGTTATTCAAAGACTGATAGCTTATTGTATTTTCTCAAAGAATCTTTGTCGTGATGTGAGTGAGTACACAGTACGCTGTACATAATCAAGCACGTTAAAACATGAGCGCTGCTTCTCTGGTTAGTTTGTGACGCCAGCCTTCGGGTGGACGCCAAAGACAACAGCAGCACTGCTGAGGAAGCAGAAACGCATACTCCTCCATTGAAGTCAGTCCTGGAGCACAATCATGATGATGATGATGAAGAAAAGGCCAATATGAGGAAACACACATCCACCACTGGACACTGAGCTGAGTTCATTGGGATCACAGGAATGTGTTACTCAAGCATGCAGCACACATCTGATAGCTAAACTTGATATCCCAGCTGTGTTTTGCTGTCCAGCAGCAGCTGTACAATGAACAATGCACAAGGGTCTTGACTATGCCCTGTCACACTGCTCAAGCAGAGGATGAGCAGACACTAGCGGAAATAGGTAACAATCCTCGGAAATTCCAATCACCAGTCTGGAATTCGGATTGCATAATTTACTGTTTTACGACGATAAACAAGACAATTTCCTGGCACGTAGAGAACTGAGACGGCAGCACCAGTCGCCATGAAGACACTCGCTCTTCTAATTTTTCTTCAGCATTAGTTCTAGCTGATGAATGTAGTCAATGGTGAGGAGGAGAACGTCGACGTTAGCTTGCATTTCCGACTGAGGTACTGGCAGGATCTCACGCAGCTGCTCCAAACCTTGCCTGTCCTGATCCGACAAACCACCAACACCACCAGCAGCCGTGCTACTGCTGCTCGGCATAGCGCTTTTCTCATCGCCCGTGCCAGGGTTGGTGGCGTTGCTGCCACTACTGGCAAGACGAATGGGTGATTCCGCTGATTCCTGGCGCAGGGAATCTCCTGCTGCTTGTGTCATTGGCAGTGCACAACTAGGCTGCTCAGTTGCAGTTGCCATTGCTAAAATGAGTGAAACGTGAAAGAAACTACGGTGTCCTACAGCAAACAACGATGTGCTCCACAATACAGTGCGAAAGACTAGCAGCTAAAACTAACCAGTCTCTTCTCTCTGTCTATATTCTTCTTTTCCAGTAAGCTGACTGTATTTCGCGTGATACCACTGTAGTGCTCGCTACTAGTACCAATGCAAAGGCAAATAAGCAAAACCATTCGACCGAAAGTCAGCTCCAAATGATCTACGCTGGAGCGACAACTCGTGAATAAATAACGAGCCGGTCGCAGAGCAGGGTTCAAGCCGCTGCCAGTAAAAAGAACCTCCTTTGGCGTTCCAGCGCCAGCGCGCGATGTAGATAATGACGGGCAAGCGGAGTGCACAAAATCGTCCGTCGACATTCGCCTAGACCTGCCAGCCTGTGTGTAGGTCGTTGGGCGAAGCAGCAGACAAGTGTGGCCTGCAAGGCAGGCTTTCTTTACAGCTTCGGTGTCACGTGGCGTCTTCTCAAACCCCGCACACACATCGAGATGCTGCAGGTGTGCGCTTTGTGGGCCGTACACAAACCACTGCGGCTGGCCATGTCACTGCACCAGGTCCACAGCGGCTGCGCTACTCCGCTAGGGTATTTCGCACCACAAACACTCATACAAAACAGGTAATCTTGCATTGCTAAGATGCCGATAGTGTGTAAGCACGTGCGAGTCAGCGTTTGTGAACACTTAGTACTTGCATGCAGGCAGTGTGACGGCGGTCACATAGCGGACACATACACACAAAAACTAGTCGTGGTGGTGCTGCTCTCACTACGAGCTACCGATGATCCCGACCGGTGCATACAGGTGATTGCGCCTCGATAAGCCTAGACAGAATGGCGCCAATCTAGCGTGCAGTTTCCTTCACACACACACAGACTCAGTGACACAGCGACAACTCACGCCCCACGTGGGTCACCTGGCCTGCTGGGCCAGAGCTTCGCGCGTCAACAGAGCTAGCCTAGACTAGAGTAAAGCTGGAACGAGGAGGAGGTGGGAACAGAAAGTAATAGTTACCACAAAGACTACAGTCAAGAGTAGAGTGAAGGCTTGAAGTTAGTTGAGACATTTTTACAGCAGCCAGTACTAGTAGGTCGCCGCACCACTGCTTTATTTCATACAACGATGGTTAGGTAGCCTGGCATAAGCGAAACCAAATACATGTACATGCAAATCATAACTGTATCAGTACAGCTGGTTGTGTTTCTCAACAGGTGGTAACGGCGCGGACAAACTAACGTTACTTTACTTTTACATGCACCAAGGCCAAGCCAAAAAAGCTTCTTGGTTTTGTGACTATACGTGCTGCCATGATCTACAAGGGTACGTTCATACAGTGACTGTGTAGATACTCAACTCAACCTGTACTGTCTGTCCAGGCAGGAAAGGTCAACTCAGTGTGGTGTCTATTTGGAATTTGGGTACGTCTGGCTCATACTCTTTATACAACATGTGCATGGCTTGGCTTGCCGCGGAGCAGCACAAAACAAAAGCGTTTCAAGAAGGCCACATGTACAGTGTACGGACGTGCAATGCGGCGGTTATTACTATATTAGTCTATTTAGACCTCCGCTCCAGTCACTGGAACTGGACGTCAATCGTCACCCACGTCATGATCACTGTCATTGGTTATACCGAGAGACCATCACTCCAGTTATCATAGTAGAGTGTGCCTGTGATCACCTGCTGCTCCCTCTTACTTCTTGCCGTCTTGGTTAGTAATGCATCATACACTGCTTGCACCTGGTGCCCTCGCACGACCGCAAAACCGGGGAAAAAACTGAAATGGCTCAACACATTATCGACTCTGCCTGCTAAAATACATGTAACATGGCAGTCTGTGAACAGAACCGTTGGAATCTAGCCCTCGACTATTAGTATTACTAGTACTTAGTAGTAGTAGTCTGCCGGTATTGTACTTTGTAGTGTAGCCAAACCTTGATAGCGTAACGTAACGTATAACGTTACGTAGTCGTTATAATTACATGTACATGTATGCAACTCCGTCAGAGTCGACGTCGTGAAATAATCACTTACTACGGAAGTCGTTGTGCTTGATGCATGAATCCGGCCCATGAATGATGAATGATCTACACCTGGCTGTATGACTGTATACTTTGTATAGTAACACTACACTACAGTCTGCCACTGCTGGCACTGGTCTACAGCGTACTACTACTACAGAGTCAGTAGTCTAGAGTAGAGTAGAGTCTTTGCAGGTGCAGCTGTGGAGTGTAGTTCTACTACTACTACTACTAGTAGTAGCAGTGACCAGCGACACTGTCCTGCGCATGAATATCTGATGATGAATGATTCCGATCAAATGATCGATTTGGACGATTGGACGGCAATCGGCAGTGAATCACACTTGCTCAAGTACATGTAGCATTGTAGGTGCAGAACTTCAACTAGTCCATACAGTTGCATCCACACACCTGCATAGCACATTCAGCTCTTACAATGCAAACCTCATCATCTCATGTACTATTCAGTATTGTCCCATGGCATTGGCATTGGTACTATGGCTGGTGACATGTAATTACTTATAATTATTGAAAAGTTATGTGTGCATTCATTCAAGACACACGATCTCTTGCACGTGTTACAAATTACAATACCTTGCTAACAACAGTAACAAGTTACTGTAGTGAGTTATAAACTTACAGAACTCTTCCCTCTGTTATTCTTTGTCTGAATTTCTTTGTGAAAGGCTTTCTTGATCTTGGAGACAATAATTATAAAATCACACCTGGGAAAAGAACAAACTTCACATCCCTTACAAGCAACGCCTTGCAGCTTCGAAAACGTTTCCACAAGTAATGGCTTCACATCAGGTACCGGAATACAGGCAAAAGCAAAATGAACAAGAACAATGAATACCGTACAGCAGAGTGACTCTAAGAGGTGATAACACTTTCAAGTTAGTTCGAAGGTGTCGTCGCTAGTGAGGAGCCTGAAGTGTGTTCCTTACCTTCGTAAGGTATGGATGCTATGTGAATCATTGAATGTCATGGGCAGAAAACGCGACTATTCTTTCAGATGATGGTTGTCTCGGAATGTTTTGTACGGTGTGCTCCTCCCTCCCTCCCCCCGTGCTTGGGATGCCACTCCATACTGCTACGAACAGTCAATAATACATGTACATGTACATGTACATACTGTCACTACATATAATGTTACATGTAGAGTCTATGCTACAGACCCCCCGCCCCCATTTTAATGAGATCCTCGATCATTATCGACTCGTACAATTCTATTAAAGAAGATTCTTGTCGAGTGTACATGTACATGTACATGTAGACTCGTGCTATGTCATTCACATGGTTCAGTGAGTCTGCGATAGACTGTGCCACACATACGTGTATATGATACAAGTATTATCAAGAGTCCATGGACTCTTGGTATTATTGTGTTTGTGTTTTGGTAGCTATTCCTAGGGATGACACACCAATCTGTGATCGCGATACTACCGGTATTTAACAACAGTACAGAAACTGGAAGGGCCAAAATCAGGCAGCTGAGCTACCAGCAGGGTCCTGGAAGTCACCTGTAGCTATGGGGGGAAAACAGAACACACGTGCAGACGCACAAGCACAAAAACCAAGGTACCGTGTCAGGTATTGACTACTAGTATTTGATTTGTCGCTATCATCCTTATACTCTTTCACTACAACCAAGTGCACCGTAAGGTTGAGGGTCGATACCAGTATACAATGATTATGTAGGTGGAGTATGTGACGAATTCCGTACAAGTACTTCATAATACTGAGTACATACAATGTATGGATAACACCACATGAACCTGAACAGGCTGGGCCCTGGCCTGGAGGTTTTTATCAGCTCAGTGAAGTCAAACCCAAGCATCAATATTAAACATTTTGGTAGTCAGGAGGGTAAACAGCAGCTGTACCGCCTGTTCATCATTATTTTAGTCCAAACTTCCCACCACATACGCCCAAAGAGTGCTACTACTAGTATTCACAGGTTCACGAATCACTACTGACACTAGTCATCAGAGTCAGTGCTCTTGCAACCTTCACTGATGAGATCTGTACGAATCAACTGTATGAAGGAATGAAATGAATGCACGAATGAATCTGTATACAACAGTCGTCGTTGTTGCTGGTGTAGTGAACGAGGTCGGCCGGAGAGCACATGTGGTGGGGAGCTTGGACAAAATTATTGCAATTCTTCGAAGTACAGTATACATGTACATGTAATTGTTTACTGTAGTCACTATTAGTATGCAGAAGCGATGTCGGAGGAAAGCAGAACATCTCTTAGGTGACTGCTAGCGAGACTTCTGTGCCATACATGGACCCGATTTACTCTTGCTGCCAGGTGTGAGAAGGGAAGTTCTGGCAACCACTTCCCTTCTTCTGCACACGTACATTGTATGTGCGTCAAATATGTGACAACCGGTAGATCTACTAGCAAGAGCATACATGTACATGTACGTGTATGCTCCCTGGGAGCATAGCCACGATATTTACCCCTGGTGCTACTGCAGTGCTACTGTAGTATGCATCTGTGTTCTAATTCCACCGCCATCTGATCTTCTAAAGTAGTATGCATCTGTGTTCTAAATTATCACTGCAATCTGATCTATCCGCGATATATAAAGCAGACCCCCCCCCCCCCCCACACTGCTCTCTAGCTGCTTTCGAGTGTTGTTCATGGTCATATGACTGTGCCTGCATCATGAGATCTTATTCTGTAAGAACAGTCGGGTGAAGACTGATATGAAGGGCAAGAACAGAATGCACAGTTGGTAGTTGGCGTAGCACAGTAAATTCAGCTCATTCTTTGCAAATACATACCGGTACATGTACTTACATACGCTTTGTCGGCTTAGAATAGAAGGAAGGTCTGTGTTGGTGCATGCAGGCCACGTCGCGAATCGGTGTGTGGTCGGGTGACTTGGGACCACATCCTTAGCACCACCGCCACCGGTGAATAATTTAGGCAGTGATAAGCACGTGTGTGTAGATCTACTGGTTAGCACTGGCTATCGTTCTGCCTTCGTGCAGAGCTCCGCGGCTGCCTTTCTAGCAGCCAGAGCTCTCGGCCTCTTATGCGTCGAACTTACTTCTTCGCCGTTCGGTCACTCTGAGCCCCACTGTGATGATACCCAAATAAAACCCGATACTGGCGATAGGGAAGCACGAAGCTAGACGCGTGCTATGCTATAGTCACCATTATAAAAATTCGGAATGCTAACAGTGACACACTGACAGCCAGACTAGAGCATGAGGAGGGAGAGATCATGTGGTCTCAGTTTCACCGTGTGGCTCATACGCGCCAAAATGATACGCCTGACAGTGTATAGTGTAGACTGTAGACTCTACACAACAGACAGTGCGATAAGATGGGATGGGGGGAGGGGGGGATGAGTGGAAGGAAAAGAAGAGGAAAAATGGAAACAGAAAAAGGACACATTGTTTTGTCGAAGCTCTTCCATTGGTCACTACTCGGGTGGTCAACAACTCGTTAGTTTTGTCCGTTGGGCGCCTAGTGTTTTCGAAACACATCTCTTGTTCGGTTTCTTCACGCTTGCACCTTTTGTCATTTCATTATGTGCATGAGGTGACGCATTTACTGTGTTGTTGTTGGTTACTCTTCTTTGCGCTGTTGCTATCGCATCACTACTGTGTAAAAGTTATTGTGATTGGACAGTTTCTTTTGCCTGTACAGTCATGTACTCCATCCGATGAAAAGACAATGAAAGTACTAGTGGTAGAGCTTTGAGCGGATGTTGATTGTGAGGAGTCTAAAGCAGCGTGTTCTTTTCCAAGGAAAAAGAAGAGATTGGAGAGCGACCGACAGATGCAGAATCAGAGCCAGGATGAGGAGATCATTATTATTATCACCAGTCATTGTCTGCTCTGACATTGGAGTACCAGCTCTGACATTGGAGGTTAGTCGGGTACAGCTAGCTGTGCCTGGCACCATCTTCTACATTGAAAGTCAAAGCAGAGTCGTCCACTCTTATTCCGTTTAGTTTAGGCGAATTGACAATCGATCATGCAGGCCAAAGCCTGCAAGCAAAGGAACAGAGACGGTTGAAGTAAAACGTTAGAAGTAAAACGTTAGTTCAACGAACCCAACTTCTCAACCAGGTCAGTGCGACGGTCAGTCTGAGTCAGTGTGAGCGTCGGAGTACGGTCCGCACCCTAGTGTGGACATTTACATGTACATGGCTGATTTCTTTCAACCATGTCCATGGCCACACACCCTCTCAATCGGGTCACTGAAGGCTGTTGTCTGTGAGGACCTGTCTCTGATTGTGGAGCAGGCATCACTATTGATGTCTACGACTAGCAAACGTCTACGAGTTCATGTAGCAGTCTGTTGATGAATGCCATGGCATGTCTCCCTCGCCAGCGACGGGCCATAACTACACATACTAGCGGCATAATTATGGTACATGTAGTCAGTTTCGCATTACTAGGACCAGAGCTCAGATCAGAGCTGTCGTCTCGTTACGTTGGTCTCGATGCTTTTCACTCGATCGAGCTACATGTAGCTCAGAACTGAAACCAGCACCAAGGAATGCTATTCGAGTCCAGTCCAATGGCCCTGGATAAGGAGACCACCTGGTAACAGAGACCAGGTTTGAAGGTCTCTTGAGCGGTCGTCTTAGACAGGTTTCACTGTACATGTAGGTCTACAATCATGTCATTCACATGACTTGTGAAGTTAGTTACTGTACTGAGTGATCATGGTTCCTCGTCGGCAAGTATCTGCTCAGTGCACTGTCATTGATCCAGTCATCGCCGATTATTTGCTGGCCAGCCGAACATTGATATCTTCTCGGGTTGACCGTGAAGCGTTCTGTGGTTCGAAGTCCGCCAGTCCTAGATTCTGGATCCTTCTCAAGATAGAGACAGACAACTAACTTACTTGTAAGTCGTAGGCTTGGAGCATGGCTTTCTCAATCGGCGGATTGTGCTCGACCGCACTTCGACGCTCCTTGGCCTGTGGCGCAGGAGCTTGCGCACCCGCTTCTCAAGCACTGGTTTTCCGTCGCAGCTTATCAGGAGCTGATCTATCGTCTCGTCGACCCCTGACTGCCGAGGAGCTGGGGAAGTATCGCACGGACGGATTCGTCATTCTGAGAGATGTATACAACCAGGAGGAGATCGACCTTTTGCGAGAGACGGTGCTAGCTGACCAGATGCTGAAAGAGAATGTGATGGACATGGTTGATAGTAGCGGCAAGACCAGCAGACTGACACTCTGGAGACACGACGGTAAGTGGCCGTACAATGCGCAGACCGACAGTTTGTCGAAGACAATAATAGGCTCTATGAAATACTCAGAATGCTGATTCAGAATCCGAACCTGGTCCGACAATGCAGGCCAGCTGCATGTGTACTAATGGCAGCAAGAGTCCATAACCCAAGAGTATGCAACTGTGATTATGGGTGCATGCGTGGCGCGCTGCCTTCATTACGTAACTTGCCTTCATCACGCTCTGAAAGCATGCATTCAAACTCTCAATTTCTCGCACGAGCCCATCCGTTTTTGCTCGATTCGTTCCAGTACCTACACAATCTCTGAATTCTGGCGCGTGAACTCCAGTTCCGTACGAAAGTTCATTTCAAACTGGAGGGAAAGTGCGGTGTTTGATTTTCCGCAGTGCGCGGACTGCAGCTGAATGATGTAATGAAGGCAGCGCGCCGCGCATCTGGCCCATAGAAAAGAGATCACAGTTGCATACTCTTGGGTTATGGACTCTTGATGGCAGCAATGCAGCTCCTAGTACAGTGCCGGCGCGGCTGAAATCCGACCCCCTTGCTGGCGCGCCGCGCCGGCAAGGGGGTCGGATTTCAGCCGCGCCGGCAAGGGGGTCGGATTTCAGCCGCGCCGGCAAGGGGGTCGGATTTCAGCCGTGCCGGCAAGGGGGTCGGATTTCAGCCGTGCCGGCAAGGGGGTCGGATTTCAGCCGTGCCAGCAAGGGGGTCGGATTTCAGCCGTGCCGGCAAGGGGGTCGGATTTCAGCCGCGCCGGCAAGGGGGTCGGATTTCACTTGCCAGCACTGTAGTAGTACTACAACCTTTGGACATAATCAGAACATGCTAGACTATCAAAGTACAGTCATGGCCAAATAAATCCGACCCACGCCCCATGGGTCAAAGATAACGCTGCTTTTCCATTTCAATTACATCGTGCACGTTCCAAAAACCGATCTGAGGGCCGCAAGGCCCGGCCGCATGAGCCTTGGCTCTCGGCACGTGGGTTGGATTTCTTTGGCCACGACTGTACATGTATCATGCACTGGCCCACGGATACCGGTAGATACTGTACACATGTACCTACATGTGCCTATGCTGGTACTGCAGTATAGTGCCTGTACATGTGCAGTCAACTTTGCGCATAACGACACTCAGCGGGGTATCAGAAAGTGTCCTTATACTCGAAATCCCATTATTATGTATTACAGTTAGACGGGACTTTGCTCTGGGCATGGAAATTCTGTCGTTATTCGCGAATTGTCGTTATATCCGCAGTCGTTATTAGCGAAGTTGACTGTACATGTACATGTAGGTCAAGTACTGTACACAGTGTTCTCGCCAAAGAGAGGGGGCACAGCACTCCCCCCCCCCCCCCCTCCCCCCCTCCCCTACACCAATAATATCATATCCCTTCTCATTTTTCAATTTTTTTGGGTGTTTTTCAGTTCACACAACAAAAATGCAGCCACAAATTAATCATTCCGGGCACGCGCTGCCACTCGTACGTTGCATTTTGTGTGTGACAAGGCAATACTGGAAAATGGAAATGGGCTTTTCTGACAAATCACAAGACTGGAGGCACGGAGATGACAAATCGCATTGCACCTAGCGGGGCCTGGATGAGGCGATCAAAGCATGCTACAAGAAGTAGAACTCCATATTTGGTGGAGCGGGCTTTGATTTTACGATCAAAGCCCGCTCCACTAGGGCTTTGATTTACTGATCAAGCTCGCTTTTTTTTACTCGACTCAGGCTTCAGAAGGTTGAGTCGTGCTTTCAAGCGCGATAGGAAGATCGAAGGGCGTGTTCATGTCAGAAATCCAACTAAAACAGTCGTGTTCATGTTCTATCAGTCAATCATAGCCCTTCGTGAAGTATTTAGCGGTTCGACATGAGTTTCAAGCGTGGGTGCATGTCAGAAATGTAATCAAAACACTCGTATTCGTGTTCAATCAGCCTACATCACAGCCCTTCGCGCTTCGCATGGCGGGCTGTGATTAGGCGATCTCACACTCGTACTTTTGCTTGATTCCATACTTCTAGACTGTGCTTCCCTGCTCCCTACCCGGCATTCTTCTCTGGTTGGAACCAGAGAGTAGTACAATATCGGTATTGTACTACTCCCTGGTTGGAAACCCTGGTACATGTACAACCTTCCTTATCCAGTCCCTTCACTTTTCAGCTTACTAGTACGAGTCATTGTGGCTGTGCCAATGACGTAGATTATTAATTCAGAAAAGAAGTCAGTGATGTGACGTCGCCTTGCTGATGTGCGTGAAATCGTAATGCACAACTACTTGGCAGTCATGTCACATCACAAAAGCCTTCTGTGGATCTCACTTTAGGCAGGACCAGTGAAGAGTGGTAACATTTCCCGGGTTTTGCCTCGGAGTTGGTCGGAAGCTGGCGTTCCACTGTGCATGTAGCCGGGTGCATGTGCTGGACTTGGTCATACATGCACCGTACTTCCATAATTACCTGGTCTCCCTTTGGTGCATCCATCGAGCTATGAAGCCGAGACCTCTGGTTGTCTGAGCTTAATGGGCCCCAGCACCACACTCCATTATTCACTTCAGTGTCTGGAGTTGCGTAGATTGTGTAGGGAAAAAACAAACAAATAAGAAAACACGGTTAACGTGGAAATTGTCCAATGTTGATTTCTGCGCTTTGCTCAAAAGGGGATGACACCTACGGTATGTTCTCTCGAGGTCGCCGTATGGTCGACTTTGCTAAAGCTGCCACTGGATCTAACGATGACTCAGTTTATCACTTCCACACCAAGGTCATGCTCAAAGGTCAGTTAGGCGTCGCTGGTCTAATGGTCAGCGTAGTTGCTTTCCAAAGCAGTTGATCCGGGTTTGATTCCCAGGCGACGCACGCTTTCCTCTTGTTTTCCAATGTCATACTCAACACACCTGGTGTGCACAGCATTTTCAACGAACAACTACAAAGTAAGGCACCTCTCAGAAATCTTCAACGCAGGCAACTGCATACCAGGGAGTATTTTACTACTCCTTGCCGAACACATTATGAACGCACCCCCCCCCCCCCCAACTGTGCAATTCTCTCATGCAGTGCTATCCTGTGTATGATTTCAAATTGATCACATCTGTATGATGCATGCTTTCCAGCGGCTTGTCTGCTCAAATGTGTCAATGCACCACATGTGTCTGTTTTCGCAAGTTTGCATAGGATCAGGTTGCGGAATGGTTCAACACTGGTCCATGCGATTCTGTCTGAAAAGGTGTGACCACCACGCAGTGAATCTAAAAATGACATCATCGTCAGCTTGCTATTGGGACGATGCCAGAGTAGCACACTCTTGGGGTCATGCACTCTAGGCATAGAGAATGCAGCATCACGGTCAGAAAAAAAGGTCTGATGGAGATCACCGTGACAGCTCGGTGCGCCACTGAGTGTATCATGTATTGCACTCCTAAATTTGCCGTTTGCCAATCGGCACTTGGACTTGGACTTCTCATACCCTCCTGACTTTGACTGCTACCACCAAACACTCCCAATAGCAGACAACTGAGTTTCTCTACTGCTCACAATGATCAGCATGTAGTTTTCTTCTCTAGCCAAGCAGTCAAGGTCAGGGTCAAATGTCTTTAAAATGCAACTGCCATAATTATATTTGTTACCCTCCTATCTAATATTATTCAGTCCTGTCAGTACCGGAGTGGTGAGAAGCCATGACATTTTTAAAGGATAATTTCTACCTCTTTTGTTTTCAGAGCCGCACATCGGAGGACGTTGGGAATGGCACCAGGACTTTGGATACTGGTACGAAGTGGGCTGCCTACAGCCAGAGAGAATGCTGAGCGTCATGGTAGCTATTGACAAAGCTACTGTGCAAAATGGCTGCCTGGATGTCCTGAAAGGATCAAACCGGTTAGGCCGCATTCACCATGGCAACACAGGAAATCAAGTAAGCATGTATGTGTGTATGTCTTTTGCTCTCTCTCCCTTTCTCTCTCTCCTTCTCTCTATCCATCCATCCATCCATCCATCTATCTAACCTCTCTGTTTGCGTGTGGTCATGCTATTGTGGGTTCACTCCCGGGCTTCCCGGTGCAGTCTCCCTTGGGGCAGCACCAATTCATAGACGTTCACATGTGGCATCGCTTATCTGGGCCGTGCTTGCGGTCAGCAGGTCAAGGTTGCGAATATGAGTTGCATAGACTACGGATCGTGAAGAACTTCAAAATCTGACTTGATCCAGAGTCGAAACGCACACTGTCTCAGGTACTATGGTCTTGTGTCATCGCCTGTACTCCCTGGATAAAAACAACGGTCACGTGACATTGCATTTTGCCCTGGCTCTGCTGTACCAGCATTATACTGCATCATAGACACAGGCATTGGCTAGGTAATGCACTGGGAATTACCCTACGGCCCCTACCCAGTTCACGGCCAACCATCTCGATGGTACCAGCACCACATTACATGTAAATCCCAACCTATACTGTAGTAGGTACTTCTTCTCTTCTCTGAATACAGCACGGTCTTTGCACAGCCAACACAGTACCAGAAGCAGCTGGAGAGATAGCAAACGGTTTGGCCATTTCAGCCATCATCAGGAAAAACTACAGTGTCCATGCTGCTATTAGTCATAATTCAAATTGTGCATTGTGCATTGTAACAGGTGGGAGCTGATCCCTGGGCAGTGGACAAGGCGACCAAGCTGATGGAGACTGTACCGTGCGAGATGGACGCGGGTGATGTACTCATGCTGCACTGTAACACTCTGCACAAGTCGAATGCCAACACGTCTGACCACTGGCGGCGCTGCATGATCGTGGCGTTCAACACCAAGGACAACGAACCACGGCCAGACACGATTGCTCCACTCTACTTTCAAATGAAGCCAGTGGCAGATTCAGCCATCATGGTGAGTTGTTGTCCAGACTTTCTGTAGACATTCTTACTCATCATTTTTTTTATCAAAGGAGGACGAACTACTGTACCATCTTAGTAGAATCAGCTGCTATAGTCTGTCTGACTTTGTTGCTTAACAGCAGAATATCATGGAGCATGTGAATAGAGATCTCCTGGCCAAGCACATACCTGGTAGTAGGAACGGGGCACACATACTACTATAATACTACTAGTAACTTAATCTGTGCTACAAACTGGCACATGTCGAGGTCATGACTGTGAATAGGGCCACACTTCAACTGACTACCACAATGTACCGCAGGAGCCAGGAAATTAGCTTGCAGTAATGGTAGTAAAGTCAATGTACACTGAGTCATACATCTCATTGAGGCATGTACAGTGCTGAATCAGGAAATCTTTGATGTCCACACTGCACACTGCAATATCTCCAGGAACTCGGAATGGTGGGAAGAGCTAGTGGAACAGTCGAAGACTTCCTCCAACGAGATGACAACGTCAACGCCTTCAAATTGGAAGACACCGAATTAGAATATAAAGATGCAAAATAGAGATTGTTGTACCAGTGCGAACAATTTTAAAATTGCCTACACGTGCCCTTGCATTGATAACACACTACTTGTATTCTCCATGGCTGTGTGGGTCTGGCGTTGCCGCTTTTATGTGCAGCACTGGTGTGCCTGCAAAAATGGAAATACGGTTCCACATGTAGATTGAGATAACACTTTAGTAATACTGTACCAGAATTCAATCAGTTCATGACTAGCAAATGCCCGCTTGAATCGATTTTCTTTTGCCCACAACTGCTTTAAAAAAACACACACACACACACTTACGTGGTGGATTTCCTTTTGATTTACGCCAAAGTCTTCCACACGCGTCAGTATTGCACATGAACCTGCTCTGCGCTTGATGTACCCGTTTTTAAGTGATAGTATTAAATGTGCATTGCACTTAAACTCTGCTATGTGAATGTTAGTGCAGTCAATGATATCATTCCGTTTGCCACTACTGTGTTACAAGCACATTTGGAATCATGGGAATCATGGGTTATCTCTTGTAATCAGGAGATTTACGATCTGGCCAGTCTGCTTGTTGATTATGTTCTGCATCATTTCTAAGCATCATGTAAACAGCCAACTAATATGACATATTAATTATTAGCTGGCTGTTTACACGATTGTATAGCCTGTGTAGTGCATGAAAATAACATACATGTATTAGAAAAGCTTCCCGGCCTTGATTCTCACACTTGTTTTTAAAAATTGTGCCATTCGAACCCTTCATGTGAGTTAACCTCGACTAGTGTGAAGACTGAAGGCGTGAAGTGTAGACTAGGGCCCTGATAGACGTACGCGAACGGTGAATTGTGATGAAGTGACATGTCGACATGTCGCCTAGTCCCGGCTAGTGACTCAGTGAGGGTGAACTGGCGCTTTTTTTTGTAGCACCGGAACTGGTTACTCTAGACAGGTACTGTAATATTTCACAAATTTTCGGTGTACTTTTATTTTCGGTACTTTCGGTGCGTCTGTTTCACACCTAAAATTTCAATACACCGGACAAACACTAACACACATACTCGGACCTGCTTCTCTGTACCGAAAATTTCTGTTCACCTAACCTAGCCTGTTAACTGTTGCCCTCATACCGAAAATATTGAGCACCGAAAATTTCTGAAATTAGAGTACCTAGTCCTAGGCGCTAGGCGGTACATGCAGTAGTGACAGGTGTAGTGATCATGGTCATAGCAAAACATTTTCTTTCACCTGATATCTGATCAGCTGAGCCTTCAGCCATGTAAATTAATTGTTCCTTCATTTTCGACCTCGACTGTCATACATCGTAGAAGCACCCAATGTTTCATTGTCATTCGTGTTCAAAGGAAGCCATTACTCAGTTTACTGGCATCGTATCAGTCGATGAGTAAAACTGGACCTGCGTTGCCGTTAGTAGTAGTACCGTTAGTGGCGTTACTTAGTACAGTAGTTTTACTCATTGATAATCTAACCAAAAAATGGTGGAGCCAGTAATCTGGGATATCACATCCTGGTTTTTCGTCGGTGTGACGCTTCAGGCGCTACTTGGATGCGAGGCAGCACCAACAGCAGCCTGCGGTGCAACGCCGAATATCATCTTCATTCATGTCGACAGCATGGATGGACGAACGGCACTGGAAGACTCGCCAGCGCTCACCCCGAATTTGGACAAGCTAGCTAGGAGAGGCGTCAGATTCGACAACACCTACTGTGCTTCTCCGGAGTGCGTGCCATCTCGCAGCGCCCTGTGGTCTGGCAGACGACCTGATCAAACAGGAGTGTGGGCAAACGGGCATGGTTTGCCACCAGACTATCCTATCATTATGGAGCAGGTCAGTAAGGTGGGCTACGATACGCAGTTTATAGGTCGGCATGACTTCAGTGGCAAACACCACACTCTGTCTGCAAACTTAAGCACGTGGGTAAGACCGGTGCCTTACTTTGCCATCCCTTCGGAAGATAGACCTGAGCCACTCCTACAGCTCAACGCCACACGGCAAGTTCACACGGCGGACTGGAGAAGGGCAGGGAAATGCACTGACTGGCTCAAGGGTCGCTTGAACAGCACCAAGCCGTTCATGCTGTCGTGTGGCTTCACGTGCCCGCACCCGGCGTACTCCACGTCGCCATACTGGCTGGAGAACGGTGTCGACAAGACACGCATCACGATGCCCCGGTGGAAGGCCGAGAAGGACATGCATCCTGTCCAGCGCTATGAAACCATCACGAAGAACTGCTCTGGGAACTGGAGTGCAGATACAGTGCGAGATATCAGGGCCTTCTACTACGCCATGGTGGCCGAGGCAGATGGCTTTGTTGGTAGCGTATTGGATATGATAGCCAGCAGCAGCTTGCTTCACAACACTGTAGTGGTATTCTGGTCGGATCATGGCGATATGGCGATGGATCACAAACAATTCTACAAGGAGACGGCTCTTGAAGGCAGTGCCCGTGTACCGCTGATCATTGCTGGCCCACCGCGCTCTGGAATCCATCACGGCGTTACAGTGCAGAGACCTACTAGTCTCATAGATCTGTTCCCCACCGTCATGGATTTAGCTAAGGCACAGCATCCCGCTGGACTAACTGGCTACTCGCTGCTGCCAGATCTGATGAATGCGAGTAGTATGCATGCATGGTTTGACGCTGGTGTGCCGGCGTCTGCATCACGATTTGATGAGCTGATGGGTGACTCTCACCCAGACTATGTTCTGTTACAGGCACACATGGACCACTCCAACACTGGACAGTTCATGCTACGCCAGGACAACTGGAAATATATTGAGTATGCTGGTGATTATGATCCTGAACTATTCGATCTGAACAGCGATCCGAATGAACTAATTAGTGTTGCCACATCACAGCCCGCCATTCTCAGTCAGTTTAGGGCACTTTTACGCGACCTTCTTGACCCAGATGAGGTGGATGCCCGTGCCAAAGCATTCGATAAGCAATCATTTTTAACCTGGAGGACGTCACTGGGAGACAAGTATAACGAAACTATTGGTTCGAGTGATCTCCGCTGGTACTGGGCTTGGCACAAAGACTCTGAATTGTACTTGTCCCTTATTGACAAATGGCTCAAAAGTTGAAGTTTTTATCTTAACAACTGCTGATCAGTTCTCCATGAGTACAGCCCAAACTAGCGGCATGCAACCAGGTGCAGCGGTATGTTCACTTTCAGCATGTTGGTATTTAACAGAATGTTTGCCTGTTAGTGGCTGCTATATCCGTGATTTCAAAAATTGTGTTGTTGTTTTGGAAACATCACTGAGGCTTGGTTCCAGGGTTACACTTTGCAGATAACTTATGCTGGTTCTAGTCAAGACGAAATCTGCCAATAGATCTGCTTCACCAACACGATACGCTTCACTGGTGGTGAATTACTGTGCAGGGTCATTGGAAAGATGTGTATGTGTGTGTGTGTGTGTGTGTGTGTGTGTGTGTGTGTGTGTGTGTGTGTGTGTGTGTGTGTGTGTGTGAGAGAGAGAGAGAGAGAGAGAGAGAGAGAGAGAGAGAGAGAGAGAGAGAGAGAGAGAGAAGCAAGCGGGATGGCACATACTTGAAATTGTGTTGTTTTTTTCTTTTGCAAGGAAACTTGTGTCACATGAACACAAGGATATTAAAGTGAGACGAATCAAAACTGCACAATGAGAAAATATGGAAGTTTAAAAATTAAATATTTAATCATTGAAAGATCAGAGCACTTGATGCCGCATTGAATGAACAACAAGGGCAGAGCAAATGCAATATATTTATATATAATCAAGCTTTACAAGATTACTCTGTGACTAGTCAGTAAGTGGCTTTAAAAGGTGGCCTAACCCAGTATTGCCCTCTACCGTACTGATTATGTGCATGCAACCACTTAATTTAGAAACGTTTAGAAACGATATATCTCAAGGGATATTTGCACAAGTGCTAGTGGAATTATCATATGCTGATTCTGTCCAATACATATACTGCTCCGAGGCTAGGCGTCAACTCAGTCATGTACACAGGCACATCGCCACTTACACGCTTCCCGGTCACACACACACACACATGCACACACGTCCACATGCACACAGACACACACGCACGCACACATCAGCAGCGCATAATCAGTTGCATGTGTGGCGTTCTTTGTTCTCCAAACACGTCCTGCAGCGTACGTGACAGCACCAGACAAACTTGCACTTGCATTTCTCCTTCTCAGCATAGCGCTGCACATTGAACCCCCGGTTACAACACAAATGATCACAGCCACCATAGCCGGACTTCTTCCCTTTGCATGTTCGGCCAAACGTTCCAAGCGAGCCGGCAGCTGGATCCGACAAGCAGTAATCAGGACTGCGCCGCAGGTACACCAAGTCCTCGGTGGTCAAAGGCAGTGCTGTCGCTGTGGTCCGCTTCACGACCAGGCGAGGTGAGCCTGACGAGCTCATCTTGACGGCAGTGGAACTCTCGTACTTGGCCATCAGAAGGTTGCCGACGACTCGCACCAGAGGCAGACTGTACCAGCAGGTCTGATGCGCACAGGTCCCGGTGAGGCCATGACACTTGCACTGCAGACGCATCAATCGCCGCACGGCCTGCGGCAAAAGAAGCATGCCAGCACTAGATTGTGTCAGTCAAACCAGACTACGTGCCCACTGACATTACACCATTACCTTCCCTTCAAGCTAGCAATGAGCTTTCCGAAAGGCTAGGAATGCGGAGATGTTGAGGTATTGTGACAACTGCGTCACTACAAGCATGTTAATGTAAGTATTCGTATGTTCAAAGTGCAGTATCAATTACAACATCACTTGAATAGGCTTGACTTTATTAACAGTTAAAGTACATTCGTTGAAACTTCATGTTCCTGAGTGCACAGTCCTATGGAACATGCTAATCTGACCACTGCCCTACAGGCATTTTACCTACGGAGTAAGGCAAAGCGAGTCCATACTCAATTCTGATCGTTAGGGGCAGGGTGTGTTTGATTAATTAAGGCCAGTCCTCTTGTTTCGAACAGCTCAACATAGTTTGGGCAATCCTAATCTTCCTCGGCATCCCAATCAAAGTCAGGTTGTACTACTTAAACCCAAACTGCTCTGGGGGGGGGGGGGGGGGGGGGGCGGGGAGAGGGGGTAATTATCTTCGCACATATTGGGAATCGAATTAGCAACCTCACGTTCAGAAAGCCAATGCTCTGAACACTTTGCCAACCACCCACCAATTTTGAAAGTACAGGCACACAACTGGCCTTGGTTCCCCGCCACATGCTCAACGGGCATCACTGGAGATGAGTATCTATGGCCTCTCATGAATGACTATCTTACTGATGAGTATCTATGGCCTCTCATGAATGACTATCTTACCAATCTTCCTGCTTCATTGTTCCAGAGCGTGCTTTTTGATTTCGGTGTGGATGTGTCCGTCTCGCCGGCATCTAGGAACTGTTTGCTAAGCTCATATCCTTTGACATAGTTGTCACTGCAAGATCCCCACGTCCAGTTGACAGCTTCATTCCTCGTCCAAGTCGTATCACAGCCACACCAACGGGGCGCGTGACCTCGGCTGCATGTCCGTGCAATGGCCAGTGTGGCACCGGCTGATTGAATGGAGTGCACAAACGCCGTCTCTTGGCTCCCTGCATGTCAGCCAAACCAGAGAGAACATGAAAAACAGGTCGCAAGACTTGAATATGCAAAGGATTCAGACTGAGAATGTTGTACATGTAGAAATAGTGTAAGAACCGTTTCACCGCCTTCCCAACTGCCAAAGTGATCATATTACATGAAAACATACCGACACTTGACATTTCCAGCAGCCTGAAGTGATTGTTGACTTGATTTGTTTGTCAGGAACTCATTCAACTCACATGCATCCGCAAAAAAACGATGGGTCCAAGCATGCAGAAGTATTATGTACTCTTACTGCCACTGCTGGGCAGCTGTTTCAGATCTTGTTCCACTCCCACCTGCAAGCAACCCTCTTCTACGCCACATCAGAGGTGATAATTTATGCCACAGCTTTGCTACAATCGATGGCTGTAATGATGGGAAATTTCGGGAGATAGAGGAAGGTCAAGCCTTCAGTGTCGAATTTCCCCTTGGCGAAGTGTTTACATGAAACTCTAGCCCTGGTACTTCAACATTTCAATTACACATGCAAATTAATAACGTTACAATTGTAAAACGCAGCACTAATCATAGTCACTCATCTGTATCATTCTGCTATTGCAGCAAGCCGGTAAATAGGCGCGTCCGTGAGAACCTTTCCAGCCCGCCGGCGCAACACAATCAATATGTGTTTCGTATATTAGTGTTTACGTCTCCCATGCCATGCCAGCGAGTGAAGGTTCTTTACCGAGCAGAGACTGCCGAGGAGGCCTACGTTGGTTAGGAAGAACTAAACTTCCCAAGAAAGAATCAACACCTGAATCATGTGAATGGTGCGACTGGGGCACTGGGCCACTGGCACGAAGGTCGGTTCAAGTGGGTGTAGGAAGGAACGCGTTTAGCCTCGGGCCATGAATCTGCCAATGCCACATGTACACACGGTCACGGATAGTGGGACAGCAGTGAGTCGAGCAACTACATTGTACAGTGTAAAACGTCACTCAGGTGAAAACAGAACATCATGCTCAGGAGAAGGGATCGGGAGTGGATAAATCATGCCACAAGACTTAGTGTAGAACCAGACCGCTGTACCGGCCGTCGATGCAAACTCTGCGACTTTCATGATTTTTTCAGCGCTGCTTGATATACACAATCCTACACAGTTGCGAGGGCAAGACGCTCTGAATGAGTCTGATCTTGCCCGAGGTCGAGACGCCCGAGGGGCGGAGCCCCGAGCCGAGGGCAAGATCTCGAGAATATTGTATTTTGTATGTACATGTATGTATGATTGATTGTATTTGTTTGTTTTTAAATTCTTTTTACATCGCAAGTCAAACGGGCAATCATGCCCAATGACTGTTATGATGACGATGGAAAGGGAGAAAAGATAACCTGGATAAGCTAAGTGGAGCGAAGAAAACAGTGACGAGATGTGGTAGAGCAGGACAACTACCGGTACTAGTACATTGTAGAGGGGAATACTAGGCTGTGAGATCCCAAGTACATGTACATGTATTGTGTATTAATTTTGTTTTATGTATAAATGCATTGCGGACAATCATGCCCAAACGGATGAAAGATAGGATAACCTGGATAGGTGGAGTAAAGAAAACAGTGAGCCTAGAGATCTCTCGGGAATTCGGGATAGGAAACATCCTACGTAGCATTAGCGCGTCGCGGTTAGGAGTTGAATGATTTGTGCTCATTGGTTGTCAATATTGATCTGCCTCGTGAATATGGCCCCCAGCTGTTTTGCCAATCTTGACCACGCTGAGTTTCTGATTCATTTGGCGGGCATCGGCGGAAGCAGATCATCGGCAAGATTGCCTGTACGAGCTGAGAAATCAATTGTAGTGAGATAGTTTCTTCCGAGGTCTTCCGTGCTGCCGATGATAACACAGTTCCACTGATTACTCTAGGAAGCGCTATCCATTGTTGCAGTGACAGTGAAGCGGAAGCCGAAAGGAAAGGCATTGTTACTCTGCATGATGGATTGGATCATCATGATACTGTATTGCCTATATCGTGATACTGTATTGCCTATATCGTGATACTGTATTGCCTATATCGTGATACTGTATTGCCTATATCGTGATACTGTATTGCCTATATCGTGATACTGTATTGCCTATATCGTGATACTGTATTGCCTATATCGTGATACTGTATTGCCTATATCGTGATACTGTATTGCCTATATCGTGATACTGTATTGCCTATATCGTGATACTGTATTGCCTATATCGTGATACTGTATTGCCTATATCGTGATACTGTATTGCCTATATCGTGATACTGTATTGCCTATTGCGGTACAGGTTAGTACTGGTAGTTCATTACCTGCGACGTCTGGTAGTTAGAGTGGCTTCTGACAGTATTACTTCAGTATGTTAATGATCTTACCAGAGTACAGGAGCTGGGATGCAGCTCACGACTTACAGACAGTCTGAGCTACTCATTCCTGTCGCTTCTTCGATGTCCTTCGAAAGAACTGAGTCCCAATCGGCGAGAAAAGTCGATCAGCATGCATGTTGTAGCTAGCAGTCAAGCACTTGCAGAACTCACGATCATCACCACGTATGGTCGTCTAAATGTGCCTCACCGGAACAGCTTGTTGTGCACTTCCAAGAGTATAACTTGTAACGTAACTACTGTAGTCTTGATTCATGTACTAGTACTTCGAAGTACACTGTACACGATTCTACTGTACACGACTCTACTGTACACGATTCTACTGTACATAGCATAAGGAAAACTGAAAACGGAAAGAGTCTGGCATGCTTTAACCGGTGAAGTCTGCAACACACCAGGGAGTGGTTTATACAGGTATTATGATTGTACATTATTGTACTCGTATGACTCCCTGCATCACTCCAAGCCCACACTGGGGCCACAGACAGTGCTAGTAGTGTGCATTGATTGCCAGTGACAATCCAAACTTCAACCTGCCTACATTTTGTAGACCTGAACTAGGGTGGACAAAGGAAGTCCTTTTGGGCTTGGTGGGGCACAGTTCGTCTATTGTCTTCTCGCAGTGTGGGGCCGGCGACGCAATTCTTACCATCAGGAAAGGCCAACTCTCAGAAAGCGACTTGATGCAAAGCAGGATCATCACTGGCCAGACATACATTGTCAGCGAGTCATGCAATCGTCTTCTACCATAGTACCAATAGGACTTCTGCGGGGTCGTAAGGGCGAGAAACGGGTCATCTGGCACGTTCATGGAAGACGATCATCGAGTTCGAGCAGTTCAAGTCGGCGTGATCTGTGCATAAGACTATGAGATGAAACACGCCAAGTACCAGTAGTAGTTGGACCAGATGGACGTGAGACGCTGGACCCTAGACCTGTGACCGCCATGTCAGTCCTAATCAGGCATCCTTTGTTCTTCGTTCAGAGCGTGACCCGGCAGAATCAGGAAATCAAGAGAGACTTCTTCAAGGCAGATGCCTCCCAATCAACGAGCAAGGAACAATGGATATGCAAGAGTACGTGTACGTGTCAGGGGCTCTCCTAAGAAACAGACACCATTTTCACGATTGCTCTGCTCCAGAGGAATGTGAACATTGGCTCCAGGCTAAATATAGAAGGCCATTTGATTGCATTCACGTAGGCTCTGGAGCAATAGAGCTGTTAATCATGTTCCTTGGCTTGAGGAACTGCAGACCTGCTTCCCGAGCTATTGACCTGTGTCATGAGGTTGCGGCTATCCAGCTGAGTGTGTCAACCTTTTCTCCCTGTCACCTGTAGGTCCAAGCAAGAGTGCCCCCTGGACGGTCTCGCGTTCCAACTAATATCATGTTACTTCCAACAAATGGGACTAGAAGTATGTTATGACGCAGTGCATTGTGATGAAAGATGCATGAGAACAGAAATGTAGAAGAGAGAGAGAGAGAGAGAGAGAGAGAGAGAGAGAGAGAGAGAGAGAGAGAGAGAGAGAGAGAGAGAGAGAGAGAGAGAGAGACAGAGAGAGAGACAGAGAGACAGAGAGACAGAGAGACAGAGAGACAGAGAGACAGAGACAGAGACAGAGACAGACAGATAGAGATAGATAGATAGAGAGAGAGAGAGAGAGAGAGAGAGAGAGAGAGAGAGAGAGAGAGAGAGAGAGAGAGAGAGAGAGAGAGAGAGAGAGAGAGAGAGAGAGAGAGAGAGAGAGAGAGAGAGAGAGAGAGAGAGAGACAGAGAGAGACAGAGACAGAGACAGAGACAGGGAGAGACAGTGAGAGACAGAGAGAGAGACAGAGAGACAGAGAGAGACAGAGAGAGACAGAGAGAGACAGAGAGAGAGAAGGAAGGAAAGAAAGAAAGAAGGGAAAGGGGGCCATAAACAGAAGCAGAAAGCGACAACTAGGAGGCGGCAGAAGAGGCCCGGGGAAGTACAGACTTGGGTCGGCAAATCCAGAGAAGGGGAGCACTGATATCAAGAAGTCTCTTGTCTGTTAAAACATGACATCTTCTTCCATAATATATTATGCAATGAAGCATTATCTATCCAGATCTCGCTGTCTGCATCAATGATAATTATTACTAGTGCCAGTAGTGGGTCAAGTGACGCATCCGATTAGCCTCTACTGCAGCACGAACCGGTAGAACACCCCTACAACATACATAACGTGTGTACATGTACATGTACATCAATGATATTATGTTCGACTTAAGTAAAGTAAAAGTAAATTATCGTGTCCGTTCCCGAAGGGAACTCACGACGGCCGCTAACACCCGATAAACCCTATGTTCGACTTATGGTCACAGCATTCTGGTTCTTGCGGTGCAGATGCTCTGCTATTTCCCTGTTGTCAGTCATGTGAGGTAAATCAGCGCTGGCAACAGACCCGTTATGAGACACAGAGTATCCACTACAGGGTGACGGTGCAAAACATCCTGTCTTTCATGTAAGACCCATTAATCCAATTTGTGGCATGTACATGTACATGACTATTGTAGATAATGCAAGTCAGACCCCTTGAGCCAAAATGCTATAATTACTTCATTATTTGGTTTATATCACGCGTAGTGTGGGCAGATC